TTTTCTTTTTTTTTCTTTTTTTCTTTTTGCATGCTGTCCCCTGTGTTGGAACTCTCAATAGAGAGTAAGTTGGTTCAATATTTGTTGGAAACCTAACTTTACTGCATGACTGTGCAATTAACCCTTTTTCTCTATTTTCTCTCCCGAAGAGTTCATGCAGTGTTGGACCCTTTGCAATCCACGAAATGCTATTCGCAGTTATGCAGGCTGTCATTCTGTTTGGAGATGTGCTTTTTAATCTACTAATTAATCTAATTTGATTATGTTCTTCTGTTCTGTATTTGATGACTGGCACACCTAAGATACAAGCAAGGTTAAGGAAAGGCTGCCTCAATTGTAATAGCTCAAATATTATAATTTTTTTTCCAATAAGTTATATTTGTGAGATTTGTGGGAGCATAAATTGATTCCATTGAAGTTTGGCTCCATTGAATTATTAATACATAATTTCCAAGTTTCACAATTATTTTTAAAAATTTAGTTCCATACATTCCATATGTACTTTCTAATATTATAATGTCATTCCTTAAGAGCAAACAGAGCAATGATTCTCAACATTTTGTTCAAATTTTTAGCCCTAGTATTATATTAGCATATTCACTTTTCATTTTCTCCTTTAATCATAGGTAAGGAAATAGACTATCAACATCTGAGAATAAACTCTTTGTGATAGGGCAATCAAGTAAGATATATTATGTGAAATTCCCAGTATATTTTTTTAGATTGATACATGTAGACGACAGCTATATATTACCAGTTAGTAAGTACGATTGATAGGATGTAAGTATTTTGAAAAATAATAATATAGTTCTATATTTAGAAAAATATCAGTACCATGTTTACATTTTTATTCAGCTATGCTCACATTGTATCTAATCAAAAGAACTTTTTACTTAGGAGACCCGGAGAAGTCTTTTTTTCTTTTTAATATATTTTTATTGATTTCAGAGAGGAAGGGAGAGGGAGAGATAGATAGACACATCCATGATGAGAGAGAATCATGGGTCAGCTGTCTCCTGGAAGTCCCCCACTGGGGATCGAGCCCACAACCCAGACATGTGCCATTGACCAGAATTGAACCTGGGACCTTTCAGTTCGCAGGCCGACGCTCTTTCCACTGAACCAAAACAGCTAGGGCCTGGAGAAGTATTTTGAAGGAAATAGCAATAGCTTGACAGGATCATCAACTTTGGATATGTTAGCATGAGAAGAAAGAAACTACTGGGCTAGCTTGAGTCCAGAGAAGTGGGAGATTTAGAAAGTTTATAGGAAGGAAAAAGAAGTTAAATTTGGCTGAGATAAATGGAGTCTTACATATCTTCCCTTGCATTGGAGAAAAAAGCTTACCTACCAGTTAATTACACGGCAGGTTTCCCTTAGGAAATAATTCTTACTCTTCAAGGAACTTTTCCTACGCATTCATTAAAAAACTTTATACTTGATCCTCAGCTTCTAATAACCTTGAACTTGGTTCAAATACATGATGCAAGACTGTACAAAAATATAGTCTTTATTCTCAAATCTTCTATATTCCAGATGGGAAAATAATGTAAATATAGAAAAAGTTAAAAAGCACCAAAAAGCTAGTCCCACCACAAGTTTCAAGTAGGGAGAATCAGTGGCTATTATCCAAGAAGTTTCTAGGCTGGGATGTAAGTGGTAGTAGTGAGTCACATACTGTGTATAAATAGAGTGAGTGGGGAGTATGGAAGGAAACCAGGAATATGTATGAGATGTGTTCAGGAAAAAAGAGTTGCCAGATAGTCCAAGATCGGTTTAGAGATGTCTAACTGATGCCTCTAAGCATTTGAGACATTATCCTATAGACAGTGAAGGTGGGGACATTAAAAAATTTTGTTTATGCCGAAACCGGTTTGGCTCAGTGGATAGAGCGTCGGCCTGCGGATTGAAAGGTCCCAGGTTCGATTCCGGTCAAGGGCATGTACCTGGGTTGTGGGCATATCCCCAGTGGGAGATGTGCAGGAGGCAGCTGATTGATGTTTCTCTCTCATCGATGTTTCTAACTATCTCCCTCCCTTCCTCTCTGTAAAAAATCAATAAAATATATATTTTCTTTAAAAGTAACAAAAAAATTTTGTTCATATCAAAATAGTGATACTACAATTTTATGGTGAGAAAGAAGCGTGATTTGGCCTGCTACCTATTTTGTTAATGAAGTTATATTGGAACACAACTATGCTCACGTGTTTGCGTACTGTAGTTGTGCTTCAACAGCAGTTAAGTAGTGTGACAAACACTATCATGTGGCCTGCAAAAGCTTAGAACATGTACTGTCTGGTCTGTTACAGAAATGCTTTTCTCACCCTGGTATACAGAAATAGAAAAACTAAAGTCACCCTACTAACCCAGACCTGGTAAGAAAGGCCTGGTGCCTACAATGATGGTGTGATTGATAGATTGAGGAAGGCCAAAAGAGAGAACTCTTCTAGAGGTCATGGGACCTAGTAGGCTAGGTCAGAAAGGCCCTGTCAAGATCATACTTCCTTTTAAAAGAGAATCAGGGGGAAGACTGGCTCTTAAATCACCCCACATTGGGGATGCAAAGGAAAATGCCTGGCAACAAGCATGGAAGAAGAAGCGAAATAATAAGAGTAAAGCAGTATCAAGCTTCAGAATGGCCAAGCATACTAAGTTCATGAAAAGCTACTACATTTCACAATTAAAAGGTTGTTGGTGGGAACATTAGGATGGAAATTGAAGGAGAAATTCTTCAGAGAGTGTCTTGCATCTGTAAGGAAAGGATTTAAGTGAGAATAAATATATAGTGGAGGAGACCATACTTTAGAGAGCAAGAATACAGAATAGAAAGATTAGTGTTACAAAGGAAATGGCTCTTTTAAAAAAAATAGATTTTTTATTGATTGCAGAGAGGTAGAAATATCAATAATGAAAGAGAATCATTGATCGGCTGCCCCCTGCACACCCTCTACTAGGGATCAGGCCTGCAGGCTGGGCATGTGCCCTGACCAGGAATTGAACTGTGACTTCCTGGTTCATAGGTCAGCACTCAACCACTGAGCCATGCCTGCCGAGCGAAATGGCTTTCTTTTACAGAGACAATTATTGGAAGGATAGCTGTAAATGAAATCAAAGTAGGAGAAAAGTGAATAGAGAATTCTATGTTGAATGACAGTAAAGTAGATAAGCTAAGTTACCTAGCAATAGAATGAATGGAACACAACCGAAAACCAGCTGTGGAAACCTTGGGCAAGTCACTTTTCTGGTTCTCTTTCCTAAGAATCAGATAAAATTGGAGAGTTGACCTAGGCATTCGAATGTGCATAGTTTTCAGAATGGATTTTGGTATAGTGAAAGCTTAAACTTGGAGTCTTCAGGAAAATAGGCAAGAATTAAGAAAGTGGCATGCTGGTAAACCAGATTTGGGAGAAAGGCAGGAAGCCCTGATCTATAGTGTTTGCTATAATTTCAGAAGTGTAAGAACTCCTACAATGGCTTATTTCAAGCTACCAACCAGCTCACAAAATTCATGAATATTCAATAGTCTACTTTCTAAGTAGGTGCTGACTATCTCCAGCACACCTGGCTGAATAGATTTGTCAGATACCAGTAAAAGTGAGTACTAGATTAGATTCATGCATTTGTTGGAGAGTAGCTCTAGTGAAATTCAACAGTATTCTGGGCCCTGAATTGAGGGCTAGAGGCCAAGTTTTGAATCTAATAGAAGCCAGGTTGGTTGGCTGTGGCTGTAGCTGTGGCTGTGGCTGTGGGACAGAAGTTAATGACTCTGCATTGTGGATTAGAGCATTTTTGAAGCAGATGCTGCCTGGGGATCAGAGTACTAGAAAATTTTAAGTTCGTAGTCATAGTTCCTGCTTTTACAAATACAAAGCAACTTTAGCAAATAATGAAAGTGTGTATTTTCTAATTCATACAATGTTAAAGCTTAGTTAAAATTTTGATAGAAAAAAATCCTTCATTTCTAACAGGAAAAATGGGAGTTTATATATAATTATATAAAGGAAATTCAAGAAAGAAAGTATGTATTGAGAACAAAATTTTTAATTTTCAAATTAAAATAGTTACTTTCAGATTAACTTTTTTAAACCATAGTTTTTATAACTTGTGATTATAAATTGTCTCAATACAACATGCCTGACATTGTCTTAAGAGTTTTTTTCCTATTTACCTAGAAACAAATTTTCCAGTATGCTGTGGAATTTCTTGTAAAGAGATATAATACACATTAAGTAAGTCACTTTTCATAAGTATTTTAATGACATACATCACTTATGAATACTAGCATTTCTTCCCTTACAATATTTTTCATCTTACAAAATTTTTTAAACTATTGTGTTAATATTAGAACCAGGTATAAACCAATCAATAGAAATGGAGACTAGGACTTTTTAAAAATCATTACAATTTAAATGTAAGTTTGTATTCTGAATTTACATATTTTAGTTATAGTTATCCCAAATCATTTAAAATTACTTTTGGGGCAGTTTTAGTAAGTAATATATTTTATAACAAAACAAAAAATCTGTGACAACTGACTTTTTGAGAAATCTAAAGAGCCTTTAATTAGCCCATTATGTCAGAATGACTGGATGCTTTAAGGTAGCTGTCAGCATAGTCATCTTCTGATGACTCAGTGCCACTCTTCATAAGAATTTAGGGCCAGTGAAACTATAGGTAGTTTCTTGCCCTAAATTTCAGATGAAATGAATTTCAGTTTAACAAGTCTAAGCTATAGGTGTGCCAGTCATTATGGCCAAAGTTTCTTTACAAGTGATGCTGCATGGAGTAGCTAATTGTCGAACTTCAGCAGAAGTTGGATAACATTTCAGATGTACTCTTGTATCACAGAGTCCAATGAAAAGCAAGAGAGATTATTTTTCTGCTTGGCTGCCAATCGCTGTGCCTCTGATTCCTTTATTCCTTTCTATTTCAGTTTGAGTTGATCATAAAGGTCAATATTTCCTCCTTTTTCTCCCTCCTCCCCTGTTTATCAACTGTAGGTATTCAGCATGTTTTTGGAGACTCTAGTGGACTTCATACAAGTCCACAAAGATGATCTTCAAGATTGGTTATTTGTATTGCTGACGCAACTACTAAAAAAAATGGGTGCTGATTTGCTTGGGTCTGTTCAGGCAAAAGTTCAGAAAGCCCTTGATATTACAAGGTAATATTTTCTTTATATATTTCAAGTTTACCTGATAATAATTGGACTGTTTAGTTCCTGTGTTAAAAGTTCAGATATGTAAGTCTTTTCAAACCATTTAAACTGCATAGGCTCCATTTTAAAATTGTTAGTGAGGCCCACTCGTGTATATTTCCTGCAGCATTGGTCCTTAAACACTGCTTTTATAAAAATTTTGTTAACATTTGTTCAGTATTTAAGGTACTATTTTGTTGTAATTAAGATATATCTGCTAACTTGAGTTGAAGATTTTATTCAATTTAATGTAGAAATAAATTATTTTCTAAGTTTAAAAAGAATGTTTTATTATGCATTAAAATATTCAGAATCTTTTTTCAGAAGATTTTGAACCAATGCTACATTTTTACTTTCTTGTGTAGATTGTTGAAGTGACTTATTTCAAATATTCTATTCATTTATTGATTTAAGGCAGCGATTCTCAACCTGTGGGTTGCGACCCCTTTGGCGGTCGAATGACCCTTTCACAGGGGTCGCCTAAGACCATCCTGCATATCAGATATTTACATTACAATTCATAACAGTAGCAACATTACAGTTATGAAGTAGCAACGAAAATAATTTTATGGTTGGGTTACAACATAAGGAACTGTATTTAAAGGGCCAGAAGGTTGAGAACCACTGATTTAAGGTGAATCTAGAATTCAGATATTAGGTGTGGGGAAACATCTCTGATAATGTTGAACTTTTTCTGAATAGGTTTTAAATTAAATCTATATTTGAGGCAAGATAGACCGTTACTTACATAGTGTTGCTATTAAACCCCCTAGAGAATATAAATTCAAATGTTGAGATTTTTTTCAGGGAATAACTTCTATTGTATACAGATACTTACTACTTCATGCATGCTTTTTGAATGACATGATATTTTGGTTTAACCATAATTTGCTGTCAAATTTGCTAAATGCTTGCTGACTTAATTTTTATTTTGTTCTGCTTTTTTCCCTTTTTTTTAGAGAATCTTTTCCAAATGATCTTCAGTTTAATATTCTAATGAGATTTACAGTTGATCAGACTCAAACACCAAGCTTGAAGGTAAAAATTTAACGTCTTTTGAAGATATTGTAAGGAGTTGAAATGTTTTATTAATAAAGTTCTGTTGATGTGTGTATTTGTGTCATGTGAGAAGCTTTTCAATCAGTGGATTTTGTTTTTATAAACTTTCAGACAGTCAAGCCAGCGCTTCGGGACCAGCTTCACTCTTTTTGGAGCTCTAAGGTTTTTTTTGTTTTTGCATTATTTCTTTTCTTAACTCTCTTTCCAAATTCTGCAGTGTTTCAGATAGTGTTTGTATGCATCTGTGTTCAACTACTAACCTTTGTAAGCCTGTAAGCATGCACATAATTTAATTTCAAATGTTATTCAAATGCCAGGCTATTCTTTGGAAAAGCTTACTGGGGGTACACATTTAGAAAGCAACACAAGTATGGCCATCTAACCCTGGGCTCATGATGCAAACTCGCTCTATAAAGTCTTATCTAATTTTATGTTTGTGATTTCCCAATACATTTTTAAATTTAGAGTCTGAATAGGTGTTTTGGGTGAAAGGTCACTTTTACCTATGTTTATTTTAGTAAACAAAAATTTTTAAGTTTAATCTCAGGGCTGTTCTCTTTAACTGAAATAGTAACATTTTTTGCTTTTTCAAATGTGATACTCCTAATGTGTGCCTAATATTTAAAATCAGGATTAACTTTCTCAATTGTTGTTAGCACACATTTTCCAGTTATTTTATGTGAAAACTAGGTGGATTCCAATTTGTTATAAAACTAAGTATTAAATTTAAAATAAAAAATAATTTAAACAAAGAACTCCTGAATTCTTTAGTAAGATGTTTTGTAATGAGTATTATTAAATGAGAGTAAAGTCAGGGAAATAACAAGCATATACGCATTGACAATCCTTATATTTTTCTGCTCTGTTCTGCACGAAATATATTTCCACAAGCATTACTGCCCAGGACTAAATTTCCTTTAAGTTTCTAAATATGATTTTGTCTTAAAATCACAATTGTGTTTCTTACCAGGGTTGACTTTCGCTCAACATAATGTTATTTTCTCAGAGCTGCTTTGTGAAGGGGATTCCATCTGTTTTAATTTTGAAAAGTGACCTGCAGAAGAGAATAATTTACTTTATATTGTTGATAAATATTTTTAGAACTCATTCTTTGTCCAAGGCATTATGCTAGACATTTTAAATTTATAATGGAATATAGAACTTACAATTTTTTATCATTATTATCTATAATAACTGATAAACTGTAAATTGTAATAAGGGTTATGATTTAGGTATGGGTGGTAGATATCCAGGTGTTAAAAAGGTATGTAGAAATGCTTCATGGGCCTGTGGAAATGGAGGTCTAAACCATTAGCTTAAGAAGTAAGGGTGATAAAAAAAGAGAGAGAAGAAAAAGAGGGGGAAAAAAGAAAGAAGGGTGGTAGGTGAGTTGAGGGAGAGAATAAAGTTTCTGAGGACTGAGGAGAAAGACACAAAGGGAAGAGAGAAAGGAAAGAGACAACTTAAAATTAGCTTTCCTATTGGGAAACATTATACTGGAGACTGGAATCACAAACAGTTTATATGGCTTTTTTATTATTTATTTTATATTACACATATACACATATGCAAAGCTATAGGGAAAAATCACTCTTCAGCTCCTAAATTGATGTTTTAGGATAGCAAGAGGAAGTTATATGGAGCCATCCATACCTTACACCAAAAATAGAAGTAATGTTCAGATGGGTGACAGGATTAAGAATAAAAAACTTAATAGTTTATAGAAAAATACAAATGAAAAATATGAGATTTGTAAAAATTCTTTTGAAAAATTATGAATCTTTCAGATAAAAGATGGATGTTTGTATAAAATTTTATGTCTCTCACAGTATGCTGTGGTTAAATATCAGAAAGGAAGTAATAGAATAGGGAGAAATGGCAATTCAGAGTGATTTTAAGTAAGTAATATTTTAAAAAATAAATGTAATTTGATGACCTCTTTTTCTGGGTTACACAAACATGTTGAAAATTATACACACCTAATATAGCAACTAGATTATTTTTCCTCTGCTTAAGAAGAATGCATGTTTGTGTTATTAAAGTTACAGATTATGTATATGACCTCGAGAAATATTCTACTAAAATGTAAACTTTCAAATGATTATATGTGTATTGTGGTTATTTTGCCTGTTGATATAATAAACACACCTATTCTGTGAAGCCCTTTTAAAACTTTGCATACCTCTATAAATTGCTAAGGCACTGCACTAATTGAATCTCATTGTTCAATTATTAATGACAGAAAATTGAAAACAAAATACACTGATGTTCATTTTTTTAATTTACTATAGCACCTTTCAGATATTAGCATTGATAGAAGGTAACATGGCCTCAAGAATACAGAACATTATGTTCTGCTGTATTGAGTGGGGCCTGCCAACTGCACAATTAACCATAGTCTCTGTTCTTCTCCATTGTACACTTTACCCAGGATGGCTGATAACTTAACTCTTGGTGTGTTTTTTTCCAAATTCATGTCATGAAGTTGTAATTCTTAAATTCATTCATTTGGAAATGAAATAATATAATTTGATCCCTTCTGTTTTGTTTGATTGTCTTACTGGAAGCAGAAAAGGGAAAATACACAAGCAGCAGAACCTTATTTTAATATTTTACTTTTTGTATGTTAGCATGGTACTTTCCAGAGACCTTATTTGGACTGACTGAGAAAAATTACACATTAATATCAACAATAAGGGTAGAAAGTGCATAGAAAAATGGATTACCTTAATCTTCGGCAATGTTTTCAAAGTTGCTCTCTTAATCAAACATTTAAACCTTCCTTTTTCTAAGTCAAGAAAGAAGTATTTATTATGTGTTTGGAACCTTATGTATCTAAGGACTATGCACTCTGCCAGGTGTCATTTCTAAAGTGTACTAGTACTGTACTAATAGTCTTAGATAGCCCTTATTTATAAATCCTGGAATGTTTGAAGATATGGCTTTAAAAATAGGGGTTCTCAACCTCTGTTTCTTCCCCAACATACCTGAGAGAAGGGAGATAAGTTAAGCGTGGCTTTTTATAAGGATAAAAAAAAGCTAATTCTAAGGAAGAAGTTGTGTACCTGCATCCCACCAGGTAGCCACACATCATTCCTGGGAGAATGAAAGACTTTTTAAACCTACATATAACTCTTGTACACATAAGTGTTGTCTTTTCTCCATTTTAACTAGTATAAAATTTTCTGTGACACTTCTGTTGGAAGGTAGTTCTAGCACTTGATGAACCTATTAAAGAACCAGGTCTCATTGTGTGGGTCTTATTTGACAAAAACCCTATATTTCCCACCTTAATTACTCACTTGATTTGTAATGCCTTATTTTCAAAATACTTTGGTTCATTTTCCCAAAAGCCAAATTATACTCAGTTGATAAAGACTGGCTCTTAGGGAGTCTAGACAAGTGTCAGCTATAAGCTCCGAAGGCAGACTGAAGGAGAGGTGTATAATTCTATCAAGAGAGTCTTCAGCAGTTGATCAAACCGGGCAGTGAAACGTCTGGGACTTAAAAGTACTGCTATGTGTGAAAAACAAAAATCCACATTGTCATATACTTGGACCTCAGGTAGGTAGGTGGTGGTTTAATTCTTTGTTGGTTGCTTTTTTTTCATTTTGTATTTGTCAAAAAATAATCACGTAATTGTTTTTGAAGTGTCCTCAGTGTCCCTCAGTGACCATCTGATTGTCCTCTCGTTGTGCTTACTTCTGCAGGTGAAGGTTGCTATCCTTAAATATATAGAAACTCTAGCCAAACAGATGGATCCAGGGGATTTTGTAAATTCCAGTGAAACTCGCTTGGCAGTCTCTCGGTTTATCACTTGGACAACAGAACCCAAAAGTTCTGAAGTTCGGAAGGTATGTTTTAATATAAGTTTTAGAAGATAAATTAGAAAAGCACGTCATTTTGGTTTGCCAGTGAAGGAAACTAATATTTTCAGGTCATTACCAGTTAGCATTGAGTTATTTACCTGGGAATATCAAGACCTTTTTTAAAAAAAAATCTTCTGTTGTTCTGTTTTAAATTGTTCTAAGTTTTACCCATTTAATATGAGCATAATGTTCAAACTTAGAATAAAAAACTATTCTTGCCATAATTCTCTGACCTCTAATCTTTTAACCATTCAAAATATTTCAAATCTTTTCCCTTGTATCTATTTTCCTATTTATTTCAAATAAGAGCTTACACTGTTCTTGACTTATTAATTTTAGGCATTACCTATTGATCTTTTGATGAATTTAGTCATGTATCTGTCTCTCTACCTTGTTAAATTTTCCCATATTATTCTCTTTCCTAGATCTTTCCCCATAACCTTCAGAATAGTTATGAATAAATTGTTGGTCACCAAAGGAAAAGACTTAATTTTAACTTTGGAAGTATTCACTCCTATACCATCAGATCTTTCTGAGTTCTTTTTATCTTCACTTGAGGATATGTTTTTTTGTTACTGATTTTAGAGAGAAAGAGGGAAGGTGGGAAGGGAGAGACAGACAGACAGACATCGATCGGTTACCTCCTTTACATACCCTGACCGTGAATTGAACCCAACCTGCAACCTTGTTGGTGTACTAGATGATGCTCCAACCAACTGAGCTACCAGTCAAGGCTCTAATGTTTTTTTAAGTATCTGTTAGTATTTTCAACATCCCTGCCACATGTCTATCACTAATATTTTTCATATGCTGAAATAAATAGGTTAAAAATTTATAATAAATTTTAAAGTGTATAAGAACATCTGTTTTTCTGGGAAAGATAGCCTTGTGTTAGTGAACAGAAATATTGAGTCAAGAAAATGGTCTCCTTTGAGTAACCAAAATATATTCATCTACCTCTGTGTGTCTTTGTTTTCTAGGCAGCGCACTCAGTGCTGATTTCCCTCTTTGAACTCAATACCCCAGAGTTTACAATGTTATTAGGAGCTTTACCAAAAACTTTTCAGGATGGTGCTACCAAGCTTCTTCATAATCACCTTCGAAACACTGGCAATGGAACCCAGGTAATTTTAATTTATTTTCTTGGCTATTATCCTATATTAGAGGCCCAATGCATGAAAATTCGTGCAAGAGTAGGCCTTCCCCTGGCTGCCGGCAGGCACCCAGCATCCAGGCTAGCTTCCCCCCGCCCAGCCCCAGCTTCATCAGGAATGACGTCCAGAAGATGTCTGGTCTAATTAGCATATTACCCTTTTATTATTATAGATAATATAAGCCTGATATGCTAAGTGTCTGGTTGTCCAGTTGGCTGTTCAACCAATCAAAGCGTAATATGCTAATGATATGCTAAGGCCGCTCAACCGCTCGCTGTGATGTGCACTGACCACCAGAGGGCAGACAGTCAACCAGTCGACCAGTTGCTATGACGTGCACTGATCACCAGGGGGCAGACACTCTGACCAGTAGGTTAGCTTGCTGCTGGGGTCCAGCTGGTCGGGACTGAACAAGGCTGGCTGGACACGCCCTAGAGCCCTCCCACGTTCCCTCCCCAGCTGGCCAACCTCCCACATCCCTCCCTGGCCCTGATTGTGCGCTGATGGGGTCCCTTGGCCTCGCCTGCGCCCTCTCACAATCCGGGACCTCTTAGGGGATATCGGAGAGCCGGTTTCGGCCCAATCCCACAGGCCAGTCCCAGGGACCCCACTGGTGCATGAATTCGTGCACCGGGCTTCTAGTATAATATGATGGTTGGTTTAACAATTATTGCCTTTTTTTTATGTGAAGTAAACTTTTGACCCTAGTATGTAATGTTTGCATCTACATTAGACAGCATTTCTTGAACCTAATTAACTGTTGCCCCAGAAAGAATAGAATCCCTAGGCCTGTCATGTTTATATTATAATTTGGTATAGATTAGGGTGGTGAATGGTGACCAGAATATGAATAAGGAAAGAAATGTGAGCAATTACTTAGATGAAGGCTGCCCTAGCAGGTTTGGCTCAGTGGATAGAGCATCAGCCTGTGGACTGAAGGGTCCCAGGTTCGATTCTGGTCAAGGGCACATGCCTAGGTTGTGGGCTTGATCCCCAGTAGGGGACATGCAGGAGGCAGCCAATCAATGATTCTCATCATTGATGTTTCTATCTCTCTTTCCCTCTCCCTTCCTCTCTGAAATCAATAAAGATATATTAAAAAAAAAAAAAAAAAAAGAAGAACTTAGATGAAGGCATTGATTTTGCATGCCATTAAATTAGAACATGCTATTTAGATGAACCAATTCTTATTTGAGGATTAGAGGGATAACTTATTCCAGAATTAATGTATAAATCCAAAGAGGGTAGTGCTTAAAAAGATGTGTTCTGCCTGGCTGGTGTGGTTCAGTGGTTGAGTGTCAATCTATGAACCAGGAGGTCATGGTTCTATTCAGGGCACATGCCCATGTTGCAGGCTCGATCCCCAGTGTGGGGCGTGCAGGAGGCAGCCAATCAATGATTCTCTCATTATTGATGTTTCTACCTTTCTCTTCCTCTCCCCTTCTCTCTGAAGTCAATAAAAAATATATATATATTTTTAAAGATGTGTTCATATTTAATAATTACAGGCTTGTCAGTCCAAAGGTGCTAGATATATTGGATTTTATTTGAGGGAAATAAAGTTTGAGTAAATGAAACATTGCAGTTATATATATCTAAATGGTATAGGATCATTTATGTAATATGCCTAAAAAATTGAACTTTTTTTAAAAGACAGACCTGGATAAAGGAGAGAATAGATTCACTTATGGCAAGCTTAAAGTAAAGTGTGAATGTTAAAAACAATCTGAGAATAATTTCCTGGGACCAAAGTAAGTTATCTTTTTAAAAGGAGAATGGATTATTTTGTTACACATTATAAGAGATAGGCAAATTTATAGTATGATCAGATTTTTATGCCTTTGGTGACTTGTGAAAATCATTTGTAAAACAAACTCAGGGAAGAATAAAATTTGAGCCCTGGCTGCTGTTGTGCAGTGTTGAGAGCGTTGGCCCACACTCCAAAGGGTTATGGGTTCAATTCCTGGTCAAGGGCATGTACCTGGGTTGCAGGTTCAATCCTTGCCCAGTCTGGGCATATGTGGGAGGCAACCAATTGATGTGTCTCTCTCACATTGCTGTTTCTCTCTTCCCCCCTCTCCCTCTCCTCCCACTCTCTCTCTCCCATTCTTTTTAAAAATCAATGGAAAAAATATTTTCAGGTGAGGATTAACAAAAAGCAAAAGGAAATTGGCTCAAAACAGGAAACTAATTTCAAATTCTTAATTTGGGATTGTGTTGAATCTTTGATGAAAAGATATTGGTAATAATGGAAAGTCAGAAGTGGGTGAAGAGAACAATAAAAGACTAAAGAGTTAGACTTCTAAATGGGGAGAATGTTTTTTTCTACAGAAATCAGAGATAAGTACATGAATATTTAAATGGTAGATCTATAAATAGGCTTTCATTATTGTTCAACTTCTTGATCGTATGCCTTTCTTAAGAGCCTTTTAGTTGAACTTAACACAATTATCCTACATTAATATTTATTTGACTCCCTCCATCAGAGTTCCATGGGGAGTCCTTTGACAAGACCAACACCACGTTCACCAGCCAACTGGTCCAGTCCTCTTACTTCTCCTACCAATACATCACAGAATACTTTATCTCCAAGGTAATAAAGGGATAATTTTCCATCATAGTTTGTTATTGCAGGTTCCCATTATTGAAAAATAGACATTAATATAATTCCACTTGACTTGAAAGGTTTTAGGCAAATAGAAACTTAGTAGATTCAAAAGTATAACGCTTATTCCAAAAGTAATCATTTAAATAATAATGTATATGATACAGAATTTTTTTAATAAGTCAAAAGAAAACTTAGTGACATAGCTTTTGTAAATTACAGCTTGTTACATTGAATAGCATAGTTAGTTTCTCAAATATGCTGTACAAATTCAATAAATTGCAAATTGTCTTTTAGTTGTACTAAGTAAAAATAGTGAGGGCAAGTTATAATGATGGATATTTAGATCTAATATTAGCAAACCACTTCTAAAAGTGGAAAAAATAAAGATTATAGACAAAAACAAAAATAGAGAAGGGATAACATTATGTAATACTAATTAGGGGAAAATGTAACTGAGATTGGTCCTTAATATAAAATATAACATATAATTTTCACACACTTGTGCAATTCAAGCTTGGGCTATATTTCAGATGACATTCTGACTCATTAAAAAATTAATAGTTTTTCCTTTTTCCTGTCCTTTTAAAAAGTAGTTTGCATAGTAGTCCATTTGTAGTTATGAGCTGGATTTTTTGTTATTAGCCATACATACCATAGTATGCTTCATCATATTCATTGCAGTTATAGGCTACTTCATCAGCATAAGGAAGAAAAATATGTTGCACACTTTTCGTGTAGCCTATTCCTGTTATGTAACAATTTTAGTAGCTACATTCCAGCTTCAATTGAATTTTAGAATGTGATTATAGAATTCATGTCAATAATATGTTCAATGTTAAAAATTCTCTGCCTTCTTACAAAATTGTGTAAATACATTTATCTCTGTTGCTAGTGAGTTAATCACAGGAGTTAGCAAACCTTTTGCAAAGGGCCATATGGTAAATATTTTAGGCTTTCTGGCCATGCAGTCTTTGTCACTTCTACTTAACTCTGATGTTATAGGGTGAAAATAGCGATAGACAATACCCAAATAAATTAGGATTGCTATGTGCTAATACCATTTTATTTATGCACCCTAAAATTTTAATTTTATATAATTTTCATGTGTAATGAATTAGTTTGATTTTTTTTCTCAACTATTTGAAAATGTAAAAAAAATTATTAGATTTCAGGGGCATAGCTTGCTGACCCCTGATTAATCAGAACATCTTTAAAGGTGAAAAGACAAACCATTTGTGACATGGTTAGAGTCATTGTAAGCTGTCCTTAATGGGTGGGCAAGGGGACATGTACTTTAACCATCTATAGCTGTTGGGTTTTGTTTTGCTTTGGGGAATACACATTCTCTAATCCCATCTTTATAAATCTCGTTCATAATTTCCTCGAATGTGTTAGTATTTTAAAACTGCACATAAATGAAAATTAGTTGATGTCTTTTTTATAGTGCGTTTGATTATGACACAGAAAATATGAACTCTGAAGACATTTATAGCTCTCTTAGAGGTGTCACTGAAGCAATTCAGAATTTCAGCTTCCGTAGTCAAGAAGATATGAATGAGCCATTGAAAAGGGATTCTAAAAAAGATGACGGAGATTCAGTGAGTATTTGAATATTCTGACATTACAGACTTTTTCATTAAGAGTTTTTTGGTTTGGGTTGTTGTTTTTTTGTTTATTTTTGTTTTTAAATATTTTTATTGATTTAAGAGAGGAAGGGAGAGGGAGAGACAGATAGAAACATCAGTGATGTGAGAGAATCATTGATTGGCACCTCTGGCACATCCCCTACTGGGGATCGAGCCCACAACCCTGGCATGTGCCCTTGACCAGAATAGAACCCAGGACCCTTCAGATGCTGTATCCACTGAGACAAACCAGCTAGGGCTGGGTGGTTGTTATTTTTAACTTTGCTTTCTATCATTTTCAAACATAATTTTCCAGGGTTCACACAAATACTGTGTATATACCGTTGTTCTGGGTTTTATATTTAGAAGGCAGAGTTATGTCCTCAAGTTCCTTGTAGATTTTCAGATAGAACTGAGTACTGTGGAGTTTTAAGTTAAAATGTAAAGTGAATCTATTTTAGATTAAGTGGTCAGGAAGTCTCCAATCAGAATGGTGACATTTGCACTGAGACCTAAATTAAGGAGAGGAGAATTCCTTAAAAGAAATAGCAAGTGCTGTAAAGACAACTAGATGAGAACACCCTATCCATAGTTGTCGGCCAGGGTGAAAGCCAGTGTAGTTGGAGCATTATGAAAGAGATGAGGAGCCCTAGCCAGTTTGGCTCAGTGGCTAGAGTGTTGGCCTGCAGACTGAAGGGTCCCAGGTTCTATTTCGGTCAAGGGTACATGCCTGGGTTGCAGGCTCAATCTCCAGTGGGGGTGTGTAGGAGGCAGCTGATAAGTGATTCTCTCTCATCACTGATGTTACTACCTCCTTTTCCCTCTGAAATCAATTAAAATGTATTTAGAAAGAAACAAAGAAAGAAAGAGGCGAGGAATGGCACCTGGACCAGATCACCTGGATCTTGCAAAACAAAACTTGGCGCTTAGGTTTTTTTTCCTTGTTAAATGTAGTGACAGTGATTTGCATTATCAGTTGTTTGTGTGCTTCCAATAAGAGTATTATGATCTCTCTTTCTGATATTTGCATTATTGTACAGTTTGTTGCTTCTGCCATTATACAAAGCAATTATTTTTTATTCCTTAGGCTTTTCTCTGACAGCTAAACTTTCCTCAAAATAAGCCATCCCACTCTTTCCTAAGGAATCTATGGTTTCTCAGGGTTTTCAAAATTGGAGAACCTTGTAGTGCTTCAGCACATTTCTAAAGGGCTCCCCCCTCTGCCTTCCTGGCTTCTTTCCTATTGTTGTTTTTCTCTCCGTGCCTTTCTGGCAGATGGCCCTGGTAAATTGGATGCTAAAAACCAGCTAACCACTCACATTTAAAGTTCTTTATCCCAGAGGCTGCAAGTGGTAGTAAGGACAGGTTAGTAAGAATCACTGCTTGATTGAGACTCTTCCCCTTCCCCCAAAGACAGGGTACATTGCAAGGAGCTGGCATAGTGAGTTTGAATCCTGTTTCCTGGCAATTGTTAGCTAGTCTGATTATTTTATATATATATATATATATATATATACATATATATATATATATATATATAATTGATTTCAGAGAAGAAGGGAGAGGAAGAGGGAGATAGAAACATCAGTGATGAGAGAGAATCATTGATCAGCTGCCTCCTTACCCCCCTCCTTACTGGGGGTCGAGCTTGCAACCCAGGCATGTGCCCTGACTGGGAACCAAACTGACATATTATTACTTCTAAGCCTCTGTGTCTTCATTAGGAAGGAAGGGGTATTTCTGTACATCTTAGAAGTTATTGTGAGTATAATAAGTCACATGACTTCATCCAGCCCAGACCTGAGCTCCAAATTCATACCTCAAGTGCCTGTTTGAACTCCTAATCTTTTCTTCTAGAACTGCTCTTTCCTATCTTAGTTGATAGCAACACTACTTGCTCAGCCAACTGACAAGACAGTTGTTCTTGTCTCCTCTCTCTTTCTTGTCCTTCATACTCAGTCTGTCAGGGTATCTGTTCATTGTACTAGTATTAGTATCTTCAGAATATATCTGAAATCCAACCACTTCTCACCACTGCCTTTCTGGTTCCAGCCATCATCATCATTAATTCTCTCACCTGGATTATTAAAATAGGCACCTAACTGGCCTCCTTGATTTTGCCTTTGCCCTCCTAGTCTATTCTTATTCCTCTACTCACCTCGAAGGTCCCTGTCTCAGAGTAAAAGCCAAAGTCTCCACAATACACTTTTCTCCTTTGTTGCCTCTCTGGCTTCATCTCCTCCTCCTTTCCTCCCTATTGAGTTTTCTTCAACCACACTGGCCTCCTTGCTGTTTCTTTTTATTTTTTATAATTATTTTTGATTGATTTTTTTAGAGAGAAGAGAAAGGAGAGAGAAACATCCATTTGTTGTTCCACCTATTTATGCACTCATTGGTTGATTCTTATATGTGCCCTGACCAGGGATCCAACCTGCAGGTTGTAAATAAACAACAGGTTTCTTTACATCTTTACTATAAGCTTTGACATTTTGATTGTAAGTTTTAACTCTTGTTGATTTCCAGTATGTAAATTTTTTTCAGCTGGTTATTGTTACCTTTTAAAAATCACCTTTTAAGCAGTAGGGAAAACTTTTCTTAGAATTTTGAATTGATACTTGAAAATTAGTTAATGTACTATGCCTTCCCCTTCCCGTTAATAGATGTGTGGTGGTCCTGGGATGCCCGACACAAGAGCAGGAGGTGATGCTACTGACTCGAGCCAAACAGCCCTTGACAATAAAGCCTCATTACTCCATTCCATTCCTGCTCACTCCTCTCCGCGCTCTCGAGATTATAATCCGTACAACTATTCAGACAGCATCAGTCCCTTTAACAAGTCTGCTCTCAAGGAAGCTATGTTTGATGATGATGCCGACCAGTTTCCTGATGGTATGTATGCTCTGTGTCATACTGTTACTGCCTGTGTTTTGGAGGCTTGATCATCAACGAAGCAAAAGCTGCTCTTTTTTGGTATCCTAAGAAGTAGGGATCTTTGTAATGGTCAAGTTTTCTCCCATCTTCTAGGAGCTCATTTCTTTCCTTTTTTAAAAATATATTTTATTGATATTTTACAGAGAGGAAGGGAGAGACAGGGATAGAGAATTAGAAACATTGATGAGAGAGAAACATCGATCAACTGCCTCCTGTACGCCCCCTACTGGGGATGTGCCCGCAACCAAGGTACATGCCATTGAGCAGAATCAAACCTGGGACCCTTCAGTCTGCAGGCCGACGCTCTATCCACTGAGCCAAACCGGTTTGGGCTAGGAGCTCATTTCTAATGGTTTGATAGATATCTTCCCAAGAATTGGAAACAGTGATCATCCTAAGATCATCCTTGAAATGAAGAAAACCTTAATGGCCTCCCAAAAATAACTTAAACCAATGGTTGCTTGTAAATTTATCTTTAGACACCATTTCAGTCATTAATTTTTATACCAGAATGACAAAACTCTGAAGGAATACCCATTCTTTTTTTTTTTTCTTTGCTGTTAATCCTCGCCCAAGGTTGTTTTTCCATTGATTTTTAGGGAGAGTGGAAGAGAGAGGGAAAGATAAAAAGAAACATCAATGGCGGTTGGTTGCCTCCTGCATAAGCCTCGACCAGGGCCCAGACTGGGGGAGGAGCCTGCAACCAAGATACGTGCCCTTCACTGGAATTGAATCCGGGACCCTTTGGTCAATAGACCGATGCTCTATCCACTGAGCCAAACTGGTTGGGCGGAATACCCATTCTTAACAATAGCCTATTAAGTGTGAAGCCATAAACATATGCTTTAATAAGATATATCCAAGAAACAAATATGGGAAAAGCTACCAATAAGATTTGGAGTCAGGTTGAGACGGCCCCGGTGAGGTTGAGACGGCCCCGGTAAGGCTGGGACGGCCCCTGTGAGGCTGAGACAGCCCCTGGGAAGCCAAGAAAAATACATGATCTCACTCATTTATGGATAATAAGGACCATTATAGACTGATGAACAAAAATGGACATAGAGGCAGAGCAACATTGAGCAGACTGTCAAACTACAGTGGGAAGCCTGGGGAGGGTTGGGGGGAGTAGGAGATCAACTGAAGGACTTGTATGCATGCATATAAGAATAACCAATGGACACAAGACACTGGGGGGTGGGGGAGGCTGGGGGAATGTCAAGGGGGGGAAAAAAGGAGACGTGTAATACTCTTTGTAATACTTTAAGAAATAAAACAAAATTAAAAAAAAAAAGATTTGGAGTCAGCTTTTAGGTCTATAGGTCTAAGCTCTAATGCTTACAGTAGGCTTAAGTCTAAGCTCAACATTACTAAGCTGCAAAGCTTGAAAAATTGGTTGACCTCCTTGAGTCTCACTTGTCACTTTTAAAAGAGGATGGAGATGTTGTACCACCTGCCCTTCTGATAACAGTATGCAGTAAGGTTCAGGGAAAAGTGTATAAAAACTGATTAAAAAGTACAAAACACTGCAGATATTTTATTTTTAATAATAAAGAATTGCCGAAACCGGTTTGGCTCAGTGGATAGAGCGTCGGCCTGCGGACTGGAGGGTCCCGGGTTCGATTCCGGTCGAGGGCATGTACCTGGGTTGCGGGCACATCCCCAGTGCTCGTCATTTGTAATTTTTATAAATGGAAAAATATATTTTATGACATAGAAGAATCATATTTTTATTAACTTCTCATGTTAAGAGAATTAATATAGCACAAATATCACAAAGTCAAAATTATGATAATATAGCAGGATCACCCCCTTATTGTCTAATGTTCTCCTTTACCAAGTATTATATATTTTCCATTTGTTAAAGGAAGGCATCTTTGGAAGTTATATAACTGAAACCTAAACAGGGTAGAATGTTTTTGAGCTTGAGAATATAATTTATTATATTCTATAATTATAATTATAATTTATTCACTGCATAATACTTCTTGATAGACTGCTGAAACATAGGTAGCCATTTTTGGTTATGTAATCATTCTTTAAAGATAGATGAGCCCTCAGTTAACCACATAGTTGTTGCTCCAAGCTTCATATACCAGTTATTTTCATTGTCTATTTTTACTTTTAATTTTGAGATGGAGAAGCCTTGTTTGCCATTATTTTATTGTGAGCATTGCTGATAGTATCCTTTTTTAAAAATTTTATTGACTTTTGTTGCTGTTTTGATTTTCCTTTCAGCCACCATACCCCACCCCCAATATGAAAAATATCTTCTCTTTTTTATTTTAAAACCTAAAACTTTTGGGAGAAGATAATTATTTTGTTCAAGTCAGAAATTCCATAAAGGAAATTGTTTTAAAATTCTGAGACTAAGTATGTCTCACTCAGATGTCTCTGTACATATTTACAGACAGATACATTAGTGATGAATTTGTCAAAACTAACAAGTCAGAAAAAAGACATCTAGTGTTCATGTCTGATTATGGCCTTTGTAAAGTTTACCAGGGACTATAATATTTCAGAATACTGCCTCTATTTAGCATGTTACTGTATCCAGGCGAGACTCATATCAGAGTTTGCCAAGTTAAAAGAATATTCTATATTTTTTGAGTCCTGCAACAAAAATATTATCAGAATTGTAATTGTGCCAGCATTTGTCATGAGGACATGAGGCAAATTAGCCTTAGTGAATTAGTTGTATTCCAGGCTGAGGTCCTCACCATGACACTAAGAGGTGATTCTTTTTTTTTTTTTTTTTTTTTTTTTTTAAATATATTTTATTGATTTTCCACAGAGAGGAAGGGAGAGAGATAGAGAGTCAGAAACATCGATGAGAGAGAAACATCGACCAGCTGCCTCCTGCACATCCCCCACTGGGGACGTGCCCGCAACCCAGGTACATGCCCCTGACCGGAATCGAACCTGGGACCCTTCAGTCCGCAGGCCGACGCTCCATCCACTGAGCCAAACCGGTTTCGGCTTTTTTTTTTTTTTTTTTTAAATATATTTTATTGATTTTTCACAGAGAGGAAGGGAGAAGGATAGAGAGTTAGAAACATCGATGAGAGAGAGACATCAATCAGCTGCCTCCTGCACACTCCCCACTGGGTATGTGCCCGCAACCAAGGTACATGCCCTTGACCGGAATCGAACCTGGGACCCTTGAGTCCCCAGGCCGACTCTCTATCCACTGAGCCAAACCGGTCAGGGCTAGGAGGTGATTCTTACTTTCTCATTTTACTGATAAGAAAACTGAGCCTCCATAATGATTAAGAACATGTCCCTATCACACAAAGGGCAAGAGGCAGAGGTTTGGTAAGACTCCAGAGCCTGTGCTTTGTTTTGTTTTCACATGACCACACTGCTGTGTGTCAGGCACAGAGGAAATATAGTTGAGTATACCCTAACTCAGTGGTCGGCAAACTGTGGCTCGCGAGCCACATGCGGCTCTTTGGCCCCTTGAGTATGACTCTTCCACAAAAGAGTCATACTTCTGCACATGGGCCACGAAGTTTTGATACCACTGTACATGCGCGCCTGCACGTGGTATTTTGTGGAAGAGCCACACTCAAGGGGCCAAAGAGCCACATGTGGCTCACAAGCCACAGTTTGCCGACCACTGCTCTAACTTAATTAATTCAGTACCTTAGGTTTACTAGTATCTTATTTATATGGTATAAATAGTTCAGTTTTATAACAAATAATTTATGTGCTTTCTTTGGCAGAAATTATTTTCCTATGTCATCTCTAGACCATTCTATGTCTAGGCATTTCTAATTTATCTCCTAGAGTAATTACAAAGGCTGTATTTATGGAGAAAAGAACTGGGTTCCTTTGAAAGCGTTTTCTTTTGAATTCCATTTATTCAGCTGAAATGAAACATGCTTATCAGAATGATCCTCTAACATCCGTGGGAGTCTGATAAACTTTCCAGGAGTGGTTTTTGTGGGGTTTATAGAGATGTATTTATCCTGCTGTAGTAGTTCTTGTTAAACCAACAATATTGTTCTAATGTCAGTCTATACAAATGAAATTATTATAGACAGTATCTTCCTCCAAGTTAAGATCTTATCTTTGAGCTCAAATTTCTTCTTTTTCATTGTTTTGCTTTGCATTTTGCATAAGTTCTCCTTGACCTTCCAAAAACCTAATTTGGTTCTCCTTAGTGATCAATCTTTCCAGATTACCTCAAGACTTTAAATTCAGTAATCACATTTTGTGCTCTGTGTGTAAGTTTTTGGGGACAGAGTTTCTTAGTGCTGTAGTTTTAGTTCCATGAAAGCTGTCATAACAAACTTTCTTTTAACGGTCAATGAATGTTGTCATTACTTGTTTCCTATCATCAGTTCGCTTTGCTCTAGTTGAAATCATATGTTCTAAGACAGCTGTGGGCCGGATCCCCCGCGGGCCGGATCCTGCCCATTTGAAATGAATAAAACTAAAAAAAAAAAAAAGACCGTACCCTTTTATGTAATGATGTTTACTTTGAATTTATATTAGTTCACACAAACACTCCATCCATGCTTTTGTTCCAGCCCTCCGGTCCAGTTTAAGAACCCATTGTGGCCCTCGAGTCAAAAAGTTTGCCCACCCCGGTTCTAAGAGCTGAACTTAATTTCTTTTCTTCAGGTTTCTGCATCCCCTTACATGGAATATATTTTTCATTTTCCTACTTGTAGTTGTGTGTTCCCTGAGGCCTATATTGTCAGGCCGTTGGTACCTCTAGGTCAGAAGCTAAGCAGCTGGCAGGATGAGACATGGTAGCTTATTTTAAGGACCAATAGGGAACTATCGGGCAAAGTGCAAGCTTAAGGCATTTGGGGGAAGAGTGCTCTTTCCTCCTGAGCTTTTTTTATGTGGGCAACAGCCCTCTCCCAATGCCAGGTTCACAAGCCTTCTCTGGTCTGTTAGGATCAGCAGAATGGTAGCCCTTTCCCACAAAAGGCCAGCGTGCTCATACCAAGTAGGCTAACAGAGAAGACTGCTCCATGCTATCTTTCTTGGAGACTCAGGAGAGGGAATGGCCCAGGGGGTGCCTTCCAGGCTCAGGCACCATATTCTGTGCTTTATTTGTTTGCTTGTTTCAGAGAAGAAGTTAGTAAGGAAAGGGGTCTATGGCACAAGCTCAAGGCACTGCCTGCCCAAGTCCCTCAAGGCCTGAACTTATGTATTTTATCATCAAAACAATATAGGAAGAACTCTGTTATTTCGTAACGTTCTAATGTGAACTTTTGGACTTAACTGTCTTTCCCACAAAAATTATTCAAAGCATTATCTAATGACTGTTGTAAGACATAAATAATATGTGTCCTTTAACATAAAATTTATGATTTCATAATTATACTTTAAAAAGGCAAAAACATCCCTGGTCGGTGTGGTTCAGTGGTTAGAGCATCGGTCAGCACGCCAAAGGGCTTCCAGGTCAAGGGCACTATCTGGTTGCAGGTTCAATCCACAGCCCAAGTTGGGGCTCATATGGGAGGCAACCAATCAATGTTTCTCTTTCTCTCTCTCTCTCTCTCTCTCTCCCCTCCCTCTCTCCCTTCACTCTCTCTAAAATTAATGGAAAAATTCTTGAGTGAGGATTAGCAACAACTAAAAGCAAAAACAAATGAAAACTTAACAATATTGGGCCCAACTCTAGACTCTGACATTGAAAAATATTAAGTATTTATTCTGCCTCTTCTATCAAACTATATTTCAGAGTAATTAGCTCTAGTTGATGAAGTTACTCTCTACAGAAGAATTCAGCTCATTTTTAACTTCTAATAAAATAAATTGATTTAGCAACCATCAGTGGGTGAAACCATTAGTGAAAAGATTGACAGGGAACTTTACAGTGGTGGGATCAAGTTACTACCATTTAAATACAGTGATCATTGCCTCTTGAGATGCCACCATATAAATGCATACTTAAATATGTAAGGGTAAAATAGTTGGTATTTGTGATAAATGTTTCAGGAAAAAGGGTGCACAAAGATGAAGTAAAAATGGTAAAGATATGATTGTTAAATCTGGGTGATCGGTATATGGAGGTTCATTATACTGTAATCTCTCATGAATTTTTATTTTTAAAAGTTTTAAACTAATATTGGTGTTTTGGAAATGATAAATGGAAAATAAAATTACTTAGTTTCTCTTGTTTTACAGCCAGCATTGTTTCATGTTATGAAGTTGTTATCCCCATACTTGTGAGAATTTATAACCTATAAAGTTACAGAATTAATGCCATGCCCTTTGACAGATCTTTCCCTAGACCATTCTGACCTGGTTGCGGAGCTGTTGAAGGAGCTGTCGAACCATAATGAACGTGTAGAAGAGAGAAAAATTGCCCTCTATGAACTTATGAAACTAACCCAGGAAGAATCTTTTAGTGTTTGGGATGAACACTTCAAAACAATATTACTTTTACTACTTGAAACCCTTGGGGATAAAGAGGTAAATGGCATAATCCTATATAATAAAAGGCTAATATGAAAATCGACCTAATGGCAGAATGACTGGTCGCTATGTCGTGCACTGACCACCAGGGGGCAGACACTCAACACAGGGGCTGCCCACAATGGTCAGTGTGCTCCCACAGGGAGAGCGCTGCTCAGCCAGAAGCCAGGCTCACAGCTGGCAAGCGCAGCGGCAATGGTGGGAGCCTCTCCTGCCTCTGCAGCAGCACTAAGGAGGACACAGGCCAGGCTGAGGCACCCTCCCCATCCTCCCAGTGCATGGATTTCATGCACCGGGCCTCTAGTATGTAAATAATCGCCTGTTTTTTCTGTCTTGGGTTGCATGTCACTGCCAATTAACCAAGCACTACACAGATTTGGAAATTGGGAAAATGGGTCTCTTCTGCTGCTGCTTTCTGCATGGAGTTTTCACTGTAAAGTGCTTCTTCTTGTAAACCAAGTAGCCCAGCGATTTTGAATAATTGACAATGGCAAAAATGAGAAGTTGCTGACAGGTCTTTACAGGAGAGTACAGGTTACTTGTTTTGCCTACTTAAATTGGTTCAGAAGTAAAAGTTCCTTTTTAATCGTATTTAGTTGGTTCTCAATTTTTTTAAGATGTGTGATATGTTTTCAACTAGAGATGTGAAAACTTAATTATGCAATATTCCACATACTTTATGTAGTTGTCTATGATCCCCCGACCCTCACCTCAGTATTAAGATCCTTATACTTTAGACATGGGAAATGTAAAAGATTATCTACAACCCGAAATATTAAAAACATTAAAATGTTTCTTCTTAGCCTACAATCAGGGCTTTGGCATTAAAGGTTTTAAAAGAAATCCTAAGGCATCAACCAGCAAGATTTAAAAACTATGCAGAACTGACTGTCATGAAAACATTAGAAGCACATAAAGATCCTCATAAGGAGGTAAGTTACCTGACACTTAAATTATTATTATTTTATTCCTAGTACTTCTGATATTACAGCAGTCGCCCCTTTTCCTCAGGAGTTATGTATCAAGACCCCCAGTCGATGACTGAATCTAAAGGTGGTACCGAACCCTATATTTACTATGTTTTTTTCCTACACATAAATGCCCATGATAAAGTTTAACTTATAAATTAGAGTAAGTGGTTAACAGCAATAACTAATAATAAAATAGAACATTTATAGCAATATAATGTAATGAAAGTTATGTGCATGTGGTCTTTCTCACAATATCCTACTAATAGCACTCTACTCACCTTTTCACTAAAAGGAAGCTCTTTACAGCTTCTCTTTGGCACATCTGAACTGCCAGCATCACAACTCTTGCACTTTGGGCCATTATTAAGTCAAAGAAGGACGACTTGGAATACAAGCACTGATACTGTGACAATGGATATGATAACTGAGCTGGCTACTGAGTGACTAACAGGTGGTAGTGTATATAGTGTAGGCTATGCTGGACACAGGGGTGATTCACGTCCTGTACGGGACGGAGGGGGATGATGCAAGATTTCATGATGCTACTCAGAAAAGCATGCTATTTAAAATGTATGCTTTCTTACTGGAACTTTCCATTTAATATTTTTATACCATGGTTGAGTGCAGATAACTGAGCCCCCAGAAAACTGGGGGACTACTATATTGCGTAAAACATAAATGTTGCTTAAAATGTACCCTTATCCATCATTTCCTTAATGAACACTCATCTTGATTTTCAAGGTAATATCTAATTGAGATACAAGCATATATTCCTTCCTATTAAGTACATTATTGTGATATCATGGCTAGCTCTAGGAAATAATTTATCTTACTTCATTTTCTCCTTCATTTCACTTTTCGTTTTTTACTTAGAGTTCACCAATGTTATCTTCACATTCCACTTATCAATAAGAATTTAGTTGTTGTTTTTTTTTTTTTTTATCTTTTTTTTTTAATTGCTTAAAGTATTACAAAGGGTATTACATATGTGTCCATTTTGTCCCCACGCCCTAGACAGTCCCCTAGCCTCCCCTATCCCCCAATGTCTTATGTCCACTGGTTATGCTTATATGCATGCATACAAGTCCTTTAGTTGATCTCTTACCCCCCTACCTCCTGCCCCCCAACCCTCCCCGGACTTCCCGCTGCAGTTTGACAATCTGTTTGAGGCAGCTCTGCCTCTGTATCTATTATTGTTCAAAAGTTTATAATGGTCTCTATTATCCATGAATGAGTGAGATCATGTGGTATTTTTCCTTCATTGACTGGCTTATTTCACTTAGCATAATGCTCTCCAGTTCCATCCATGACGTTGCAAATGGTAAGAGTTCCTTCCTTTTTAGAGCAGCATAGTATTCCATCGTGTAGATGTACCACAGTTTTCTAATCCATTCATCTACTGATGGGCACTTAGGCTGTTTCCAGATCTTAGCTATGGTGAATTGTGCTGCTATGAACATAGGGGTGCATATATCCTTTCTGATTGGTGTTTCTGGTTTCTTGGGATATATTCCTAGAAGTGGGATCACAGGGTCAAATGGGAGTTCCATTTTCAGTTTTTTAAGGAAACTCCATACTGTCTTCCATAGTGGCTGCACCAGTCTGCATTCCCACCAGCAGTGCACAAGTGTTCCTTTTTCTCCACATCCTCTCCAGCACTTGTCGTTTGTTGATTTGTTGATGATAGCCAGTCTGACAGGTGTGAGATGATACCTCATTGTTGTTTTGATTTGCATCTCTCGGATGATTAGTGACTTTGAGCATGTTTTCATATGTCTCTTGGCTTTCTGAATGTCCTCTTTTGAAAGGTGTAGTTGTTGTTTTTTTAAGTAATTAAGATAAGAATCGTTACTATTTTAAAGTGGTAAATTGCCTGTATGAGCTGGATATCTGTTAAAAGTTTATTAAATAGCTCAGCTGGTGTGGCTCAGCAGTTGAGCATCAACTCATGAGCCAGGAGGTTACAGATTGATTCCCAGTTAGGGCACATGCCCAGATTGCGGGCTCGATTCCCAGTAGGGGGCGTGCAGGAGGCAGATGATCAATGATTCTGTCTCATCATTGATGTTTCTGTCTCTCCCTCTCCCTTCCTCTCTGTGAAATCAATAAAAATATTTTTTTAAGTTTATTAAATAAAATAATGAGGACAGCTTGCCTGGAAGAGTCTAATATTGCCACGACCACCAGTGATGTTGATAAGACAATCATGAGGATTTTTATAAAAATCTCAGAAGTAATTAGAAAAGGAAATTTCAAATAGGAACTGCAGTTCTAAGAGAAAGCACCAGAGCAATAGCATTAGGTGTCTGGTAAAACAGACATGAGCAAAAGTCAAAAAGGAAAGTTAAAATAGCAGTGAGACAAAATAGATCAATACTTAATGTAAAAGCTAAAACTTTAAAAATCTCATAAGAAAACAAGTGTACATCTTCGTTACCTTGGATTAGGCAGTAGTTAGATAGAATGCCAGAAGTAGAAGTAACCTACAACAACTACTAGAAAGAAGATAAACGGACTTCATCAAAATTAAAAACTTTTGTGCTTCAAAAGACGTTATAAAGAAAGTGAAAAGGCAATCCACAGAATAGGAGAAAAATGTTATAAATGATGTGTCCGATAAGGGACTAACAGCCAGAACATATAAAGAACTTTTACAAACCAACAACAAAGAGACAACCCATTTAAAAAATGGGCGAAAGATCTGGATTGACTTTTCTGCAAATAAGTTATACAAATGGCCAGTGAGCACACAAAAAGATGCTCAACATCATTAGTCTTAGGAAAATGCAAGTAAAACCCACAGTGAGATACCACTTAACACAGACCAGGAAAAAGGCACTGAGAAGTGTTGGTGAGGATGCAAAGAAACTGAAAGCCTCTGTAACCCCCTTTCCAAAAGATCTGACTGAACCTTAGAGGAGAGTGAATCATAACTTTTAAATCTGCCTGGATTTTTATTCAGATTTTTTTATTCAGCTGTTGTTTAACATCTTGCTTAATGTCTAAAAAACTAATAGTTTAGTTACCCACCTTCTGACCCAAATAATGCCTGTAATATCCCTATTTTTACAAAAGATAAAGTTAACATTCTTAAGGTGCTATAGCTGAATTAGCCCTGGGTCTTCTGACTTCCAGTGTATTTTTCCCTGTGCCTTTCTGAGCACCTCTCACAGATTGAGGTCATAAGGAAGACACTACCAAAGTAGCATGAAAAGCAATAATTTTTACATGTTTTCAAGACCGTCACTAGAGATTACAGATTCTAATAAGATTGACAACTGTTTCTTCTCTTTATTGAAAAAGCAGTATCATACCTTCCCCAAGCCCAATACAGAAGGAAAGAAAATCATTATGAACAGAAGGAGGAATAGCGTGTTACTTGATAATGTATTGAATGTTTTATGTTGTAATTATGTGGTAAAAGGGGACATAGCACTCCTGGGGTTGAGGACACTAATAATGAGCAGCATCTCAGTGTGGCTGATGCAAAAGACTCCACATTGTAGTCTAGGTAAATAGAGCGTTCACTTCCCTGCACAACTAGACCACAATATGGTTTTAAAATCACTTTTGCCAATATTAAAAGAACACAAAAGAAGGAAAAATGGTTTAATAAAGACGGATGAATTCATTTCCTAACTTCAACAGTTACATTTTGCCAGTCCTGTTTTAGCAATACTCTTACTTTTTGTTTGTTTAATATTTTCAAAGCAAATTCCAGTTGTTATGTCCTATTACCTATATCATGAAGTTTGTACTTCCAGGACACAGTATAGAAAATATATTTTTATTACTTCCCTACTCAGTTTCCTTTGTTTTAGGTGGTGAGATCAGCGGAGGAAGCTGCGTCCGTGTTGGCCACTTCAATCAGCCCAGAGCAGTGCATCAAAGTGCTTTGTCCTATCATCCAAACTGCAGATTACCCCATTAATCTTGCTGCAATCAAAATGCAAACAAAAGTGATAGAGAGAGTATCCAAGGAAACTCTTAATCTGCTTTTACCAGAAATTATGCCAGGCCTAATACAGGTAAGCAGTTAAGCATGGAGGAATAAGCTACGATAGATTTGGGATTCTGTTATTGTAGGCACTTTTCCAGGCAACACTAATGGCATGACCACGCTTGCCTATTTGCTCTGAACATCCAAGACTGTAGGCAGGTGTGTGTGGTGTGTGTGCACTGTGTGTGTTAAAATATACATAATATAAAATTTACCATTTAGTCATTCTTAAGTGTGCAATTTCGTGGCATTAAATACATTCACAAGATTACACAACCGTCACCACTATTCATTTTCAGAACTTTTTAATCATCCCAAATGGAAACTCTGTACCCATTAATCAATGATTCCCCATTCTTTCTCCTCTCAGTCCCAGGTAACCTCTATTCTACTTTCTATGTTCCTCATATAGTGTTTGTCCTTTTGTGGCTGGCTCATTTTATTTAGCATAATGTTTTTAGGGTTCATCTATGTTGTAGCATGTATTCCAATTTCTTTCTTTTTTTGACTGAATAATATTCCATTTATGTTTATACCACAATTTGGGGGGGGGGTGCGGGTTGTGGTGGGGGGGGGGGTTGTTGTTAATCCTCACCTGAGGATATTTTTCCATTGATTTTTAAAGAGAGTGGAAGGGAAAGGGAGAGACAGAGAGAGAAACATCAATGTGAGAGAGACATATCAATTGGTTACCTCTGTGTGTGCCCTGACCAGGGATCAAGCCTGCAACTGAGGTACATGCCCTTGACCAGAATTGAACCCGGGACCCTTCAGTCCATGGGCTGACGCTCTATCCACTAAGCCATGCTGGCTCGGGCTATGTCACAGTTTGTTTACCCATTAATGTGTTATTGGAAATGTGGGTGTTTCCCTTTTTTAATTAACTTAAATATATATTACAGCGAAATTTCTTGTACTTATATGTATATATATCTAGAAATAGAATTCCTAGGTATTACCAGATTCCTCTCCAAAGTGGTCGTAGTAATTTACAGTCATAGATGTAATACTTTTTTTTTCTATGCACACAAACCCACTCATATAAACATTATGACAAATATGGAATTTATAACATGCTTTGCTTAACTTCATAGATTATGAGATTTCTGCCATCCAATAAATAATATTCTATTATGTGATTTTAATTCAGTAGTGTGCACCACTATATTAAGACCTCCTCCTGAAGAGAATTAATCATTTATTTCTTGGTGCATTATCTATGTGACTTTATTCTAAGCCCTAAAATTTTTAATTGTGAGATCCTTGAAGATCAGGTCCAAATATCTTTCTTCTTGGTCTATGCTTTGATACAAAGAATAGAATATATAACATGTACATGTCATATATATAATGAATACTGAATAAATGTTTAGATGAATAGTTGGAGCAGTGGTAAGGATGGGACAGATATTAAGCTTAACTCAGCCTGGATTATAGGAGTACCCTGACTGCCAGGCCAAGGAGATTTTATTTGCTAGTGAGGAGCTGTTGAGTTCCATAAAACTGAATGATTTAGGGAGGTTAATCTGGAGACTTTTTGCAGGGTGGATTGGCAAAGAGGCAGCCTTAGAGTCAGAGAATTGCAGCTTTCCAGGCTAAATAAAGGACCTGATAAGGAAGGCTAACAGTGGAGGTGCCACAGGGGAGATGGAAGGAGAGAGGGAATGTCTGCCTGAAAAGGTTGAAAAGTTCATCGGTCAGTAAAGCTTGAGATCTCATCTTTGAGTTGCGTCTTCTGTCTCTGTTGGATGGTGCTTTCTCAGATCCCCCAGGAGTGCTAACACGGACTTTTCTCCCTAGGGTTATGACAATTCAGAGAGCAGTGTTCGGAAAGCTTGTGTCTTCTGCCTGGTGGCTGTTCATGCGGTAATTGGGGATGAACTAAAACCCCATCTCAGTCAGCTTACTGGCAGTAAAGTAAGTAGAGCTGCTTTGTTCTAAGGATGCTGACCATGGTACCTTCTTCAAAATTTATTTGTGTGTGTCTGTGTTGATACAAAATTTATTTTTGTATTCAGCTCTTAGTAAGTCATGCTTTGAGCATTCAACTTATTCCTCCTACCGTTTGCATTTTAGCTGTTTCTACTTTCATATTTGCCACTCAGGGGAAGTCAGCAGTTTGGTAGGGTGACTGGTAGATTGCTATGAAAGAATGCCTACCAGATTCTGGTTATTTAAAATAGCCAGCTTCTTTGTCACTCCCACAACCAAATCCTTACCCTCAAAGACTGTTTAGTTAAAAATAGGCAGGGTTATACATTCATGGATTATTTTATATCTCCTAAAATATGGACCACTTGAACATATTTAAATTTCCCCCTATGAACTATGGTAAATATTTGTTCTCGTTCCATTCTTATTTTCATCCGGATAAGCGTACAACTTTGATTGGTATGTTGAAAAAATAAGTCTTGCTTTTCTCATTTCTTTGATACTACCAAAATTTTGAAATTATTTGTAGAGGTGAGGATAGATTATGATTGTTGAACTGTGGCTTATAAACAAGTTAATAGGAGACACTTCAGTTAAAGAGTTTCCCCAAATCTGAATGATTGTCATTACTATGATCATATTTATTTTCAAAATAGCAAAAGGGCAGAAAAATACACATAAAGGAAAATGAGCTCAGGTATAAACCTTTCATAAGTTATACATAGATTAAGGCAGTGGTTTTTAAAACTTTCTGGGGTTAATCTCATCTCAAGAAAAATAAATACATACAGAAAATTTTATACCTAGTTTCAGAGGATGCAATGAGTCCCTGAATCCCATGGACACTGGGTTAAAAACCTTTGAATTAAAGAGTTAATATTAAAAAAGAAAACTTTCAGTAATAAAGTGGTTTTCAAAAAAAATGGATTCCAACTTTTGTTATGAGCTTAAATTAGGTCCTGATAATTCAGAGTTATCTATAGAAAGATTAAAATTAAGCACCTTATTGGGATATTAGGCAGCCAGTAATAATGTTGCATACGAAGACAATAGGTAGGTGGGGGAGAAATATTTGGAAATGACATTCGATGAAAAAAAAATGTATATGCTCTGATTACAAACTTTAGAAAAATATGGTCTCATACCGTAAAGACTGCAAAATGAGAAATCAAAAAACATTTTTAATTGGGGTGACATTGGCCAATAAAATCATACAGGTTTCAGGCATACAACCCCCACAACACATTATTCATACATTGCACTGTGTGCTCACCACCCCACCTCAAAAACATTTTTATTAGGAGGACAGTGGCATAATTATCTAAGATCTTGGGTCCTGGAACCCAAGTGCCTAATTTTATATCCTGGCCCACTTCTTTCTTAGCTCTGAGACTTTAGGCAGTGAGTGACTCACACATTCTGTTTTGAAGATAAAAGGTGATAATATAAGGCAGTTAGTATATTGTATAGCAAATAGTACTTAAATATTTGTCATTGTTTTAATGGTAACTTCTTTTTCTAAATTTACTTGAAGTTTTATGTTACCACTACAATAGTTTATATTTCAGAGATGAAAGGAGAGGGAGAGATAGAAACATCAATGATTAGAGAGAATCATTGATCAACTGCCTCCTGCACGCCCCACACTGGGGATCTAGCCCGCAACCCGGGCATGTGCCCTGACCAGGAATCGAACCTGGGACCCTTCAGTGCACAGGCCGACACCCTATCCACTGAGCCAAACCAGCTAGGGCTACAATAGTTTTTGAAAGGACGTGCTAGATTACTCAATTGTGAACAAATTAGAAAAAATTTTTATAATTTCTAATTGTCAACAATAACTGGGCATTGTAATAACCCCTCCATTCAAAATTTATCTTTTAAAGCTCACATAGCTATACTAATAAAAGCATAATATGCTAATTAAACTGGACCGCCAAACTACCTTCCAGACGTCCTTCCAGACGAAGCCATGGCTGCAGGGGCCGAGGCAGAGGTGGTTAAGGGTGATCAGGCAGGCAGGAGAGCAGTTAGGGGTGATCAGGCAGCAAGGCAAGCTGTTAGGGGCAATCAGGCAGGCAGAGGTGGTTAGGCACAATCAGGTAGGCCAGTGGTCGGCAAACTGCGGCTCGTGAGCCACATGCAGCTCTTTGGCCCCTTGAGTGTGGCTCTTCCACAAAATACCACGTGCAGGCGTGCATGTATAGTGCGATTGAAACTTCATGGCCCATGCACAGAAGTCAGTATTTTGTGGAAGAGCCACACTCAAGGGGCCAAAGAGCCACATGTGGCTCGAAAGCTGCAGTTTGCCGACCACTGAGGTAGGCAGGTGAGCAGTTAGGGGCAATCAGGCAGGCAGGCAGAGTGGTTAAAGGCAATCAGGTAGGCAGGCGAGCAGTTAGGGGTTATCAGGCAGGCAGACAGAGTGGTTAGGGACGATCAGGCAAGCAAGCAGTTAGAAGCCAGCAGTCCCGGATTACAAGAGGTTGCAGGCCAGGCTGAGGGACACAAATTTCGTGCACTGGGCCTCTAGTATGTATATAATTTTTTAATGAACATTATACTATAAATTGGGGCAGCTTGCTCAAATGACATGTTTGCTTTCAATCTGCAGATGAAGCTACTGAATCTTTACATCAAACGTGCACAAACAGGCTCTGGAGGAGCTGATCCCACTACTGATGTCCCTGGGCAAAGTTAGTGAAGCCAGTGGAAGTGAACCAGGTCTCTCCAGGGAAGGACACAGGCCACCCTCATCAATGAAAGGAAATTTTCAAATGCATCTTTTGGAGCTTACCATTGTTTCCTAGTTTTAGTTTTCTGTTTTGTTTTGTATTTTCTGTAACAGAGGACTATCCTCAGTCTGCATGTAACTTTTATGATAGTTATCCCAAATCCAAGAAGAAGCAGTATTAACAACAGTTGATCAATATAAAGTAATTTTAAATCTAACTCATCATTTCACTGTTTGTACTTCTTTGTCTTCCCCATTAACCTTTGCCAGTGTTATGGTTGTATAAATTTTTTTTAATGCTGGTTAAACAGGAATGCTTAAAGCTTTAAAAGTTGGACAGTCTAAAACATTTTTTGCCTTTATTCAAATGCAGGATAATATTTTTTAATTGCTACCTTGAGTTTTGTTTCCTATCATGTCCTATGCTAGTAATATTGAAATGACGTGAAACACAGCAGGACTAATTTGAGCTACAGCTGGACTCTGTTGGTGTGATTGTGATACATGTCATTAGCTATAACTTCTTTGGGGTGGTCTGTAGTTTAAAACTAAGACCTCAAAGAGAAATGTTACAGAATCAGCCAGTTTTGTAAAACTGATATTGTTTGTTGGTTACTGATCTTGCCATCTTTATTTAAAACCATGTCCCCTCTATGATCCCTTAAGAAAGCTGCACCAAATCATCTGCCTGGTTTTTTTTTCTTAATACTTATTAAAATGGAAGGTTTCATTGCAGGGTTTTTGGTTTGTTTATCTTTATTGTGAATGATGCTTTTTTATATTTATTAATATCAAATTCACTTACGAATAAACTTGATAATGGAAACAGACAAAAATAATCAAGTGCATGTGTGTCCTTGACAGTCTTCTGTTTCTCATTTAATAAACAAACTAATTATTGAGACATGGGAGTCGACCAGCACCTTTTGTTTAAATGGTGGAACCTGGTTTCCTTTTACCATGAAATTGTCTTACTTGAAAACGTTGATCCTGATGAGAGAGAAGATGGTGCCAAGGCTATTACCTTGTATAATGGGCTCAAATTCTCTACCTCTTCAGGGCTAATACTTTTAATTGAGCTGCTGCCTATAGTGTCTTTTGGAAAACTAAAGGGTGATTTTTCTGTTACGTTTTTAAGTCACCTTTGGCTACATCTATTCTTTTCATGTGCAGCCAATTTGCAAAAATGACCAGTGTTGGCGAAAGGCAAAGTAGATCATTTGGAACCAGAATACTAATGATTGCTCATCTTGACTTTTTTTTTAATCCTAACAAAGTGAATTTGACTGGAAAGGCAAATAGCTATTAGGGAAGCAATTTGCTGTTGTTACAGAGTTATCTGAACTTTCTTTGTTTAATTGAACAAAATGTAGAAATGTATGTAAAGAATTTAAGAGTACTGAATGGATGATTTGTCATCGGCTTTTACCTTTGTTTCTGTTCTCGCAGCAGGAAGTCTCTCTATATCTCCTCCCCTTTCCCTGTAACAATTTTGTTTTCTACTGTTAATTACATTGTGTATTTATAGTTCTATGCTTACTGTTGTGCATATACTGGCAATAAAACTGTACATAACATTACTTGAAAAAATTAACAATATATATCAGTTGTTTTTCTGTCTCACTGTGTGACAAGCCACTTATCTCATAACTAGGTTTTTAAAAAGCTCATGTATCAATAAATTTTATAAGTGCATCTGAGGAGAAAAGATTTATCAGGAGTAGCAGCCACAATTAAGTATATATAGCTACGTATGCATGTATATATTATAGCTCTAAGATGAAAAGGCATTTTAAACATTGAATGCTTCTTAGTAATGTTTTATGTTCCATACCTTTGATATGTTTTATATAATCATTTTTTTAATATATTTTTATTGATTTCAGAGAGGAAGGGAGAGAGAGAGAGAGATAGAAACATCAATGATGAGAAAGAGTCATTGTCGGCTGCCTCCTGCATGCCCCCCACAGGGGATCAAGCCCACAACCTAGTCATGTGCCCTTGACTGGAATTGAACCTGGGACCCTTCAGTCCACAGTCCGACACTCTATCCACTGAACCAAACCATCTAGGGCCATTTTTAATCTAAATAATGGTTTGATTTTGACTTGTTCTTTACAGTCTTGCTTTAACTATTGTTGACAATTAAATAGAGTGACTTAAGCTGAATAATATCTCTACTTAGAAACGTAGACCAAGCAGCAGGCATCTAAAGGCAGACAACTCAGAAACTAGTGAACTGAGTAATAGAAAAGCAAAACAAAATTGACCAATAATCCCCTAGTGCAAAAAAAAAAAATCTATGAGGAAATGGTTCATGTAGCCAAGGTAGCCCCATAATGTGGCTTGGCCAAAAGGAAGAACGGAAAAGGAAAAATACCCCACATTCAAAACAGGCAACACCATATTACTGAATATTTCTGGAACATCGTCCATATTCATTTTAGGGAAGTGGCCCTAGGACAAGCATGTCAAGCTCAAAGGCTAACACAGGCCAAATAAACAAGGTTTAAGTTTATGTGGGCCGCAAAAAAACAAAAGCTTTAATTTTCATAGAAACGTAGGTTTATTTCGATAGAGACATGCTGAATACAAAGGGCTGAAATAAATGAGTAATCGTTAACATAATAGAACATTTTAATAAAAATATTTTTTCTTGAACATTAACTGACCAGACACTGCATAACTGCACAAATTAATAAGCGTAACACAAATAAGCCTATTTTTCTTGTTCTCCTAAAGCAAAGTATTTCCTGTTGAACACACCAAACAAGTCAGTCCAAGACTAATGACGTGGCAGTCGGCTGCTAGAAAAGTCGCTGCTAGTATTAGTGGAGAGAAATGGTGGGCCTGCGCGGAAGAAGCAGAAGGGAAATGAATGCAACACGATTATAGTGATCAGTCATTAGCGAACGTTGTAGTTTCTTAATTATGTATAACAGTATTGTAAAAATTAAGTTAACGAAATTTTTATTAAAACGTTTCTTACATACCATTATATTGGCTGGGCCGCAAAAACATTCGTTGTGGGCCGCATGCAGCCCCTGGGCCGCGAGTTTTACATGCTTGCCCTAGGACAGTATGACCCAGGTTTAAATGGCCAAAGTATTAAAAGGCTACAATGTGACTAAAAATTGTGCATTAACTTGCCAGCCTTGTTTAAAATTCTTCAAGGATAAACCCCTTCAGGAATGTTTGAAGTTTTGTTTTTTGGGAGTTTTTTTTTTTTTTTTTTTTTTTTTAATGATTCCCTTGCTATCAAACATGAGCTAAGATTTTGACAAGTGCTCCTAATCTAACTTGTCTGCAATGTTTCATACCAGTGCCCAGCCACACAGTCTGGGACACTGAAGTACTGAGATTCTATTAAGTCTCTTTCCAAAAATGTAGTCCTAGTTCAATGAGATGTGTGGAAAAACCCCCCCACAATGTGACTCCTTGTGAACCCAAAGTGGGATATAATCCTATCATTGCTTGAAAATCTAATTGTCACTGCAGAAATGCGGATGGGGCAAAAAGTGTGCTAGCCTCTCGGATTTATTTAATACTATTTTTAAGAAGATATTTTTAATGCTTAATAAATTAGCAATCATGGTCTTAATATAATTTCAGTGGTATGATAGACCAATGTTTTGAGCAGTTGGCTTTATAAGGGCCGACAATAGAGCTCATATTTCTTAAAAGGCTTGTAGATACATTTTTAAAAGATATCTAAAATTCTCAGTAGAAAATCTAATTGTCCTTGAGCTGAGTCTTCCATGGATTACCCAAGAAGCTGTAGTTTGCACACTGCTTTTCCAGAAACGCAGTCTCTCTTGTAGACCCTTTTTAAAAAATCCTTTGTTGTTTAAAGTATTACATATAGTATTACATATGTCTCCTCTTTCCCCTGTTGACCTCTCCTCGGCCACCCCCTGTTGACCCATTTTTTTATTTTTTTTTTATTATTTTTTTTTAATATATTTTATTGATTTTTCACAGAGAGGAAGGGAGAGAGGTAGAGAGTTAGAAACATTGATCAGCTGCCTCCTGCACATCTCCTGGAGATGTGCCCGCAACCAAGATACATGCCCTTGACCAGAATCGAACCCGGGACCCTTCAGTCTGCAGGCTGACGCTCTATCCACTGAGCCAAACCGGTTTCGGCCATTTTTTTTTAAATGAAGTTTACCAAGAAGAGTTGAGCGGTACTTAATCTAATACTGCAAATTAGACCTGTTGTTTCTCAGTATTTATCAACCATGTTCTGCCAAATATTTGTCTAAATGGCATTTACTTGCTGCTCACCAGTTTTAACCTGCATGACTTCATACCAGTTTTGAAATAACATAGAGCCCAGCCAGTGTGGCTCAGTGGTTGAGTGTCAGTGTCTGACATGAACCAGGACAGGAGGTCATGGTTCCATTCCCAGTCAGGGCACATGCCAGGTTGTGGGCTTTATGCCCATGCCTGAAAAATGTTTCTGTGTTCAGTGTGTTACAAAGGCTGAGGCAAAGGAATACTATTGTGACTTTATAAGTTAAAGATTCCTATTAGACAATATTCAATACTCCCAAATAAATGTGTCTTCACAAAAATGAATATACAGATATAAATAACACCTTATATCAAAAATTCAGAATATATGTGGATGTAAAACAGAAAGATATGAAATAGAATTGACAGGACATAGAAGGAAAATTCAAGAAAAATCTCAAAGATACTCAGAAAAGAAGATTAAATTAAAATATCCAAGATAAAACAATTTTTACAGAAAAATATGAGATATTCAGGAAATAAATAAAAACATTCAAGAAAATGAAGTAAGGAGAGCGGAAAAAGTAATCACCAAAAAAAGTAACTGGTAGAAAATAAGCAAAAGTGATTCATCATCCACACAGTTGGAGTTTCTTAAAAAAAAAGAATAGCCGAAACCGGTTTGGCTCAGTGGATAGAGCGTCGGCCTGCGGACTGAAAGGTCCCAGGTTCGATTCCGGTCAAGGGCATGTACCTGGGTTGCGGGCACATCCCCAGTAGGAGATGTGCGGGAGGCAGCTGATCGATGTTTCTCTCTCATCGATGTTTCTAACTCTCTATCTCTCTCCCTTCCTCTCTGTAAAAAAAACAGTAAAATATATTTTAAAAAAAAGAATAAATATTTAAACAAAAGGGAATAAATATTTAAAATCCAAAAATACCCTCCAGAAAGAAAAGCTCTGAATCAACATAATCAAAAGGCACACCTGGAAAAATTATTCTGAAATAATTATTAGACGTATCCTAGGATAGTGGTTGGCAAACTCATTCATCAACAGAGCCAAATATCAACAGTACTTCTTCAAAATAGACTTGCCCAGGCCGAAAACCGACTTCTGCGCATGGGCCATGAAGTTTCAATCGCATTGTACGCATGCCCGCACGTGGTATTTGGTGGAAGAGCCACACTCAAGGGGCCAAAGAGCCACATGTGGCTCACGAGCCGCAGTTTGCCGACCACGGTCCTAGGAAAACCACTAGACTAGACTGTAAAGGTAAAGGGGGAAATCCTCTGGGCCTGGAATCAAACTGATCAATGACTTATAAATAAAAGGAGGAAGGCATTAGTCTTCTTGAGAACAATGTATAAAGCAAGACAACAGTATAACAAAAAATAAACCAATGAAATTGAAAATAGGAAAAATCAACAAAATAATGAAAAAAATCAACAGAAATTAAAAGCTGGCTTTTGAAAAGGTTAAACTTCTACCCAAGCTAACCAAGAAAAAAAGAGAAGACAAACATTACCAATATTAGAAATAAAAGTGGCCAAAACCAGTTTGGCTCAGTGGATAGAGCGTCGGCCTGCGGACTGAAGGGTCCCAGGTTCGATTCCGGTCAAGGGCATGTACTTGGGTTGCGGGCACATCCCCAGTGGGAGATGTGCAGGAGGCAGCTGATCGATGTTTCTCTCTCATCGATGTTTCTAACTATCTCTCTCCCTTCCTCTCTGTAAAAAATCAATAAAATATATTTAAAAAAAAAAAAAAAGAAATAAAAGTGGAGAAACCTGACAAGCCAGGTGATCAAAGTCAATATCTACATTGGTAAATAATGTGCTATATGTCATAAAGGGGCACTTTACCCCTCTGGTTTTCTTCCTCAAAACCAAGAACATGAGAAAAACATCAGAAAAATTCCAATACAGTGGGGCCTTGACTTACAAGTTTAATTCGTTCTGAGACCGAGCTCGTTAAGGAACTCGTTAAGGAGCTCGTTAACTCAAATTACTCTGTCAACTCAATGCAAAATATCGGCTGAGAGACAGCTGGTATCTCAAAAAACTCCTTAGTCGGACACTCATAAGTCAAGGCCCCACTGTAGAGAGGCATCATACAAAATATTTGACCAGTATTCCTCAAAACTGTCAAGGTCATCAAATGTAAAACATTTGTAGCCAGAGGGTGGATTCTGGAAGTTTTAAAACATGACTTCCAACTTATTTCACTGTACTCCCATCAATCTGATTATGTGGCTGCTTGACTAATAAAATATGCTACAGAATAAAGATTCTGCAATAGTTTCTGGTCCTGGGTCTTCAGTGTTAAAAAAATATTCTACACTGGTTAAAGATGGCTAGGCAGACTTTATTCAGGAGCACCACAATAGGTATAGGGACCACTGCAATGTGATGTGGCAGTGGGAGAGACTGGGCTCAACTCCATATGGGTGAATGGGCATTTAGAGCCAAGGGGCAGGTTGGGAGGCAGTGGATGGAAAAGTACTAAGAGAAAACATCAGGTTAGTAAGGGGAGTTCTGGGTAAACCCACCTTACAGGATTTTTGTTGTAGGAATTCCAGCAGCCCCAACTGAGGTCCCAGACAACAACCAGGCTCGAGCTATAAATGTATTGTTGACGGATGGTAAATGAATCAGGAGGCTTTGGCTAAAAATAAATATTTATTCAAGGGTCTCAGGGTTTGCAAACTAGACACACAATTAGGTAATATCCAGGATGTTCTGAAGAAGAAAGAAAAGCTGCTTATAGTTAAAAGTACATTCTTGAGAAGAATCAGCCCTGCATTCTTAGCCTCTGGACTGGTCCAAGATTGTAATCCTCAGGTGGTTTGGACAGTGGTTGTCAGGCAGTATGGATAATAGATGTCAGGTGCTATGGATACATGAATACTCTTTCCTTAGTCTTCCAGAGGGTAATCAGACGTTTATCTGAGGTTTGATGTATATGCAGGCATTGAGGCAGGACTGTAAAAGTCGAAAGTTTAAGTTCCCAGGCTAGTTAAAACAAGAATAGAATCTTGTCCCCATTTCTCTGTTGTAAGTGGCTGGAACAGCACTGGGGGTTAGACCTACAGGGACAGACCAGACCTGGGTTCAGCAACCTAGGTACTTGAGTTCTGGCTAGGAAAGAATTCAGAGCCAAGACTCCTACGATAAGAGAATATTTATTTGGTAAATCACAGAGGTAGAAAAAGTAATTACTGGAAGAAATGGGATTAGGAAACAAGTTATAGAAGTAAAGGAAGTGCCCTTTGAGTTTGGGAGTGAGGAAGCTAATGGTGACACGTCTGGAGGAATGGGAAGTGGGAAGAAGAAGGGGAAAGGGTTAAGGCAGTGGTTCTCAACGTTCTGGCCCTTTAAATACAGTTCCTCATGTTGTGAGCCAACCATAAAATTATTTTTGTTGCTACTTCATAACTGTAATGTTGCTACTGTTATGAATCGTAATGTGAATATCTGATATGCAGGATGGTCTTAGGCGACCCCTGTGAAAGGGTCGTTAGACCGCCAAAGGGGTCTTGACCCACAGGTTGAGAACCGCTGGGTTAAGGGAAAGGCGTGGGCATGCTCCAGGGAGGGAGAGCATGCTGGGTCCTTTGTCCTGAGGGTTTTAAGGGTGGAGACTTTGGGGTAGGCCCCCAGGGAAGATTTCAATAGAGTGTTCAGCAGTTTCCCAGGTGTGTCCTTTCAGGGTTGTGGCATCAGAGCAGGGGGTCATTATTCAATGCAGCTGGTCCCGAGGTCAGCTTTGGTGTGGCTTGCCTGGTTTTGTTGCTTTCCTGGGCCTGGAGCTGAAATACAACTGAGGCCTAGATGTTATCTCTAGGGAGTCAAACCACAGGACCAGCGATATGCTGGGCGAGGAGAAGTCACCCTGGGGGCAAGGTCCCACCCTACAATTGTCCTTTGCTAGGCTCCAAGGACCTTCCACCGTGGTGACCTTCTACACCTGGCCCATGGTCCTTGTTCTACTCATGACTAACTGCCTACCACACCTCAACCTACTTAATCTTAATTTGGCAGAAATGACTATGCCGACACCATTTTATTTCTTCTGTGTTCCTCAGTACAGAAGCCCTGGAGGCGACTTTAGCCCCAGTCATATAACTGCACCCTGAATTAGAAGCTCCCAGCCAAGCCTCGTGAATCCGAGTACCATAAATGCAAGCAAAGAAATAACACGATTGCCAGCTGTTACTGCTAATGAACCCATGGTTGAGCTCCAGCTCGCCATACTGCTCCCAGGAATCAGCAGTTGTGGGAACTCTTTCCAGAACCCTTTACTGGGACCATTGATTGGCTTATGTCCATGTCAATCAAGGTTTTTCTGCCCAATGGGCCTTTCAGTACACAAACAGGGTGCGAGCCTATTGGCTAAGACTCCCACCCGCTTTCTCCTCTCTAATGCGAGCAAAATCCAAAGACAACCCAGAAGACCATAGAGGAGCAAAGTACCACAGGAAGTGGGATCTAGTGCGGCCCAATGAACTCCTAGTTTTGGTAGCAAATTCAGTCCTGGAACCCGCCCAAAAGGAAGAACATTCTGATTGGTGGCTTAGTACAGGGTCACAGAGACTCACGGGAGTTTCGGCCAAGCCTTTGCCTTTATTGTCCAGTTCGCCTGTCAATCAATTAGCTTCGGATGGACGAAAGCAGACAGCCCTTTTGGCACCGCCTCTTCCTGGGCCGGTGTGAAAGGGCAGCGAGGCCGCCGGGGCTGGGACCTGGCCGTGTGGGCGGGGTCGTGCCTCCCTGCAGGGAGGGTGCCTCCACCGGGAAGCGCCGGGAGTGTCCTGTGCGCGGGCCCTGCGGGGCGGGCCGGGGCCGGGGGCAATCTCGGGGGCGGGGGCGGGGGCCGGGCCGGGGCGGAGCCGTAGGAGGCGGAAGCGGCGAGTGAGCTCGAGCGGGAGCTGCGGCGAAGCCATCGTCCGCGCCCGCGGAGCGGCGTCGGCGGGGTTGGCCGGGGCGGTAGAGCCTGGGCGGGCGGGCTGAAGCCCGGGGGTCGAGGCCGGGGACCGGGAGACGGGCGGGCTCACCCCCGCGCGGTCGTCGGAGCGGGCTGAACTCCCGCCCCCCGCGCCGTCCCGGGGAGGATGCGGCCGGGTGCCCCGGGGCGGGACGGGCGGCGGCGGCGGCTGCCGCGCTAGCGGCGCAGGGGGTGGGCGGCGGCGGCATGAGGCGCGGGGCCGGCGCCCGCGGGAGGGAGGCGCTGCCGGCGGCCCTGCCGCTCCCGCCTGAGCTCCTCGCCTTGCCCTGCCCGCGGGGCCCCGGCCGCTCTCGCGCCGGCCGCCGCCGGTGACCGCTCGCCGCGCCGCGGAGGCTTCACCCGCGCCCTCCCCCAGGACGCTCGGCGGAGCTCCGGCCTCTTCGCCGCGCTCGCGGAGGCCGCGCTGCGCGCCGGGCGACGGCGAGGCCGGAAGATGGCCTGGGTGCTCAAGATGGACGAGGTGATCGAGTCCGGGCTGGTGCACGACTTCGACGCCAGCCTGACGGGCATCGGGCAGGAGCTGGGCGCCGGCGCCTACAGCATGAGGTACGGGACGCCCTGGGCCGGGCGGGCGGGCGGACGGACGCACGCACGCCTCCGTACCCTTGGGAAGGGCCTGCAGGACCCTGGGCCTTTGCCAGGCGCGGCTGCGATCAGCGGTGCCCCGGGCCTACCCGGCTTGGAGTCCGGGCCTGCCGCGTGGCCGCCGGGGCCTGGCAGCCTCGCAGGCCTCTGCCCACCCCGGTGGCGGGCTTGGGAGGGCGGCCCTGCCACCTGCGGCCCCGGAACCGCTGGGGGTTTCATTTTTGCTGTAAAACATGCCCGGCTGTTAACGATGCCCTGGGTTGGTGGGGAAGGGGTTTCATTTCCTTGGAAGCGATTGACGAGCTACTTAGAGCTGGGATATAGCACGAAATGATAGGACTTTCTATTGGGAAAGTACTCGGCAAAGTTTTGGTGTCAGCTCCTACCCACTCTGTTCTACATTGTAGTCTTTCCGAGTTGCAGATTGTGGTCACGTGATTCAATGTGACAATAGCCGCAGGGGAGAAAAGCACGTCCAGCGACGCAGTTACGGTTCTTTGATGGCCTCGGAATGAACTTTTTCGCTTTGGGGGCTGCCCTCTTAGGCTGCCTCCCTTGGAGGACGACTTGAAGGCACCGTGAACGCGCCACAAACAGTAGTTTGTTTCGGCTTCTCCGCCTGTGTGGGCAGCCATTCATTTTCGTTTAAATTGGAGGCGTGGAAACTTTAGTCTCTGGCCTGTATCCCGAGGGATGCTGTTCTTCAACGCCTGTCAGCTTGGCAGCTCTGTGTGTCTTAGCTTGTTTGGAATTCAGTTTACTTACTGTATAAAGTCGCCCCATTGGCAGTACTAACTCGATGGGCTGGGCAGCTTTCTGTGAATGCGAATTCAGGTGAGGCATTCCAGATCTGCCCCTTAAAGTCATGGCTGAAGTGCTGCTGTCCCGATGCCCAGGCGCCTCCGCACATGGCACTGCTGCTCTCGGGGAGGACACCTGTCCTGAAGCAGAAAGGCTTCGGGGTCAGAGTAGGCCTGGGTTGGCGGGGGCTGCTCCCTGCAGCCATTCGGCTTTTAAGTCTTATAAATAAATAACTCTCAAAAGGGTGGGGGTGTTTGAGGAAGTGCTGGGAGGAAAGCCCTCGTTCACCAGCCTCCGACCCTGACTGTGTCCGTGCTGGTCTCTCCGAACTTGGCACTTCTCCCTGCGGTTGTGCAACTGGATGAGGTGGCTTGTTTTCTGGAGCAACTGCTTTAGTTGTGGAGGAAATTGAGCTACTGCAAGTCAGAGGGTCACCCCAGCTGGGAGTGCTGGGGGTGAGATTGCCTGGGGAGGAGGTGGCCTCCGGGCCATGCTTTTCCTGGAGACCTGGAGGAGTAGGAGGGCAGGTGGAGCAAATGGAGTGTGCCTTCAGTTGCTTCTCAGTGACCAGTTGTGACGAAATGAGAGTTGGCTGCCGAGGGCATTGTTTATTGAGTTATTTTGAGCTTTTATCCCCACCCCCCCCCAAGAGTTCTGTTTGTTTTAGTAATTTGACCAGCTAATGAACTTTTATTGTTAGTTTATTTTGTGTAAAGGAAGTAAAATCTTGGTATTAAACCTTTCCTTGACCTTTTTTTTTAAAGTAATGTGTGATATCTTTGTAAATCTGTGTTTTTTACAACACTTCTCATGGGGAAACTTTTCCCCTTGAATGCTTTTGGTTATTGGTGATATGGTATGTGTCATTTAATCTAAAATTTTCAAGTATCTTTGAAGGCAAATACCATTTTGTTGTGTTTTGTTTTTTTTTTTTTTCATGTATTTTAGGTATCCGTTTGCTCCTGAACATTTGCTCCTCAAAAACTAAGAGGAACCCATGAAAGTCCTTGCCTCTTGCAAATTCAAGACCCTTTATTTGAGATTCAAATTTAGGAAATTGCAAAATTGACTTGACCTGGAAAAAGACTGAAGGCTTTAAGCCAGTGGTTCTCAACCTTGGCTGCACATTAGAATCACCTGGGAATCTTTTTAAAATCCTGATTTCTGGGCCTCATCCTCCGGAAATTCTGTTTCTTTGTTACTAATGTTGTGGCCCCTACCCCATAACAAAGAAACAGAATTTCCGGAGGATGAGGCCCAGAAATCAGGATTTTAAAAAGATTTCCAGGTGATTCTAATGTGCGCCAAGGTTGAGAACCACTGCTGTAAGCTGTGCTGCCTTTTGTTACGTTGCATTCCCCACCTGGACCTGAAGCTCTCTGAGGGCCGGATGGTCTCAGGAGTGCCCAGTGTCCTTTCACTGCATGGCAGTCTCTTCCTCTGGTATCAAATGGGAAGTAAGGGCTACTGATGCTTGTCTTTCTTTCATTTGTTCTCTCAAGTTCAAGAAGTAAATTCGTGGCTAAACTTGAAATTATTTGAAAAGTGACTTTTTTTCTTGATTTCAGAGAGGAAGGTGAGGGAGAGAGAACCCCCCCTCAAAAAAAAAAAGGAAATAATGCAACTTTAGATTACACATAAAAACTTTGATATTAAATTATCACCTTACAAAGGACATTGGTCTGAACCTGTTAAACTTCCCTGTACGATAAGTCTTATTTTGAAGCAAAAGTTACACATTGCAGATTTTGTGGGAGGTGCACTCATAGTTTACAAATTATTTGCTAACTCAAAACTGCTGTGAGGTGAAGACAAATTTTCTATATTGATTGATAGGTTAAAATGCCAGTGTACAGACTTTGTGAGGTAATGGGAAAATTTCAACTCAATAAGTTTTAAGTTAGTAAAAGATTACTAAGGATATGGTTTATTATGTAGCTATTAATAGCAGATGTTTTTCTTTTGGTCTCATGCTAAAACAAAGGGTTCTTGAGTGGGTGACATGTCTTGGAAGTACAGAAAAATTTTAGGATTAGTGAAATGTTAAAAATTTATTTATAGTGGTTCCAGAATTGGCAATAATTCCTATAAAACTTCTCATTTCAAAGTTTAAAAACTTTTTCTGGCTTTAATCTTGGCTGAATTATAAGAAAGAGTTTAATAAGTTATTGATTAAAAACAATATTGATTTCAGATCATATTGTTCACATTGGTTTTTAAATGTATTACCTTGAAACAGGGATTGGCAAAAAAAAAAAAAAAAAAAAAAAAGCCAGATAAATTTTAAGGCTTTGCCGGTCAGAGCATCTCTATCATGCTTTTTTGTTTGTTTACAACCATTTTTAAAAATGTGAAAGCCATTCTTAGATCATGGTTGTACAAAAACAAGCTGGCTGGATTTGGCCCTTGGGATGTAGCTAGTCAACTCCTGTTCTAAAGGATAGAGGAATAATAGGCTTTGATTGCCTTGGGAAAGATTTGCTGCGTATTGAAATCTTATATTCAAGAAATAACTTCTATGTAGACTAATAACTCTCAACTAATTAGCATACATTCTACTATTTGTCCATAGATTTTGTGTTCAGTTTTAAAAATTAGACTGTCCCCTCTCTCCACTAAAAACAAGATTCAATGCTGTTTATATTCTGTATTGAGAGCTGTTTGAACCATGACAGCTTATTGATAGGGTCTCATAAATTTGATGTTTTATTAAGGTGACGCCTGTCAATTTGCCAGGACGTACGTAAACATTTGCTATTGGTGGAAATACCATCTGATGCCTCATCTTTGTTTGCTTTAGGTTCTGTGACTGAATTTAGAAGGAGCTCTGTAATAATTATTTTGCTTGCTTTGGTACATAACTAACAGATGGATATGAAACCGATCTATGTTGAACCTTGGTGTGGCAGTCTCTTTTAAAACTTGCTGAGTTTTTTGGAGTTTGTGAAATTGTTATCTTGAGATATGGACTACAACAGAACTACATAGTTTTTCTTTATTTATGTGTTGGTGGTTGAATTTTTAAGTTAATTTTTTAAATTCTTCAATGATTTTAGATTTACAAGTTACAGAGATAGTCTAGCAAGTTGACGTGAACCCTTTACCCAGTTTCTCCTACTTCCATAACCAGAGTACAATTTTTTTAATCCTCACCTGGGGATATGTTTTTATTAATCTTAGAGAGAGGGGGGCGGAGGGAGGAGACATTGATGTGAGAGAGAAACATCAATCAGTTGCCTTCCTTATGGCGTAGACTTACAGGGGATCAAACCCAAAACCCTTTGGTATATGGGACAATGTTCCAACCACCCCACCAGGGCCAGAGTACAATTTTAAAAGATGCCATGGTGCAGTACTGTTATATAAAGTACACCATTTATTTGGTTCACAGTTTTTCCTCTGTTGTCCTTTTTGTGATCCGGGTTTCAGTCTCAGACATCATCGTGCTTAGTGTTTGTCTCCTCTTTTATGACTTTGACAATCTTGATATGTAATTAATTGTCAAAGCTGTTGTTTTTAAACATGAAGGATAAAATTTTGGAAGCTATGATAGAATATACCTGTGAATACTATTTTTGAGTTCAAAGAATCTCTTGTCATTTTAGCAGAATGACTTTGAGTAGGATCACTCCTTGGTGTCATTTTCACTCATTTATGGATTACTTTGTCTCAATCTCAAATTACTTTGTCTCTGAATAGAATTGTATGCTGTGTTCTTTGTAGCCACTTCATAATCAAGAACTTTAAAAATTTACTTAAAATAAACAAGGCCTTTATATATTACTGGGAAGTGGGAAGTAGCCATCTCCTAATAATCGCAAGGCCCCTTTTCCTACTTTCCTTATCTTCTCTTTATCTCCCTCTCCCTCTCAATGTTTTCTATTTAAAATATTATCCTCCTAAATAAAACATTAGTGAAAAAGAGTGGCATTGTCTTATGCTTTTGGCACATCTTTTTAATATCTCGCTTAGAAAACAAATCAATTCTCTTATCTGCTTTTGGAATATATTGTTTTGGTTGATATACATGAACAAAGTCTAGCTTCAGATATATATGTGTGGTTGGAAAAAGGAAGATTATTATTTTTTTTTTTAAATATATTTTATTGATTTTTTACAGAGAGGAAGGGAGAGAGATAGAGAGTTAGAAACATGGATGAGAGAGAAACATCGATCAGCTGCCTCCTGCACATCTCCCACTGGGGATGTGCCCGCAACCCAGGTACATGCCCTTGACCGGAATCGAACCTGGGACCCTTCAGTCCACAGGCCGACGCTCTATCCACTGAGCCAAACCGGTTTCGGCAAGGAAGATTATTTTTAATAGCCCTTTTAAATAATTTTGTATATTCTTTTTTTTTTTTTAATATATTTTATTGATTTTTTACAGAGAGAAAGGGAGAGAGATAGAGAGTTAGAAACATCGATGAGAGAGAAACATCGATCAGCTGCCTCCTGCACATCTCCTACTGGGGATGTGCCCGCAACCCAGGCACATGCCCCTGACCGGAATCGAACCTGGGACCCTTCAGTCCGCAGGCCGACGCTCTATCCACTGAGCCAAACCGGTTCCGGCAATTTTGTATATTCTTTGATATTATACCAGCACTTGACAAGTGATGGTTTCTTAAAATTTTAACTTAGAATTGGCAACTGTGTCAATGTGGTTTTTTTGTCTTGTTACATTAGAATCAATTGGTCTGTCTTGGACTTAATCAGCTCTCTTGCCCTGCATAATTTTGAAATGTGCATGCATTGTTCATTTGAAAAAACAGTGGTTTTTCCTGAGTTGTGCAGATCTTCTAAATGTTGGTGCTTTTCACTATGCAGTATCAAAAAATCTCATTCCTTAACATGGCCACTATCTTATCAGAGAGAGCACGTGGTGGAGGGTTCACATTTTATCATTGGCAACAAATATCACAGTTGTAAATGATGGGTTCACTTACTCATTTCTGAGGAAATTTTTGTCAAATGCCCAGGTCTGAATATTCAGTTTGTCAGTTTTTCTTTCAGGTTAAAAATAATATTCTGTGAGAGAAACTGCTAGGTCAGATCCCAGTTGCATAGAATCTTTTCCTTGAGACAACCATTGCACTTACGTGTGCCCAGAAATACATTATACCTACCCAAGGACTAATATATAATAAAGTTAATTTTAAACAATGACTGTTAGTACAGTTGGTGCCACTGCCTTGATTCATGCCAAGGCACCAGCAGTTTTAACCACCATTGGTTTTGTGCCATGAGTACAAATGTCAACAAAGTGAAAAAAGCCAATAGTGTATTCTGAAAATAGGTTTGACCTCTTGGACCCCCTGAAAGAGTCTCGGGTTCCCCAGGATTACGCAGACCACACTTTGAAAACCTTTGATCTAATGTGCGCCTAGAGTTAGGATAGTTAAAATATTTTCTTCTAAATTAAAAACAAACCCATTATTAGAGCTCAGAGAAGTTAAATAGCCTGCCATAGTGTCACTCAACAAATGGCAGAGCTGGATTTGAAGCTGCAGAGCTGGGGTTTGACCTCCCTCTTTCTGCAGCACCCTTTGCTATCTACCAATTAATAATTAAGAAGTCTTCTCAAGGTAGTGAGAATAGGAAGTTCTGGATAAGAAGAATCACTTGGGAATGCTATATACAGTATATATTTAAAAAAAATTTTTTCTTGTGTCTTACCTTTTTCCCCTCTAGGACCTTGCTGAACTTATTCTAGGTAATATCTTCTTTCTTTAACTTATTATTATTATTATTATTATTGATTTCAGAGAGGAAAGGAGATGGGGAGAGAGAGACAGAAACACCAATGATGAGAGTGAATCATTGATCGGTTGCCTTCTGCACACCCCACACTGTGGATCGAGCTTGCAACCCGGGCATGTGCCCTGACCAGGAATCAAACTGTGACCTCCTGGTTCTTAGGTCAATGCTCAACCACTGAGCCATGCGGGCCAGGCTTATGTCATATTTTGATGGCATGTATTTAATGATCAACCCACGCAGTTAGCATTGGGATCTTAAAATTATGCATTTCCTATGTCACTTTTCAGTGACATAATTAATACTTCTAAGTCAGCTTTCATTTTTATTTATTTTCTCGCCAAGAGGATTTTAAATGCTTACATATATATGACATAGGAATATACATATTTTCATCTACTGTAGAGCCATTGCGGCTATGGTTGTTTTTCATAAAGACAACTGCTCTGAGTCTTCATAAACTTCATTTTTTGTATCTGTTCCACTTGAGTGGAACGAAGCCCCTACCTAGGTCACAGTGTTGAGAACTCCAGAGGAGGGCTGGAGGAGATCTCTGACTGCGTTCCTCAGTTATACTGTATGCAGAAGAGTGTTTTCATAATTCTTAGGTATAAATAAAAGAGAAGTAGAATTAGTGGTAATTTAGTTTCTGAATAATCAGTCTAGTGATTTAATAGAAATGTAGCCGAGAAGGAGGGATTGCAGAATTTTCCTCCCATTTTATTTCCACATTTTGTTTGTAAATTAAATTTACTTAAAATGGGCCAAATACCTGAGTTAGTGAGCAGCTTGCAGAAAACAGAAAGGTAAATAAGCAATTCAGACAAGCCTTTATATAGTTATTCATTTGACTATTTTACTTTTTATTGAAAAATTAATTTAGAAAAATTATCAAGATGTAATGTACATCTTAGTGAATTATGTCAATTACTTCATACACTAATGGTAGGAATGTGAAATGGTGCAGCCACTTTGGAAAACACTCTGGCACTTGCTCAAAAAGTTAAACATAGTTATCATATGACCCAGTAATTCTACTCCTAGATAGATGCAGATATAGATATCCAAGGGGATTAAACATATGTCTACACAGAAACATATACAAGTGTTTGCAGCAGCATTATGAATAATAGCCAAATATTGGAAACAACCCCTATGTCCATCATCTGATGAATGGATAAATAGAATGGTATATCCATACAATGGAATATCATTCAGCCATAAAAAGGAATGAAGTAATGATACATGCTGTAACATGGGTGGACCTTGAAAACAGACTAAGAAAAAGGCCACGTGATTCTGTTTGATTAAATGTCCAGTATGGGCAAATCCATAGAGACAGAGTAGATCAGTGGTTGCCAGGGGTTAGGAGTATGGTAGGGGAAAGGGGACAAGGGATGACTGCCAATGTGTACGAGATTTCTTTTTGAGATGATGAAAATGTTCTGGAAGTAGTGATGATGACTGCACAACTCTGAATATACTAAAACCCACTGAATTAAATATACTTTAAAGGCATGAATTTTATGATATGTATATTATATCTCAGGTGTTTTTTTAAATTATTAAAAGCAAGCCAAACATCCACATATGTTTAATCTCCCAGGTTAATGGAATATGGACTGTGCCCCAGAAGACACCCCCACCCTCTCCCATTTGCCTCCCAATTAATGCGCCAAGTTATTCTTGGGAGAAAAAATAGTTGTTTTTACTGCTACTGTTTGCTTCTCAGAAGATGCCATTGTTTTAGACTAAGCACAAAGCTTTATGCTCTCAGCACTTGCCAAGCCTTGCAGGAAACTTTTTGTAAAGTACCATTTTAATCAAATGATTCTTTGTGATTTCATGGTGCTAATGTGACCTACCTTCGGCAGCAATAGTGCCTGCCTTTCGAAACAGGCTACACTCTGTTGACTTGCGCGCTCGCTCTCTCTCTCTCTCTCTCTCTCTCTCTCTTTATATATATATATAAACGATACGGAGTTTAAAATGTTTTTTAAAAAATTTTTAAGTAACTTTTTAAGTAACATTTTTATTATTAGCTTGGTCTATCAGTAGCATGGATTTTACTAACTATTAAATACTTCTTATTTAAGCTACCTAATCATAGCTGCTTCCCTTCTCCCCACAACTACACTAGAGGTAACAGGTTTAATTAATATTATCATTTGGGGGAGCCAGATTAGCATTGATCTTTTATTCTCTGTATCATTTCTAAACTTAAATTTTAAGAGAAACTACCCTTAAATGTTTTTACATGCTTTTATATATTTTAAACCCAAAATAAGGTCAATGTTGATTTTTTTGCTTTTCAGTGATGTCTTGGCATTGCCCATTTTCAAGCAGGAAGATTCTAGCCTTCCATTGGATGATGAAACTAAAAACCCGCCCTTTCAGTATGTGATGTGTGCCGCAACATCTCCAGCAGTAAAACTGCATGATGAAACGCTCACTTACCTGAACCAAGGTTAGTATGGCTGTGTCATATTTTGATGTTAGAATTTACAAGAATCCTAAATGTAAGTTTTGACTGCCTAGATTACTGGAAGTCATTTTGAGTTATATTTCTTTTTCCCTTAAGTTATATAACATTAGTACACAAAAATTATAGGAAACGTGTTGTGAGCCAACAAAGTTATAGTTTGTGGAGACTAATTTGCATAATGAGAGTCTGTGGAACAAGATTTATTATATGGTTTTTCAGATAAAATCCAAAGGAGGAGCAAGTAGGAAAGGATGTCAGTTATTTTTAGTAACAGTGGTTTCAATGTGGAACTTGAGAGTGAATCAGAAGTCCAGCTAGCAAGGAACCTGGGTCTCTGACATGAAGCATGTACATGCTGAAAATAGACATAAGCTGTGTCAAGATGAAGTCTATGGCTAAAATAAATCATAGTCAGATTTTGTCTACACATACCTTGTTTATGCTTTATGAGACTATTATATTTTGGTGACAGAAAAGCGAGAGTGGGGAGAACGGAGAATAGAGATGTGGTGGGGCAGAATTTACCTTGGGGAAGTATGAGGGATTTTTTCAGGTGTTCTTAGCAGTTTGGGCACAAGCCAGTGTGATCTCCCAGTGTAAACAAACATACTCTGTTATGCAGAAATTAATTTGTTGGATACATAAAGTGAAAGCATGTGAAATTTTTTTTTTTTTTTAATGCGAGTATTTTGTTATAAAATAGTACATACTCATTGTAGAAAAACTGGGAAATATGTCAAGGGATAAAGCTGAAGATTGACTGCAGTTGCATCCCACCAAGATAACTAACATTTAGCTATATTTCCTTGTATGTACGTTTGTATTTTTTTGTTTTGTTTTCTTATTGATTTTTTAGAGAAAGAGGAAGAGAGAGGGATAGTAAAGATAGAAACATCAATGATGAGAGAGGAGCATCATTGATTGGCTGCCTCCTGCATGCCCCTTACTGGGAATGGAGCCCACAACCTGGGCATGTGCCCTGGCCGGGAATTGAACCGGTAACCTCTTGGTTCCTGGGTCAATGCTTAACCATTGAGCCACACCGGCCAGGCTACATCTATTTTTTTAATGGTATTAACATGTATTCACTTAAGAGTATATTGTAATTATTAATCTGTCATTAAGTAGAATCTTTATTCCTTAAACTGTTGGAACGAGCTACAGATTTTAGACTCTTGTGATAACATTCAGAAATATGAAAGAATAGCTTATTTTTAACTTTTCATATATAGGTTTAGAATCTCTGAGGTTTTATTTCAGGGTAATTCTATCTGTAGCACCTAGAGCCGTACTCTAATTTTGTTATTAATATTGATTTAGTATAATGTTGAATTAGTGTTTGGGTTAGCACTCAATTATTTGAGACTTGAGTGTCATATTTGAAAGAACTGTAATAGTTTATATGGTAATCTGTTTTGGACATAAACCTCTCAGGAGAAATAATGTAGGGGCAAGGATATTCACTGTAGCTTTATTTGTAATGATAAAAAAAAGAAAATATCTTGAATTTTTCTTACGTGGAGAATGATTCAATAACTTCTGTTACATGCATACCTTGGGATGAATGAGTACACACACACACATTTTAAAGGCATGTGTTGGATGTGTCTGTTCATGGGCCTGGGGAAAATACTGATAATTTATCACTATTATTACTAAGCCAGAAAAAGATAGTTCATATTGACAAAAGTTGCAGTCCACCATCTATAGTGATGATTTGTTAGACTGACATTTACTAAGTGCTTACAGTGTATGAAGCATTGTATTAAATACTTTACATGTGTTATCTTCCACAATAACCCAGGAAAATTTTTATTAATTTAGTTTATAGGTTTAAAAACTGAAGCTAAAAGCAGTTGATCAGCTTGCTCAACATCAATTTGGTCAATCATAGATTTTTTTAAAATTACTGAAGTTTATATACAATAGTGTGCACAGGTCTTAAGAGTATACAGCTCAGACCGGCTGGTGTGGCTCAGTGGTTGAACATCAACCTATGATAGTGATGGCGAACCTTTTGAGCTCGGCGTGTCAGCATTTTGAAAAACCCTAACTTAACTCTGGTGCTGTGTCACATATAGAAATTTTTTGATCTTTGCAACCATAGTAAAACAAATATTTATATTTTTTATATTTATTTTATATATTTAAATGCCACTTTAAGGGATTAGATAGGACAGTGGTTGGCAAACTCATCAGTCAACAGAGCCAAATATTAACAGTACAACGATTGAAATTTCTTTTGAGAGTCAGATTTTTTAAACTTAAACTATATAGGTAGGTACATTGTTATTAACTTAATTAGGGTCCTCCAAAGGCTTAGGAAGAGCCACACTCAAGGGGCCAAAGAGCCGCATGTGGCTCGCGAGCCGTAGTTTGCTGACCACGGAGATAGGACATTTGAAGTTGTCATTCATCAGCATGAGTTTGATCCCTCTTAAGCTTCCATATGTGAGTTTATGCATTTATTCTAATGAGAAGGAAATAAAGCAGTCACTTTTTTCCTACTAAAATCAAGTGCTGTGTAACCATATTTTAGTGATGTCATAGCTGTCATGATGTTGTAGTGCACTGGATTACTCACGTGTTTGTGGTGATGCTAGTGTAAACACACCTACTGTGCTGCCAGTGCTATAAAAGTATATATAGTACATACAATTATGTACAGTACATGATAATAAATGACTTACTAGTTTATGTAGATTTTATCATTATTTTAGAGTGTACTCTTTCTGCTTATTTAAAAAAAGTTTGCGTTAAACAGTGCATTGTGTTACCCTGGCCGCAGCCTCGTGCATCTTGTGTTTACTGTGTCTCCTAACTAACAACATCATTTTCTCTTGTGTTCGATTTAATCTCATGTTGTTTTGTTCATTATGGCCCCTGTGTACAAGATCCACTGCTAATGTTGCCAGTAAGAGGCCACATCAAGTGATTGGTATGGAAAGGAAAGTAAAATTAAGGATTACAAAGGTGGAAAATCAGTTATGGTTATTGCTAATTAGTCGGGCATGTCTCATTTCACCATAGCTACCATCTTGAAAAACAAAACCAAAGTGACAGAAGCTATTAAAGGATCTGCTTTATTGAAGGCACTGAGACTAACAAAAATTCCAGAAGGGTCTATATCAGACAGGGAGAAACTTGTAATGACCTGGATTGAAGACTGGAAACAGAAGCGTATCCCTTCAGCACCAGGATAATCATAGCCAAAGCAAAAGTTTATTTGCAATGTTGAAAGAAAAAGTGGACTTGACTAGGATGTTTAATTTACTGTATGCTCTAGGTCAGTGATGGCAAAACTTTTTTTTTTTTTAAATATATTTTTATTGATTTTTTACAGAGAGAAAGGGAGAGAGATAGAGAGTTAGAAACATCGATGAGAGAGAATTATCGATCAGCTGCCTCCTGCACACTCCCCACTGAGGATGTGCCCGCAACCCAGGTACATGCCCCTGACCAGAATCGAACCTGGGACCTTTCAGTCCGCAGGCCGACGCTCCATCCCCTGAGCCAAACCGGTCTCGGCAATGGCGAAACTTTTGAGCTCGGCATGTCAGCATTTTAGAAAACCCTAACTTAACTCTGGTGCCGTGTCACATATAGAAATTTTTTTTATATTTGCAACCATAGTAAAACAAAGACTTATATTTTTGATATTTATTTTATATATTTAAATGCCATTTAACAAAGAAAAATCAACCAAAAAAATGAGTTCGCGTGTCACCTCTGACACGTGTGTCATAGGTTCGCCATCACTGCTCTAGGTGGTTTACATGATATAAAAGTCATTATATATTACACTAGGGTCCCAGTGCATGAATTTGTGCACCTTGAAAGGAACTGTGGGCCACGAGGCTGCAGTGGGCACAGGGGTGGGTCTCGGCCCATCCTCTGCGGCCCCCGTTCCCCTGTCTGCCAGCAACCTCCTCCCGCGACTACTGCTCCCACACTCTGACCGCACATAAATTGGGGCCGGCACCAGCAGTGGGTGGGAGTGGGACCAGCGCTATCAGCAGATGCGAGTGGCGGCGGCTACCTCAATTGCTCCTCAGGAGCAGGGAGAGGTGGAGAAGCCCTAAGGGACAATTGGGCTGGGTGTTGGCAGCAGGTGCAAGTGGGGCCGGTGCTGGCAGCAGGTGTGAGCACCAGGCGGGACCGCAGCATGCGGGAGCAAAGAATTTTCAGTACCCACCAGAGGCTTGCCCCGATGACAGCAACTGGCACCCCTGCTCACCTCCTCCACCATCCCACCACGGCCGACACCCACCATGTTCCACGTGCACCCCCTGGTGGTCATTGCACGTCACAGCGACTGGTTTGGTTGTTCCGCAGTTCTATTTGCATATTAGCCTTTTATTATATGGGATAACTAGAGGCCCGATACACGAAATTTGTGCAAGGAGCTCAGCCCTCGCAGCCCCGGCTTCGTCCAGAAGGACATCTGGAAGGTCATTCAGCTGTCCGGTCTAATTATATTATGCTTTTATTATTATAGATATGAAAGTGAGTGTTGAGTCTGTAAGTGCTGATGAGAAGGTAGCTGAAAATTTTTGGAAATTCTAGATAAAGCTGGTTGTGGAGGAAAATTACTTGCTAGAGCAAATATTCACTTTGGATAAAACCTTCATACGCTGAAAACGGATGCCTGAAAGAACTTTCATCCATAAGGAAGCCAAATCATTGCCAGGCTTTAGGGATAAGTCTATTTTAGGGGCAAGGTTTCAGGCTACAAACTCACACCCTTCGTGATCTGGCACAGTGAGAGCCCCAGCGTCCTGGGGCCTGTCAGTAAGCACACAATTTAGTGTACTGCAGGAGCAATAGAAGTCGTGGATGACCCACCTCCTCTTCTAAGATGCTGGCCTGCATTGCTAAGCCAGCAAAATGGAGAAGTACTATTTGGAAAATAACATACCTTTCAAGATTTTACTTTTTGTTGATAATATTCTAGGCATCCTCCTTTTGGTGATCTTCATCCCAATATCAAAGTCGTATTTCCTTCCAAACACTACTTTTTTGCTCCAAACAAAGAAGGAAGGAGTTATGGCACCTTTTAAGACCTAGTACCTGTGGAGGATCTTTTTCTAGGCTATTGCTACAATTGATGCAGTTCTGGAGGATTGCAATATCTATGACTGCAGCAAGAACCTCGCTTGGGGTGGGTGATGTTACCAAGGAGATATGAATGGCACCTGGAAGAAGAAACTCAATAAGTTTTTTCATTACTTTAAAGGATTTGCCAAAGACGAGGTTGCAAAGATCAACAAGGCTGTGGTTGAGATGGCAAACAACTTTAACTTGGGTGTGGATGAGGATGACATTGAGGAGCTCTTAGAGGTGATTCCTGAGAAACTGATTAATGAGTTGTTGGAACTGGTACAGGAATGCATAGCTGAAGAAGAGGCAAGAGAAGGAAACTGCAGGAAAAGAACTCCCATGAAAATGGCACAGCGAAGGGTTTAGCAGAAGCTTTTGCAGACCTCAACAAATTCCTTTAAAAGTTTGAAAACATGGACCCCCAATAGTGAAGGGCTTTCATTAATGGAGAGGAATATTCATGGTGCACTATCTGCGTACAAACAGATCCTTGGTGAAAAAAGAAACGAGCAAAGCACATGGATATATTTCTGTAAAGAGTGACACCTCAAGAAGAGCCTCAGGCAGGTCCTTCAGGGGTGTTCCAGAAGTATGTTGTCATAGGAGAGGACAGCTCCATGTGTGTTATTGCCCCTGAAGGGCCTGTTCCAGTGAGACAAAATGTGGCGGTGGGAGACAGTAATATTGATGGTCCTGACTCTATGTTTTGTTTTTTTTAATCAACAAATTTAGCTTAGGCTAGATTTTATTTACTAAAAATTAAACTTAGACCACATGAACTTAAAAAACATTTGAATGCCTAGTCCTTACAAGTGCTTGCCTTTAAATTAATTTTAACAATACCATCTGGAGATAGAAATTTTACAGAACACACATGCACAGAGTCTTTAGCTATAGGAAAAACTCACTGGTTGATAAAGGAACAATTGGATCCAATTTTGATTTCAGAGAGGAAGGGAGAGGGGCAGAGAGAGACAGAGAGAGGAAGGGGGGGGGGGAGAGAGAGAGAGAGAGAGAGAAACATCAATGATGAGAGAGAATCACTGATTGGCTGCCTCCTGCATGCCCCTACTGGGGATCAAGCCCACAACCTGGGCACATGCCCTTGACCACAATCGAACCCAGGACCTTTTAGTCTGTAGGCCAACGCTTTATCCACTGAACCAAATTGACTAGGGCTATATATATATTTGAAAAGCTGTTATAAAAAGTTGATCTCAGGTAATGGATATATGTGTAATGTAAATTTAATGTAAGAGTAATAGATAAAAATGAAAATACATTGACAAATTCTTTTTAGTCTTACATAATACTGTAAGAAGGAAAGGATAGTATGGGTTGCAGGGAAAAGGTAATAAACCTGAATTTGCTTTTTTAACAAATGAACATTGTGTAATTGTATATTTTGAAAGATAGTTAATGTTTTTTATTAAACACAGTAATGTTCGTTATGTGGATTGTTTTTCATGCACAGTTTCTTTAAAAATAGGTCAGTCTTATGAAATTCGGATGCTGGATAATCGGAAAATGGGAGATATGCCTGAGATCACTGGAAAATTGGTAAAGGTAAGGTCGATCTTTTTACATTCCTAATAGATATTGCAGTGATTTTTAAAAAGCAGTTTTGCTGCAAGAGTTTTTACAAAAAAATTAACTTCATTATTTTAAAGCTCCTAACTTGTTGGTTGGTGTAATGTGAAAGCCCTTTGGAAATGTACCATGTGAAATTTACTTGCAGCTATGTGTGCAAAGACCTACCACCACTACAAAAATTTTAAGTTTCTCTTTAAAAGTAAAAAATAACATGAGGGGCCCTAACCGGTTTGGCTCAGTTGATAGAGCGTCAGCCTGCGGACTCAAGGGTCCCAGGTTCGATTCTGGTCAAGGGTGTGTACCTTGGTTGCAGGCACATCCCCAGTAGGGAGTGTGCAGGAGGCAGCTGATCGATGTTTCTCTCTCATCGACAATTTTAAAGTACTCATTTTCCCCCACTTATTCCATAGAGCATCATAAGAGTCGTATTCCATGATAGACGGCTACAGTATACAGAGCATCAGCAACTTGAAGGTTGGAAGTGGAATCGCCCAGGAGATAGACTTCTTGATTTAGGTACAGTGACCGTCAGAAGACCTTGGAGAGAGATATAAAAGCATTTTAGTTACACCCATGTTGGCACCACGTGTAATTGTGTGGAGTGTTTTGGTGTGAATGGATTCTCTGTGCCTTGAGTTGTTTTATAGTTTACAATGTTGACCCTTGAACAACTAACGCTGGGAGATACGGGCTGACCACCATGCAGTGAAAAATTTGCACATAACTAGACTCCCCCAAAATGGAATTATTAATAGCCTGCTGTTGATCGGAAGCTTTACAGATAATATAAATAGTCGATTAACACATTTTGTATGTTATGTGTATTATATACTGAGATCTTAAGCTAGAGAAAAGAAAATCTTAAGAAAATCATAAGGAAGGAAAAATACACTTACAGTATTTATTGAAAAACTCTTCACATAAGTGGACCTGTGCAGTTCCCACCCATGTTGTGTGAGGACCAGCTGTAGAGTTTTGGTGAAACTGAAAGACCCTGAGCCAGTAATATTATGAGTTGGAAACCATTCATTTAATTCTCCTTTGGGTATTATCCATCATATTCTGATTAAAATGAAAAAGAAACCATGGTGGGAGAAAGTCTGATACTCATTAGGTGGGTTTTGATGTTGAAATGATTGACCACAGAGAACATGGAAGAACAAAGTGCAGCATAGAGGTATAACATTTTCACTAAAACATAATTAGAGTAATCTGTGAGCTTTTAAATTATTCTTAGTAGTGAGTTTATATGTAACTTCTTTTTAAAATATAGATATTCCAATGTCTGTGGGAATAATTGACACAAGGACAAATCCCAGCCAGTTAAATGCGGTTGAATTTCTGTGGGACCCTGCAAAACGCACATCTGCTTTCATTCAGGTTTGGATTTTTTACTTTATTAGACATATACTAGCCTCGTCATTTTTAGAAGGTCATGGATGAGGTTGACTTCTTTTTTTTTTTTTTTTTTGAGGTTGAATTCTTGATGCATGATAAAAGTGTCTTTAAAAGCTTATTTGTAAACTATCTGGCAGTATCTTTTTTTAAAATATTGGAGTTGCCAAAACCGGTTTGGCTCAGTGGATAGAGCGTCGGCCTGCGGACTGAAAGGTCCCAGGTTCGATTCCGGTCAAGGGCATGTACCAGGGTTGCGGGCACATCCCCGGTGGGAGATGTGCAGGAGGCGGCTGATCGATGTTTCTCTCTCATCGATGTTTCTAACTCTCTATCTCTCTCCCTTCCTCTCTGTGAAAAATCAATAAAAAAAATATAAAAAAAATAAAAATAAAAAAAAAATAAAATAAAATATTGGAGTTAATATACTAAATCCGTTATTATAGACTAACACATGTGAAGGCAAGCTGACGTGTGAAGCATTATTTAAATGTTCCTTTTACCACTGGTAGTAACAGTAATCAAAACCTCCATTTTTCATAAGATGCATTTCTCTGGAACCAAAGCTGCTATTTTAAAAGATGTAGCCGCCCTGACCGGTTTGGCTCAGTGGGTGGAGCGTCGGCCTGTGGACTGAGGGGTCCCAGGTTCGATTCCGGTCAGGGGCATGTACCTTGGTTGCAGGCACATCCCCAGTGGAGGGTGTGCAGGAGGTGGCTGATCGATGTTTCTCTCATCGATGTTTCTAGCTCTCTGTCCCTCTCCCTTCCTCTGTAAAAAAAATCAATAAAATATATTAGAAAATAAATAAATAAAAGATGTGGCGGAAAAAAGTGTACTGTTTTAAGATTCTCTGTTAGCAACATTCTAATACTAAAATTTTCAAATCACAAAAGAGAATAATAAGAATGAATTCTCTGTGTACTCATCACCTTTCTTCAACAGTTATTAGTAGTTTCCCCCTTTTAAGTTATTGATGGAATATTTTAAAGCAACTCTCAGGCATTTCATGTCAACCATAAGTACTCAGTTTGTATCTTTAAGAGATGAAGTTTAAAATATATATATAAAAAATATATACCGTAAAACCCATGGTAATTCTGATACCCAGGATGTTCAGATTTGTAAGTGGAAAGATTAAAAATACTGAGTAGGGCCCTAGCTGGTTTGGCTCAGTGGATAGAGCGTTGGCCTGCAGATTGAAGGGTCCCAGGTTCGACTCCAGTCAAGGGCACATGCCCGGTTTGTGGGCTCGATCCCCAGTGGGGGGTGTGCAAGAGGCAGCCGATCAATGATTCTCTCGCATCATTGATGTTTCTATCTTTCTCTCCCTCTCCCTTTCTCTCTGAGTCAATAAAAGTATATTTAAATATATATATATATACACTGAGTAGGTAATCTTACGTAGAAAAAACATACTGCTTAACTGCTGACCAGCCTATGTAGACTGTAGTTTTTGTGAACAGTAAAGAATCTTTGGTATTTTGAATTTTTGTGGCCTGGCAAATACTATCTTTCATTAATTAGTAGTCACTAGGAACATGGTTCGTATTCGTTGAATATTTTCTCACGCTGTTTGTCTAACAGGATAACTAGATGTACAGTGAGTGAAAGAGAGGTAGGAGCTGGCCTTATATCTCAGGTTGTGCACAGTATCCTGCAGAGATCAGTTTTCACTTTGAGAGTCACTAGAAGACAGGATGTGTATTACAGGATGTGTAACAGTCAGAAATTACCAAGACCTGTTTACTGATCCTGTGAAGTATCCTAATGCTGTCTCCATGGTGGTATTAGGAGAGGGTACAGAGTGATGGAAGATGAGTATTGCCCTTAGGACCTTTGGAAGGGTTGACAGAAGAGTTTATCAGTGGTTCTCAACCTTCCTAATGCTGCGACCCTTTAATACAGTTTCTCATGTTTTGGTGACCCCCAACCATAAAATTACTTTCGTTGCTACTTCATAACTGTAATTTTGCTGCTGTTAATGAATTGTAATGTAAATATCTGGTATGCAGGATGTATTTAGGCGACCCCTGTGAAAGGGTCGTTCGACCCCAAAGGGGTCGCGACCCACAGGTTGAGAACCGCTGGTTTAGATGGATACAGGTAAGAAGTGGTGGGCTTTGTGGGCCGTGGAAGTTCCCCAGGCAAAAGTATTCCAAGTTGATGGAGGTTAGAATAACAGTTAGATGATTGGTATTTTGCAATAGAGGGCAACAGTGGAAGCTTTGAATGATGAGCTCAAGGTTGCTGTGGATTGAGCCACATGCAAGGCTTAGCTGAGCCTGAGAGCAGTATGCGGCCTGGAGTGCAGGTAGGGGAAGTAGGCAGGAAGCCTCTGTACTGCTGTACCCATGGTCAGAGCAAGTTCTTCCTTAGAGGAGAGGCTTTGTAATCGGGGAAGAGCTCATTCCCAGAAAGTTCAGAAAGGATCGGCTGGCTTTGTGAAAGGAAAACCATATATTAACAACAATCAGAAATTCATAACAGACACCTGGCTAAGATGTGGGAGTTTGTTTTAAAGGGCCTTACATTTATAGCAGTGACAGGGCATCCAGAGGGACAAACCAGTGGATGGTACTTTGAATCCATCTCCAATTGTCCAGGTGCACTGCATCAGCACAGAATTTACTCCACGGAAGCATGGAGGCGAAAAGGGAGTGCCTTTCAGGATCCAGGTTGACACCTTTAAGCAGAATGAAAATGGAGAATATACAGATCATCTGCACTCAGCTAGCTGCCAAATCAAAGTTTTTAAGGTAAGAGACGGAAACCAGGCTTCCAGTAATGAAAGCCCAGTTTTGCTTATAAAGTTGTTTGGAACCTGGTGGACAAAGTAATCTACTTTGTTTTTCAGCCTAAAGGTGCAGACCGGAAGCAAAAAACTGACCGAGAGAAGATGGAGAAGAGAACTGCTCACGAAAAAGAAAAGTATCAGCCATCCTATGATACCACAATCCTCACAGAGGTAATGCAGAGCAGCATTTTGGTGTCTGGAGAGAAGCAGAGGTTTGAATATTAGCACTATTTATAAGGATGAGCTTTGCCAAGAAGGGGTTGGGGAAGGTTGGGGGGTAGTTTGACATATTCTTGTGAAATTTGTGGGGGAAATACATTATTTAAATTCTGGGATTTTAATGGATTAGTTTCCTGGGTGGGATCTTGAATGAAGATGCTGAAATCCCAATCAGGTCTTAGAAACAGACCTTAAAAACCTTGAAGTTGACTAGAGATTAAACTGGGGCCTAGAAAGTTTGATTTTTGTCACTGCTGGGGTTTTGCATTTTCTTTAACTTTGAATCCTGCTAATCATGCAATTGTTTAATTGGACTGCAGAGACATAAAACAGGGTATTGGATCTTTCTTTGTATAATGAAAAGACATTGATCCCAATCTTTGGTGTTTGTCCAGATGAGGCTTGAGCCTATAATTGAAGATGCAGTTGAACATGAGCAGAAAAAGTCCAGCAAGCGGACTTTGCCAGCAGACTACGGTGATTCTCTGGCAAAGCGAGGCAGTGTAAGGGACTTCTGCTTCTCCTTTCATTGTGCAAGAAATCTTGTGCAGTGTTAGATATAGGACCTACTTCCACTGAAAAGTAAAGCCAAATTTGTTTTTGATGTCCTTGTCTTGATTTAATTTGCTTTTGTTTAGACTTCCTGCTTTCTGTTTGTTCCTCGCTGAGGAAAATTTCCTAAATCTAACACTTTAAAAACAAAGTTGACCTTATTGGGTGGTTTTGGAGGGAAAAATGACACTCAGAAATGTGTTCCCTCCCTGTCTCCTTCCCTTTCTCCCTCCCTCCTCGGCACACACACTTCCTTTAAGAGCACTGAAATTAGTTAAAAATACATTCTTTAGTAAAATAGTTATCATTTTTGTTTAATTTTAAAGGGTTTTGCTTCCTCATGTGTATAACTGATAAGAAAATTTCATGGCTATTTAGAGAAATGATGGCAGCAAGCTTGACATTAACATACGCAATACTTTGTGTCACATTTCCCTGCATGTAGTGTAAGAATGTGTGTCTGTCTGTGCTTTTAAAAGCCTGTTTGGCAGCACTGGTAGGAAAATGGCCTTGACCGCATCAGTGTTCCTCTCTGCAATGCACTGTTAGCTTGCATCGCATCATGAACTTGTGCTTCAGGCCAGAGCAGTGCACCTTTCTATATTCAGATCCGGATCCCCCCAACATACACCCAGGAGATTTTTGGCTGACTATGAGCTTTCTCTGCTTGAGTATAGCAAATTCTTCCTTTATGACACAACTCTCCATCTAACAATCTAGATCAGCTATATATCCACAGTAAATGTAAACACAGAGCATTAAACCTTTTCTTATAGAGCTGTATTAATGGCTACACTATCATTACAGTCTTCATCCTATCAAGGTACCAAAAATTGAATTTTTCACTCTTAAACGTGTCTAATTATTTGTAGACTACAAAAGCCACAAGCACAATCACTAGAACATCATTTCCAAGTTAAAAGCATTGACTGAAAATGTTTAAATGCTTCTCTGTACAATAAATCTGAAAGGATGGTGAGCACACTTGTTGCATTTTAACTGGTTTTTTTAATGCCAGTCAAAGGTTGTATGGAACAACTGTATACTCCATCCGATTTTGTTTTTAGCCTCTTCTGATTTCCCAGCTGAAGAATCACAAGTGGTTCTTACATTTTGGGGCGGGGGGGCGGGGAGGGGAATCCTGATAACTCGAATCACTTTCCACTTTTTTAAAAAAACTACTTCACTAATTAAAAGGAGTGGGTTCTCATAATTAATAAATTAAATCTATTCGAGCCCAGAGCTAATCTGAAGATGGTAAAATTATTGTTAAATTATTAATGACTCAAGTCTAAAGTATGCAAAACGTCAGCAGTTCATTGGCCTGGGATTTCACATCTTCCTTGTGTGTGTTGCTTGCTGCCCCGGGCTGCATTGTTTTGGTATTCCTAAGGGTGGTTAGAGCTCCTCTTGGAAACCTGTTTTAAAAAGAAAGTCTGCAGCATTTCATTGTTTCAGGTGCCTGCAGAGGAAGGCAGCATTGTTCTTAGTGTGGATAGCTGCAGTTGGCTGTCGGTAGAGGGATCTCCAGACTCATCTGTTAAAGTTAAAAGGTGCTGTGGGAAATGGTCCCACATGGAATGGAGGCACTGTGGTTGGTTCCTAAGAGCTACTGCACAACAAAACCCTTACTTGGTGTGTCTGTTTCTTTGCCTCTGAGCTGTATTTTACTGACTCAAATCAGGGCTGCCCATTTCTGCAGTCTCAGGTGGGTCGTCATTTTCTAGTCCCCCTGAGGAGGGACTCTGTTCCCAGTGCACCAGAGCCGAGACTATAAGTGTGCAGGCCAGGTAATGGATTACAGGTTGCCTTCAGGAACACAGGCCCTGCACCTTTGCTTACTTTTAAAGACAGGGCAGAATGACCAGGTAGAAGAAACTGTGAAAATATTCCTTGGTAGCCTTTACCCTTCTGGGTTGAGACTGCTAGAGAAATCTATGAAACACAGGCAGGCAGGTCTTGGTGCTTGGTGGCCATTATAGAACTTGGAATCTGTTCTTTTCTAAAAGTAGAGGCTTTGCCATAAAACCAGCTTTCATTGAACACTAGTTTTCTACTGCTGAGTGAATCGAGTCTCTTATTTATTGGGCAAGTTTTAGATGTCAGCTATTAACAGCTCTACTTCTCTGCTGCTAAGAGTCTAGATGTGTAAGTGAAAATAGATAGGTTTATGAAGTTTCAGGCAATTTGGTGTCGCTGTCGCTGCTCTGCCATACTAACCTGAAACTTCTGATGGCTTCATTTCCTCGGTAGACAGCTGGCAAAAATTACAAGGCAGATTTTGGGAAGCTTGACGTTAAAAGGTTTATATTATTTTGCTGTTATCCTTGCTAATGGTGGTATTTAGTATCTGAGGAGGATGGTGCAGCAAGAAGATCTTCTGGGTAGTGGAGATGGCTATGAGCATGGCATACCCATAGTTATTTGATCTGTCTGTTGGCTCACATGCTCTTAGGTTCCTCAAACTGTATAAGCTGAGGAGGTAACTACTTTTAAGGTGGAAAGTAAAAGAATGGGCCTTGTTGTGTGAGGTTTTTAGTGAAGTGCTATCTAGCCAGTAAATTCCTTTTTTTTTTTTTTTTTTTTGAAAGTTGATAGTAGTAGAAACAATAAGTGCATCATTTTCCCCATTTTTGAAGGGATATATGATGGGCAGTTGTAAATAATAAGATTCGGGGTTTCTGTTTTATTTTCCTTGTATCAATGCTTCTGATGGCTGTCAGTTGCTTTAAGCTCTTGTAACCATTGGAGAGACTTCCTTTCTGCCCCAGAGTGCTGCACAGCCTTTTAGCTCCTTCACACTAGTCATGACTCTTCCATCGTCAAAGAATTTTTAAGAAAGAATATACTCCTTTCCACATTTTTAGGTTGACATCTGAAAAAAGTTTTCATCATACATTTAAATCATTGCCAAAGGAGACCATTTTCTGACGTAGTGAGTGTTTGCATTTAAAATTTAAGATAATTTACATTGCTTTCTGAAGTGTATTCTGTGGACTCCACTACCATAGCAATTTGACACCCACCATTGTTCATTTTAAAAGTTCATGAAACTTTACTCTGCTCTACCTTCTTGATCTGTTTTCTACTCCCCTTAAATAGTTTTACGTGATAAGACATACTATTATGCCTGAAAATGTTTTAATTATCACCCTAATAATTTTATCACATATATAAATATATATATATGTAGAGAGAGAAGTTTAATTTTTAAAATTTCCTGTGACCATAGGCTCTTCAGTCAGTTGAAAAATTTAAACTTTATTATTGGTACCAACTTATCAAAACAACAAATCATAGAAAGTATTTTTTTAATCCTCATCCAAGGATATGTGTGTTTTTTTCATTGATTCTAGAGAGAAAGAGAGAGAGAGATCTTGATGTGAGAAACATTGATCAGTTGCCTTCCGAATGTGCTCCAACTAGGAATCTAATCTAAGACCCTTGGGTGCGTGGGATGACACTCAAACCACTGAGCCAAACCAGGCAGGACCATACAGGTTTTGATGAGAATTTTTTAAATATAAAAATAGAAGTGTTATTGGAAATACATCTCAGAACAGAACCTAATTCTAGATTTTTTTTATAGATAAGAAAAAGATTATTTAGATATTTATTTTCCTTTCGACAGTGTCTTTCAGGTCTTGAAGTTCCTTTTGCGTTATCTGCCAAATATCCCAGTGATGGATTTTATATGACCCTAATAGATTATTTCAGTACTGTGTCAGCTGATGGTAGATCCTCCAGAATTGTTTTGGAAGCAAATAATTGGAAGCTACCAGAAACACAGAGAAGAATTTTTTAAAAAAAATTTGTTTGTTTTTGAGGGGCAAAAGAAATAATATTAACCCACAGACTTTTTTTTTTTTATTGAACTTAGTGGGGTGACTAATAAAATTATATAGGTTTCAGGTGCATAATTCCACAACACATCATCTGTATACACTATATTGTGTTTTCACCACCCCAAGTCAAGTCTTCTAAAACCATTTATCCCCTCATATCCTCTAACTCCCCATTTTTAGAGTCATGCACTTTTTTTTTTTAATATATTTTATTGATTTTTTACAAGGAGGAAGGGAGAGAGAGAGTTAGAAACATCGATGAGAGAGAAACATTGATCAGCTGCCTCCTGCACACTCCCTACTGGGGATGTGCCCGCAACCAAGGTACATGCCCTTGACCGGAATCGAACCTGGGACCCTTCAGTCCACAGGCCAATGCTCTATCCACCCAGCCAAACTGGCTAGGGCAGAGTCATGTACTTTCTTAGTATCTACCCTAAATCTTTGAATTTTTTTATTTTTATTTTTTTGCTTTGATTTGGGAGAATCTTATACCCCATGGATAGCCATCATGAGATCTGAAGCCTTTTGTGTGAAAAGTAGGAGAAGAGTGACTGTGAAAGGGGACCTTTGAAACCAGGGGCATCCTCAGGCAGATTAGTTTTAGGAAGAATATGTGGGGTGAGTGATGGGATTCCCTCCATAGCTCAGGCTTGAAGATTTTTACTTGACACCTTGCTGGCCTGTGAGCATGCTTTTGACGTTGATGTGTCTTTGTAGCTGTGCGTTATCTTTGGTTAGAATTGTGTCTAGAGCTGAAAAATACTTTAGTTCACTATGCCTTGTCCAGAAAATACAAGAAATAAACACACGTGGATACGTAGGTGTAGGCAGTACCATACACAGGTGTTTTTGGTACTGGAATGGTCTCAGCTTACTTGAGGATTATTAATCCTAGAGAAATGAAGGAAGCAGGTGGGTACTGGTGAGGGCAGAAGGAGCACTAGGTAGGACAGGCACTGTCTTGGTCACCGTGTGATGTCAGATTGCTTATGAATCCTTTTTGCCTCTGCTATTCTTAAAGCTTGATAAGCACCTTTTGGAGAATTGATAAAGAGGGAGGCAAAAAGTTCTTGACAGCAAATTGTATATAAATATACATTTAAAATGATGACGTTTTGCTGCTATCATCACTTCTGGGCTTCCCTAAAATTAATCAGTATCTAGACACATAAAGCAGGTGAAATTTTTTCCTTGCCACATAGAAGGAAATATATGTTCCCATGCCGTTGCTTGATGAGTGTCAGGTGTCTTGTGTTTTATAATCTTGTTTGGCCAGACTAGATTGTGAAATACAAAGTATTCTTCCATACCCTTTAAAAGCATATTATTAATTTATTTTTGTTTCTATCCTTAGTGTTCTCCGTGGCCGGACACCCCCACAGCCTATGTGAATAACAGTCCCTCCACAGCGCCCCCTTTCACCTCCCCACAGCAGAGCACCTGCAGCGTCCCAGACAGGTATCTGCTTTGTGTCCTCGTGTGCCTGAAGCTGACTGATGCTCATGCTCCTTTGTTTCCCTTTCTCTCAATTTACAGCTACCTTTCCATTTGTTTATCTGACGCATGTGGTCATGGGAAATAGCCTCCTCCATTTCAGGGGAAATCACTTTTCTTCACCTGCCCGCCTTTTCCTCCTGGCCCTTTGTGCCCCGCACACTCACAGACTATGGAAGTTGTAGAAGGGGGGCATTTCAAGATATATTCTTTCTGAGATAAAAAGAACATTAATGCGGTTCATGGACAGAGAAAGAACAATGAGATTTTTAAAAATATTTTATTGATTTTTTACAGAGAAGATGGGAGAGGGATAGAGAGCCAGAAACATCGATGAGAGAGATCGATCAGCTGCCTCTTGCACGCCCCCCACTGGGGATGTGCCCGCAACCAAGGTACATGCCCTTGACCGGAATCGAACCTGGGACCCTTCAGTTCGCAGGCTGACGCTCTAGCCCAGCCGTGGGCAAACTACGGCCCGCGGGCTGGATCCGGCCCGTTTGAAATGAATAAAACTATTGAAAAAAAAGACCGTACCCTTTTATGTAATGATGTTTACTTTGAATTTATATTAGTTCACACAAACACTCCATCCATGCTTTTGTTCCGGCCCTCCGGTCCAGTTTAAGAACCCATTGTGGCCCTTGAGTCAAAAAGTTTGCCCACCCCTGCTCTAGCCACTGAGCCAAACTGGTTTGGCAGAACAATGAGATTTTAAGGTGAAACTATGAATCAATAAGTTAAGATTGCAATCATTATAAAGTACATTTGTCTTTAATTTAATGCTCACCATACTACACAAGAGTTATTTCTCTGCTCCATTTCTCCTCCTCCTAATAGATACACTCTTTTTTTAAATAACTCTTTACCCTTAAAGAACTTAAGTGGCTTTAGAAATGGGAATGGTGGACTTTGTTCTACTCTTTGGCCTTGATGTGCAGATCAGAGTCTCGTGAGCAGCGGGTAGGAGCAGGAGCTGTGTATCAGGCTTCTCGAAGTGCTGCAGTGATGTCCCGAGGAGACGTTGCATTCTTAGGGGTTGGCTGAAGGAATAGTGACAGTCAGATCAGATCAGAACTTCCCTGTTGATAGCAGGTTTAGGCCCCACCTCCTAATACTATCTGTCACACTGTGGATAAGGGTTCAATATACGATTTTGAGGGGACACAAGCATGCTTTTCCCCTGAGATGGAAAAGCTGATGAGGCAGCCTTTTAAGTTATTGTGCTTTAAGAGTAGAAAAACAATCTTGGGCTCAGAGACCAGGAGACCAGCATGTTGCCATGTAGGGGGCTCTTCTTTCGGTCAAATCCAGCCTGAATCATCTTAGAAAACAATTATGATATTAGAGATAAGCTGTGAATTGATGTACTCAATAATTAACTGGCTATTTCTGAGAGCCCACTGTGCACCCAGCACTGTTCCGGTGCTGTGACATTTAAATGACAGACAAATTCCTCTCTGAGGAGTTTAAGTTCCAGTGGATAGAGGAGGATGCTGAACAATCAACATAATAAACCCAAGTAAAACTTCCGTACGAGTGCTAAGAAAGGAGTCAGAGCCAGACCAGAGAGGGGGATGCATCCGCTGTGCAGTTGGTTCTCATTTTCCTTTTACCTTAGAAACAAAAGGATAGTGGTATGCTATTGTTTTTTGTTCTCTTGAATTCTGCCCTCTAATAATGGATAAATGTATTAAAAGGGATATCATTTTGATTTAGGATTATCATACCACTCCTTATAGCTCATTGTTTTCCTACTTTCAGTTGTTTATCTTTCTTGATTTCTCATATTTTCCCCCCAACTAAAATGAATGAGTGTCCTTCATTTTCCTGTTAACTTGGAGATAATTGGAGCCCTTTTATTTCATAGAACTAGAATCTTTTACTATCACAGATGGAGAAAGAAAAGGCAAAAATTAAGAAAGTCTTCTGTCTTAATCTCATCATATTCACCCCTGACCAATTGTGCCTTCATATATATATATATATATATATATATATATATATATGCACATAATTGATTTCAGAGAGGAAGGGAGAGGGAGAGATAGAAAGATCAATGATGAGAGAGAATCATCGATCAGCTTCCTTCTGCCTGCCGCCCATTGGGGATCAAGCCCACAACCTGGGCATGTGCCCTTAACCGGGATTGAACCTGGGACCCTTCACAGACCAAACAAGCAAGGGCTGTGCCAACATTTTTTTTAAAATATATTCTTACTGATTTTTTAAAGAGAGGAAGGGAGAGGGATAGAGAGTTAGAAACATTGATGAGAGAGAAACATCGATCAGCTGCCTCCTGCACACCCCCTACTGGGGATGTGCCCACAACCAAGGTACATGCCCTTGACAGGAATCAAACCTGGGCCCTTCAGCCCGCAGGCTGACGCTCTATCCACTGAGCCAAACCGGTTAGGGCTGTGCCAACATTTTTATTGCAAATTTATATTGCTCTCTCACACAGTATTTTTTTTTAAGTTTACTTAATTTTAATAGCCTTTAATGTCTTGATTTTATATAAATAATAACCATAACCATCTTTTCCTTCCCATCTTCCTTTTCCCCAGCAATTCTTCTTCCCCAAATCATCAGGGAGATGGAGTTTTGCAAACCTCTAGTGAAGTAAGTGTCTTGTTCCTTGAACTATCACATGCTTTCGGGGGCCTGTATTTTTAAGGCTCTGACAGAGGCTTGAGTCAGTGATTGGGTTACTGAGTGCAGTGCCCCTTGGGTGTTCTTTTACCTCAGACTTGGAGGGTTTGTGTTTTGTTTCAATGTTCTTTATAACATGCTTAGGGGCCTGGGTTATGTTTTTATAGGTTTGAGTAGTTTCTTCTATTTATATTCATTTTCTTTGTTAATAGCAACTTCAGCCTTCAGCCACCACCCAGGAAACACAGCAGTGGCTGCTCAAAAACAGATTTTCTTCCTACACAAGACTGTTTTCCAATTTTTCAGGTATGTTTGTGTGGGTGTATACACATGTACTCTGTACTTTCTGTTAACCTTATTTTTTTTAATGTTGAAATAATTATAAATTCATAAGATGTTGTTAAAACATGTCCCAGGAAGTCCCGTGTTCCTATCACCCAGTTCCCCCCAGAGGTAATACTTTGCACACCTGTTGTACACTATCAAAATTATGAAACTGACATCAGTACAATCTACTTCCTCACCAGTTCTGTGTGCCCTCGTTTGTGTACAGGCACATATAGTTCTATGCAGTTTTTTCATTTAATAACTTTTTATTTAGAAATAATTTTTTCTTTACAGTAAGTTGCAAAGATAGTACAGAGATGCTCCAGGGTACCATTCACTCACATAATTACAGTACAATATCCAGATCATGAAATTGTCATTGATGCACTGTGTATATATAGTTCTGTGTCATGTATCACATGCATAGATTTGTATAACCACCACTGAAGATACGATGAGAGGTATGCCATCACAAGGATTTCCCTTATGCAGCCCTAAACCCCCGCCCCCCATCCCTCATCCCTGGCAACCATTGATCTGTTCTCTGTCGCTATGATTTTGTCATTGTAAGAACGTTATGTGGATGGAATCATACAGCATGTGACCTGTTGGGATTGGCTTTCTCTGCACTCAGTGTCATGTCTCTCCAGGTGGCTGTGTGTATCAGTAGTTTGCTCCTCTTTGTTGCTGTGTAGCAGTGCATGGCATGAGCTGCTCAGGGGTGGTTTCATAGTACTTAAGTGTGGTCTTGCATAGTAAGCGAAGAGAATATTTACTGGGGTTTTAACAGGGATTAAGCTGTGCAGCAGGAGAAAACTATTTAGAGGGACAGTAATAGATACACCGGGTGGGAGATTTTTCCCAAACATATTTGGCCCTGGGACCCTTTTCCTACAAAACACTGACCAACATGTCCTGAGAAACACTGGGCCACAGGAAAGTGCCCACAGTGCTGTGGTTATAAACATGCAGCTTGAGCCTTTTAAGAGGACAGAACGTGTGCACATACCCGGCCGAGAGGAAAGCTTGATTTCACAAAGAACATGGCTTCCTTTTGTATGGGCCATTTCCTGCTATGCTTATGATGATTAGTCATTCACATGTAGCTTTTTATTTCTCTGAAGTACTGGATGAAAGTCATGTGCTACCAGCCACATTTCTATGATTAAGCAGAAACTGGAAATTTAAAAATTTCAGTGTGTGAGAGGGAAACACATCTTGAACTCCCATAAAGAAGACAGGTGGCCCTAGCTGGTTTTGCTCAGTGGATAGAGCGTTGACCTGTGGACTGAAGGGTCCCAGGTTCAATTTCAGTCAAAGGCACATACCCGGGTTTTGGCCTTGATCCCCAGGAGAGGGCATGTAGGAGGCAGCCAATCAATGATTCTCTCCCATCATTGATTTTTCTTTCTCTCCCTTCCTCTCTGAAATCAATAAAAACATATTTAAAAAAAGAAGACGACAGGTGAGTAAAACTAGCACAAACACTCTAACCGTTGGAGCTGAGGGAAGGCCTGGGTTATGCCTGTTAGATTAGACAGGTACATATTTCCATCTAGAGAGTACTAAGCTCTTTCTGCTCTGACCAGTGACCACGTGGCTTGGCCTCTGGCCTTTGCCCTGTGAGCTTCCCAACAATAGAATGGTGAGGAGGAGATTGAGTTCCTGCTCTGAGCCTCCTGGACATTCACATTTCGTAGAGGGCCGTGCACATGAGTATCTGTCCAGTTCTGTGGAGGGTTAAGGATGTGCACACACCATCTCTGGTCACAACTGGGAGCCTTGTTTTCAGAGGTGTGTAGTTGGTCCCAGAGAGATAAGAGAACCTGTCTTTGTTTAACTGACTCCATCAATGCTAGTGCCTCACAAGAAGTGCTTTATTTCTTTTACAAACTTGTAAAGTTATTAGGTTCTCACATTCAAGCCCTCAAAAAAAAGAAAGATAACCCCATTATCTAGCCGCATAGGTAAGTGGATATTTGTCATGGAAGTCATGCCTTAATCCCAGAGGGCATCTCATTTCTCCCAGTAAACTACATCTTGAGTGTTAATAAAAGGGGCAAAAAAACCCCAAAGATTACGGGATACATTCACACATAAAAAGTAGAGAGAAGAAATGAGGGACTCATGTAACCATCTCCAGCTTCAGAAATGACCAGCTTTACTGATCAGTCTTATTCTCAGCCTCTCCCTCTCCCCTTTTCTGTTGTAGTTTACAGCAAATCTAGATAATGTTGTTTACACTTACGAAGTATTTGTGGGGAATCTTACGGTTTATTACTGTTTCTGTACCATACTTCAGACCACTGTACCAATTTTTAGGTAATTTCCACACAAAGGTGGAATATTGGCACTAGATGAAAGGTAGACCTATTTTCTACAATGTCTCCAAGTTCCATCTTATTCTAACCACTTGTTTGCATGTAACTAACATTTTTCTTTATCATGTTGATTTTTTCTCTTTAATGCTCAGGAGCCCAGGTATAGGGGACAGTTAGGTTCAGGGCCTCAGGTCTGGTAGACTTAACCCTAGCTGCTGGTTACAGAATGCTTGACTTGACATTGCTTGGTGCAGAGAGAGGCCTGCCTACACCTAGGTGTCCTTCCAACTCATGTTACTTTAGGCAAGTTCCCAAAACTCTGGACTTACATTTTCTTTTTTTGTAAAATAAAAGATTGGTCTGGGTGAACTCAAGGTAAATTATCTGAGGTCAGAATCATGTTTATCCACACAATAACCACACAGCCAGAATACAGACAGTGGAATCCTGTGTTGGAACAGACACTCCTTTCGGGCCCTGCTCATTGTTCTGATTTATCAGCCTCTGGGCTTCTAAGCTCCTTCTTCATACAGGACATGGAAGAGCCAGCACTTTCTTTGGCTCTGAGAAACAGGTGTGTGTGTATGTGTGTTGTCTTTTGTTGTGTAGATTATATACACAGGAGACCTGTGATGGTTTTGAAGGACATCTAATTGTGAAGACAGATGTCATAAAGCTGCCAATCTGCTAGTTCTTTTTCCATTTCTTTGAGAGGAATCTCTTTATGCTGTTCTCCAGGTGCCGACTTATTAAAACTGACAAAGGAAGATTTAGTACAAATTTGTGGTGCAGCCGATGGAATTCGGCTGTATAATTCACTGAAGTCAAGGTAAAATACTGTGTTTAAAAGGAATGTCTTGTGTACCTTTCCTTGTGTGGGGCCCGGGGCAGAATGGGTTCCACACTGGGTTGGCGTGTGCCTGTGTGCGCTGTCGAGCCTCGGCAGCGTCGCGCTCACAAGAAGACTGTTTTGTGTACACCTTCAGGGCAGGCCCAGATTTGATGCAGGCACTGATGAGGGCAGATAGACTGTAAGACTGGTAGAAATGCACATGGGCAGTACTGATTTCTTGAAGACGACTGGGTTTGTTGCCAAGAAAACAAACTTCTCATTTAGGTGAGCTATACAGAATCTATGGTTTTCAAGGTCATATGACTACTACTAAACAGTTATTAAAAATGTAAACTTCTGATTGTGAATTGAAATGAAAGAACCGTAAACTGCTGGCTTTTTAGATTCATATACTATCATTGCTATTTCTAGACTTGTGTGAGAATTCCATTAAAACTGAATCTTACTGATTTTAAATTGCTGACTTAATCCTGGAACTTAAATTTACCAGCATCTGACAGACCATCTCAGTGGTTTAGAGTCTGGATCATCAGATTAGACCACCTGTGATAGTTGGTGTGAGGTGTGTGTTTTTATATTTTTATTAGTAATTTATTTTGTATAATGAAATAACATTGTAAAGTTCTCATAAGGAAATAGAACTTAGATTCCTGTAGTTGTCATTTGTACGTGTGGTGAGGCAGCTTTCTCTCCTTGGCTCATGAGTGGCATCTTGTGATTGCAGGTCGGTTAGGCCCCGCTTAACCATCTATGTCTGTCAGGAGCAGCCGGGCAGCTCACTGCTGCAAGGGCAGCAGCAGGCTGCAGGCAGCGGAGCCGAGAATGGCAGTGGGACACCCTACGGTGGGTATGGAGGGTATCTCAGCTTCCTGTCCCTCTCTTTCTGACACTGAGGTATAACCGGGGCTTTGAAGGACCCCTGTCCCATTAGTTCTGTCGACTTGCTGTTGTGGGAGTCCTGGCAGCAATGAGCTCCAGGGCCAAGTCTTCTGGAGAGTAAGGAACTATTGGCCTCAGTTATGTCCGCCACGTGGTAGAGCTCTTTTTATATGGCCCTTCATGCCAGAAATATCTAACAAGTGAAAGACTAGCTTGCTGCCTTAAAAAAAAAATCCTCAGGTGCAATGAGTATGATGACGTTGGCATCTTGACCAGAAAGTAGGAGGGCTGTTTTTTCTTTTTTTTTTTTTTTTTAATCCATTTTACTGACGGGGAGTAAAGTTAAAATATCACCTGTAGTAAAGATGCACCCAGGTGTCAGAGCTGAGTGTGTGGACTTGTCTCAGACAAGCATCTGGCCAGCACTGTGAGCTGTGTCACTAAGTATACTCTACGTCATTGTCATCCGAGTGCTGGGAGGTGTCCTTGATTGTGTAATAGAGTGGATCGGGGCAGAGATAAAAATCCTGGCCCCTCTCCCCTCATAATATAGTCTTTGGAAGGGGGAAAAAGCATATGTGTTCTCATTTGTAAAGTGAGTATGTGGTCATCTTTCCCTTCTTCCCACATTCTGAAACAAAATAAGGGCAACACACTCAGAACTGTCCAGGGAGAAGTGTGCTATGGAATTCAGAGAGGCAGTTATTTGCCCTAGTATTGCATGGAGCTCTGAAAACTGTGTGGTTTGAATTTTAGTAAAAATCCCAAGGAAAGCATTTACTGTTATGAGCTTTCCCATTTGGTGTCATTTTGACTTCAAAAGCTGTGAATTTTAAGACTAAAGATACAAAGTCTTGGTCTTAAAGGCTGAAAGTTCTATAGGAGCTCTGCATGGGTCATCAAGCTCTTCGCCACCATTTATATATGGTCAGGATTGTAATATTCTGGAAGGTATATCCTCAGACATGGGTGTTTGTGGAGGTGTATATGGAAATACAGGCCAACTTAACCCTAGATCAGGGTCAGCAAACTTTTTGTTAAAGGCCAGGTAGGTAGTAGATATTTCAACCTCACAGACTATCGGGCCTTTTTCCCATTCAGCTCTGCATCGTAGCATCAAACCCACAGTATGTAGAAGGCAGGTATAACTATGTTCTGATAACATTTCATTTTTCAAAGAACAAATGGAGGGCAGGTTTGGCCCACATAGGCTGTAGTTTGGTGACCCTGCTCTACATCATCTCTATAGTCTTCCCCTAATTATAGTTCCAAATTCTAACCTTTTCATAGTGTATGATTGGCAGAGGTTCCCCTTGTTTGGGAAAGCAAAGCTCTGGCACTGATATTCCTGATCAATGTTTGGCCTGAATCACTAGTAATTGAGCTGGACCTACAAGAGTCAGACCCACTGCAGATGTGCTTGGTGCTGTGCCAACAGAGCTGCTGCTAGGTTACATGTTCCGGAAAGAAACACAGGACACTAGGTGGACTGCACCTGGGACCTTCTGCAGAGTATCAGGAGGCTCCGTGGCCCATACCCTTAGCTTCCGAGTACTGTCTTTTATACTGTGTTTCGGGGGGGGGGGGGGGGAGGCTTTTATTCCTTAGGATAAATGGATAAACTCCCATTCATAGGCTTACTGAATCAAAAACTAGGACCTTCTTAGGTTTTTGTTTGTTTTTAAACTATATTGCTAGAAACACGTTTTTTGAAAAGAGCTTCCTTCAGGTATAATTTAGACATCACAAAAGCCTCCCATTGCAATGATATGATTCAGTGATATTTTAGTAAATGTGCAGTTTTGCAGCCATCACCACAATCTATTCAGTTTCATTACTCCAGAAAGATCCCCGGGCCCATTTGCAGTCAACTCCTGTTTGTTTAAGAAAAATTAAAACCGTAGATCCTTTTGTACAAAAATTATTTTAATGTTTATATGTAATCTTATAGATCCAGGTGGAAAACAGATAAAAGATTACTGCTAAAATGCTGTTATGTGTTTTTTTTTTTAATTTCAGTTTATCATGCAATCTACTTGGAAGAAATGGTTGCCTCAGAAGTTGCTCGAAAACTTGCGTTGGTGTTTAATATTCCTTTCCACCAGATTAACCAGGTTTACAGACAGGGTCCCACTGGTATTCACATTCTTGTTAGTGATCAGGTAACTCGAACTGACATGCCCATTTGCTTTTCTCATTCACACTGTTAGAAAAATTCTGTGACCTCTGTTACAAGCACTCATGAAAATCCTTTTCAAAGAGTTGGGATCAAAATTTGTAAGAATATATAACCAAGAGTTTCAGGTATGCTGGCGATCTAAGGAATACACATCAAGGATTAACTGGCTCTCCTCCCTCCCCTTGTAATTTAGACACTCCCTCGGGGGGTGGGGGGAGGGGGCCTGCAGGTTAGTGGGGCTTTCTCCCCTTTTATGGAGAGGGGCATTTGGATGGGTTTTCCTTTTGTCCACTATTTGATGACTAATTTACAAAGCAGTAAGTTAGAAGTATAGTTTTTTCCTCCAGTGTTCAGTGACAAGCAAGTAATAATAGAAGAGCACTCACGCAGTGACTTTTTGTCCGTCATTCCCAGACCCAGCAGGGATGCTCCCCAAGGGGTCAGATGGCTGACTGACTAGTTCCTCAGGGACCATCATGAGCAGGCACTGCTGCCAGGGCAGTGGGTATAAATGTTACCACTCACCTGCATTCACCAGCTACCATTCTGGCTGTCGCGTCCTGTGCTTGTCAGCAATATATAGATTATACTGTTTTCCTCTAACTGCGAATTTTAACCAGTTACAAAGGGACAGTTGGATCTTAACTACATCTGCTTTCTCCTTCTAGATGGTTCAGAACTTTCAAGATGAGAGTTGTTTTTTATTCTCCACAGTAAAAGGTACTTTGAATGTGTGCATGTGTCTTGAAATGCTGGAGGCATGAAAAATAGTGTGTGCTTGTCATCACTCATCTTGTGTATTTTTGAAATGCTGGCTTTACTAATTTTAAGAAGAGTTTGAAAAATGAGTTCAGAGAATATTTCTAAGGGTTGTAATAGAAATTAACTAGCCAATAAGGAAGAGACGTCAATCCTGATGACGGGAGGGGGAGGATTCTCAGTTTGGTCACCCAGCCTTTTACTGAGCACCTTTGTCAGACACCGTGCTTGTGGCGCTAGACAAGTCTTGAACTTAATATAGTGGGGAAAGCAAATCAGAATTGGCCAACAGATGCACATAATTACAAATATTTTAAGTGCCACGGAGGAATGGGAAAGTGTGGGGTATTTATGGATGAGGGGAATCTGGGTAGGGGGATATGAAGCTGTTGGGCAAGGCCTCTCTGAGGTGGTATCATTAATGCTGATAACTGGAAAAGGGACTGACCATATGAGGAGTATCCCAAAGCAGCGTGCGAGGGAAAGACCTTGGCTTCTTAGGAGGTTTAAAAGGCCATGTTGCTACCATGCAGTGTGTGAGGGGTGAGCAGAGCAAGATAGAGACAAAGTGAGAGGCAGAGTCTGGTATGCAAGACCTAGTGAGGCAGTTTAGATTTGATTTGGATGCACTGGGAAGTCAATGAAGTTTAAACAAAGGAATGATATAGATTTTTCTTTCACTCTTGCAACTCTGTGGAGACAGATGGGAAGATAGAAAGACGAGGCAGGAGATGTCATCCAGGTGAGAGGTGATGGTATCTTACACATTTGTAGACAGGGTTCTGCTGGACTCCAGTTGAGTGGTTGTGACTCTTGGAAGAGGGACTGGGCAGATAGTGGTCCCAGTAGAGGTAGGTTTGGTTGGGGAAAAACAGTCCAGAGTTCCATTGTAGATATGTAGCAAGTTGGCATTTGATTACATCTCTCTCAGGCCTAGGCTTGAGATGTAAGTTTGGAAGCCTTCAGCATGTCAGTGGTGATTCAAAGCTGTAGGAATCATTGAGGTCCTTTAAGGAGTGAAGTTGAAAGAGAGCTGAGACCTGGCGCAAGTGAGTCCCATTAAAAAAGGTTAGGAAAAGGGAAAGTGTTTTTACTTTGGATTTTGTTTGTTCTTCTAGTTCCTTTAAATGTAAAGTTAGATTATTTAGGATTTTTCTTGAGGTAGACCTGTATAATTAGGAACTTAGTCTGCTTCTGCTGCATCCCATAAATTGAAAAAAAAGTTGGGTTTTCATTGCGGGGGTGTGGGGGGTTCAAGATAGATTTTTATCCGTTTGATTTTCTCTTTGATCCATTGGTTGTATATTAGAATGTTCTTTAGGCTTCACATTTGTGGGGTTTTTTTCTTCAGTTTTCTTCCTATAGTTGATTTCTAGTTATATGCCATTGTGGTTGGAACAGATATTTGGTATGACTTCAGTCTTCTTGAATTTATTGAGGCTTGTTTTGTGCCCTAACATGATCTATACTGGAGAATGTTCAATGTGCACTTGGAAAAAATCTGTATTCTGCAGTTTTTAGGTGAAATGTTCTATAAATGTCTATTAAGACGATCTTATCTGATGTGACATCCAAGGCCATTATTTTCTTAATTTTCTGACTGGATGCTCTCTATCCATTGATGTGAGTGGGATATTAAAATCCCTGCTATTATTGTATGACCGTGGAGGTCTCCCTTTATTCCCGTTAATAATTGCCTTATACATTTACATGCGCTTTCCTACGTTGGGTATTAGGTGTTTACTATTGTTTTACCCTCTTCTTGAGTTGACTCGTAAAATTATGTTGTTCCACATACTTATACATTCATCGGTTGCTTCTTGTATGTGCCCTGACCAGGGACTCAAACCCACAACCTTGGCCTATTGGGACCGTGCTCTAACCAACTGAGCTACCCAGCCAGGGCCTCCATTTGTTGTTTTAAAGTCTATTTTGTCAGGTGTAAAGTATTGCTTACTCCAGCTTTCTTTTCATTTCTGTTTGTGTGGAATATTTTTCCATCCCTTCACTTTCAGTCTGTCTTTCAGTTGAAAGATGGTCTCTTGGAAGTAGCATATAGACAGATGGGTTATGATGTTTAATCCATTCAGCCATCCCATGACTTTTTATTGGTGTATGTATCTATTTACATTTAAAGTAATTATTGATAAGTATGTACTTATTGCCATTTTAAAAATTGTCTTTATAGTATTCTGTAAGAACGTATTTTTAAAAGTCTGACAGGTTCAAATCTAAATCTAGTCTTAGCACAGAAGCTGCACTTCAGAGAACAACATGTGTCACCCTTTCTTGAAAGTCACTCTTGGAAGGGATTCGCCCAAAACAGTGCTAAAATTACGATTTCACTTTTTGCCTGGCATGTTTCATGTGCCATCAAGTTACTTGCAATGTTGAGTTTAACTGTAAACTGGTTCACTTTATCCTTTACTTTCACAAACATCTTCAGCTTGATACCCTTCTCAATTTTTTGTTCTCAGAGCAATACAGTTTTTACTCTACAAAACTCACATTATCTAAAGAAGGAAATGCACATTGAATTAATTGTGTGTTTGTGTTCTGTGAAAGTGGTAGCCATTCCCAATGTCGGGCATCACGGGATATCCCCTCCAATCTCAGTGCACTGTTCTTCAGAATTTGTGCTCATGAAAAAATTCATTTGTTCCTTGATGGATTCCTGTACTGTGTCTCCACGTTTCCTGAGAACATGAGGGCATCAGGCAAAAGTAGTGATGTGTTTTTTAAATGTTTCAGATCTACTTCTGTGGAGTTCAAAAATTATTTCTAGAAAAGGTGGCTATAAGCCCTCCATTTACAATTTGTTGTTTTGTATAGAGCTGACTGTCCTGCCTCCAGCTCTTGCCCCCTTGCCGACAGCACTTTGCTGTGTGTCTTGATACCCCCTCCAGCCCCTCACTGGCAAGTAGTATAGGTGCAGGGTGCTGTTGGGAGTATCGGCCAGACACCAAAAAGCAAATGTCTAAAAGGAAATGTGTACATGAAGCTGCCTTAGGGAAGAAGAGCCGGAGCAAGTTAATCAGCTTTTTTTCTGTAAAATTACTTAAAGATTACAGATGAACTGGGGAGGAGGAGGTTGTCAATTTCTGGGAGTTTCAATTTAATAGTCCCAATTTTCCTAAGTCTGGCTAAAAAAAAAGCTGTAATTTGTAATTTCTCTTTCCTTTTTCTGCAGTTGAAAATAGTGGTGGTATCCACATAATTTTGAAGTGATTTCTTATATAGTCTGAACTATATTCATTACCAAATAAAGTCACGCTTAAAAGTGTGTGAAGACTGAATCCAAGAAGTCTTGGGATTGGATTTTACTGTATGAATGTTTCATATTGAAAACACAAGATGACCTTTCTAATGAGCTGTGTGAGAGGCGACTCTCCTCACTGTCACTGCCATAGCCAAGCATCCTCGTGAGAGTGAGCACGTCGGGACAGCACGCTGCTCTGGGGCCGCGGGGCAGGCTGGGCTGCCTGCCTCTCTAGCAGAGGCCAGTAGAGAAGAGTTCCTCAAAGCAGCCCTGGCTGTCTTTTTACACTGTATGTGGTTTGGAGATGAATGTAAAAACCTACTGTGGGCATTTACCTTTCTGTGCCAGTTTGGCCTGAACCTCCTGCTGACCTGGACTGGGACAGTGCTGTTGTGGAGCCAGCAGGGAGCCTGTCTGCAGAGATGCGATGTGCTGATACAGTGACTGGTGGTCAGGTAAGAGGCTTGGCACTTCTCGGAAGAAGCGTGTCTAAGGGTGTGCGTCTCACGTGATCATGCCAGATTGGGACGAGCCAAGCAGGAAGACGGGCTGGAAGCGAGCTGCATTATCAAGAGTACCTTGGTGAGAGGATCAGTGTAAATCCTAATAGGTACAAAGACTTTGTGTTTTTGCTTTGTCACAGATTTATTGACAAACTTTTGCTTCTGCTTCCATTTTTAGCATTTTATTTCTGGTTTTCATTTTCAAGCCCCATTGCCTTTTAAAAATTAAGTGGTTTTCTTTCTTTTTCCTCCATCCCTCTGTCTTCGACTGCCCTTCCCAACTCATCCCCACACGATCCTCTTAAACATTTTTAAAGCCCGACCCCAGACATTGGAAATAGGTAAGCAGGAGAAAAAGTATAGGTTCTGACATGGTGTCAAGGAGTCTTTATCAACAAGCTGAAATTATTCTTGGAACACTAGACATCATAAATCAAACACTAAATTGTATCATGTAAACTCCTTACACTTCTCAAATATTGAGCTTTGGTACAATCATGAGTAAACATTCTGGTGATTATTTAGAGGCCTTTTTATACACCACATATAGTTTTTCTATAAAAAATTTGTCTTTTTTCACAAAACCAACTTCTTGTCAGCCAGTGTACTTATCAAAGAGAACCCACTGTTTTTGCAATTTTTCCTACTCTTTAAAGCTTTTCCCAAAATTCCTCAGCAAGAATTGTTGAGGCCTGTGGTGTAGCACACCCAACTTGTTTTTAAAATTCAATTCCATTTTAATTATAGCAACTCTGTCCATTTACCCAGGTGTCTTGAATGTATTTGCTCCTTTTCTTTGGGCAGAAATAGGAATGAGTCATTTTGAATTTAAAATCTTTCCCAGAAGATGAACTACTTAAGGGAGTGGGGGGTGTCTGATACAAAGAAGCACTGTGTCTGTTTCCATCTTTGGTTTTAAAATATCTGTAACTCTTATAGGCCATAAAGCAGGAGAGCCTTCCTTTCTGTCATGTTCCCTTTGCTTATGTATGAGCACATGTTTTCTGTACCAATCACTTGGGAAAGAAGAGAGTTTCTATTGTTTTAGTTTTGCTTGTCGATTTAGCATTCCTTTTTGAGTCTCAAGATTTATGGAACAATAAATGTCATTCAATGCTGTGTGCTATTCTGAATTCCTCATAGGGTTTTAGAAGTGGGGTAAAAAAGTTAAAAGCTCATCAAACTTGAAATCACACACCAAGTGGTATTGAGCATTAGTCTGTCCCAGTGAAACAAGTTAAATTATGGCACCAGCAGATTTGCTACTTTGTTTTTTTTTTAATAGTAGGATGTATACATTTCTGTATAATAAATGTTTTCTGATTGTTTTGCAAGTGTGTGTGTCATTTAAAATCCCAGTTCCTGCCAGTGTCACAGAAGAGAGAGGCTCCACATGTATGTTCTGAGGACACACCAGTCCAAATGTTATAAGTTGAGACCCAGGTGGTTTTCTCAAAGCTGCTGCAACTGAGAGGTAATGTTATTCTAGTAACTTACTTTTCTTATTAGAGGTTCTCCTGTTTAATAAATGGGTCATTGAGTAAAGTAGCTGTGATAGATAATGTATAGAAGGCCCATTTACATAAAATAGAAACTGTAATTCATAATCACTGAAGCAGGTCTGTGGTATATGTTTTGTTTTATTTAAATAGCATCAGTCATTTCTCCCCTACACGGTGTTGCAAATGTATATTTAAATAACTACTGTGGTATACACAATTTTTAGACCTGTGAATACCAGAGTTTATCATAAAGCAATAAAATCATCAACTCTTGAATGCTTATTCTGGTAATCCCGTTAAATCGATTTATGGGGTTCTGTGTATATGCCCTCTCTCCCTAGAAGCAGCTGAGGCATTGTGTCCTGAATACCTCTAAAACTGCCCACCTAGAAGTACTGCTAGTAATGGGAAAAGAACACCTTGTTTGCCGTTTCACTTATGCTTCTCACAAGCTCTGGACTCCAGTCCAGGAGTGGTTGCTAGGAAGGGTTGTGGTGGGTTCCTAATTTTAATTAATAAAGATCACAAATGTGGACAGCACAGGCAGAAACTAGATCATCTTATCAGATGCTTAGATAACATTAGGAAGGCCTTGAATTTGGAAAGTGGTTTTGCTCAGATTTACCTGCCATAGATTATAGCAATAAAACCCTGACTTAAGCATTGAAATGGTTTATTCATTTTTATATTTTGAGTCTAAAAGGTGCCAACACTTGACTGATCTGAGTTTTAAATGTATAAAACTTTTGACTAGTTCTGGTGTAACTTGATTTCTAAGATTTTAAAATAAAGTTGGAAAAAATTACACCCATTCTACATGCATCCATTCATTATTTTTAATTCATTATTTCTTAAGCCTTATTCAATTCTATTGCTTTAAGGTCCCCCAAGTTTTGTGAGATATGACATTAGCTTTTCTCCTATAATAAAACTGTGTGCTATAGTGTACACAAGAGCTTATAATTTCCAATCGGGCAACTTGAACTCAGGGTTGACTGTTTTGTTTGGTCCCCCAAGTTGACAGAAATAGGTGAAGACCCTGCTTCACCCAGTGTAGAGTCCTCATTTCTTTGGTGTCTCAGAAACTTAACAACATGCCTTCCACATACAAAACTATTAGGTATTACGAATTTGCAGTACAGTCACTTTGATAAAGGTGCGTCAAAGTGGAAAAGCCCTGCTAATCAAAATGGAATTGTTGTGAATTAAAGTAGGCCACTATCTTAAGTATCAGGTAGAAAATCAATAGCTTGGTTTTTCTGCTCCATTTGTGCTAACACTGATGGTCTGAGGAATGCTGACAAAGCGGAGGACAGAACTCTTGTCCCTAAGAAGGTAAACCCACCTTGTTAAAAAATCAGGTTTCTTGCAGGATCCTGGCTGCACTGAAGCCACTCTTGCTGTGTGTTTACTGACAAGGCTTTGATTTGATTGTATCGCAGCAGACTAAAGTCAAAACTATCGCCAAAGTTACTGCAATCCCTACAGAAGTCTTTTACCTGTAAATACCTTTCCCAATGGAGACTCAACAGATTTCGGTGACCGTGGAGAAGGTAGGGAAGACTTGGGTCTTCTCTGTGTTGGGCCCTGCAGCTGCTGTCAGAGAATGACACAACACCTGCACAGCCGATGGCCACTTCCTCCCACTGCTGTCGGTGGTGTGACGGGTGCAAAGTAGGCATGGACTTTGACATGAGGGAGCTGAGCCTGGAAACAGAAGAAAAAGGTGGAATAATCTTTACACTGATATTTTTGGAATTATAGGCATAGTCCTAGAAAAGCCTGTAGTTCTCCACGGGGAATTGGCTTCACTTTACCATTAGGCAAATAGTGCAAAAAGAATTTCAGGGGTAGGCTAGAGCTACTCCTGTTTAATAATACATCCCCTAAAACAGCACCTTCCAAAGATAAAGGAAAACTAGTAATATTTCTGCTCCTGGGTAGTCACTGGCCCCCAATGGAGTTCCCACCAGCTGTAGCATCCCGGGCAGCTTTTGGCCTGTAAATGCAAAGTTAAAAACTTTGCTTTCTTGAACATGCTATGTGTCAAAAGCAAGCCACATTCTATTAGTGCTCTCGCCTGGAAATTAGCCAAGACCACATGTACCTCCTACTGGTAATGACCTCCGGCCCCTTTCCCTGTAAGGGTGCTGATCACCTGACTATGTGGAACCCATTCTGGAAGTTGTATCTCCCAGGCTGGGGTCTGATTAAGGAATTCTGAAGAAGTCTCGGGAGACATTTAGATTTCTGTGTGACAGACGTGCATGTTGATTCTTGGTGTATTTGTTGCTTGCTTAGAAACTGTGCCAGGTGTACGGCTCCTGCCCCACACTTACCCGCATCCGCTTGATGCCCGCGCGGGTAACCTGCTGGCAGTCATACAGCTCCAGGCGCTCCAGGCCACGGCAGTGCTCCAGGTGCTCCAGGGCCACGTCGGTGATGAGGAGGCAGTTGTCCAATTCCAGTACTTGCAGCCTCTCATGGCCACAGGTGCTATTGCTCAGGTGCAGGATTCCATCATCTGTGATGAGCTCACAGTGGGACAGGCTCTGCAGGAGGGAGAGGACAACATGTTTACAAGACCCTCATTCTAATGCGTATACCCTGGGAAAAGCCAGGGGAGCAACCATTTATCTACAGGGTCGAACACAAAGCAAGGGGCGGGGGCTTTGGCCGGGGGGCTGCTGCAGCTGGGGAGTGGTTTCTCTCACCTTCCTGAATATAAAAGCAAGTCAGAATTGCAGGGGATGGTCTGGCTCAATCCTGAGCTCACCTCCCAGGCACAATCTACAGCTACACATGGAACAACTTCCTCTGAAAAAAGCCTAAAAGCTGGCTTAGCACCTCCTACACATTGGACCAGTGAGGGAAGGCCTGTGACAAAGCTGGTAGGAGGGGCTGGACACAATCTCACCAGAAACGCCACTCGCAGTCCGGGACCCAGAGTCAGAGGGTGCACCAAAACCCGGAGCTTCTCCCTGGGGAGGGAAGGGTTAAAAACCCACGTTGCCCCTCCCCCACTCCCTGACTTTTAAGACTTACACCTGAGTGACAGGCCCCCAAAAGAACTAGCTTTGAAAACAACAGGCTCAAAACCACAAGGTTGCAGCAGATCTTACAGGACTCGCCTGCCCAGGGCCCAGCGTGGGACCCTGGGAAAATGAGAGGAGCACCACCAGCCCGAGGGGTAGGCATCTGATCAGACACCCATTCAGGGGGACCTTGGGGCGCTCTCTGGTGATGGAGACTAGGTGCCATCTTTGCACTCCTGCCTTTACTGGGAAGATGCCATTTTTTAAAACGGGCTTTTTCCCTTTCCTGGTGGGCACCACCGTCTCTTCATGTCTGGTGCCCCAGATATTGCGGCTGCCGCCAGGGAATACCTACATCTCTTGGCTCTGGTGGCCCCCACAGAACTGTAACCAATAGAGAATGTTCTTAAACAGCTGCCACCTCAAGGGCACAGCAAGAACCAACAGACCCAGGAGCTCAATCTTGTGAAAGAGGCCTATTAGCTTATAGCTGCAGCCTGATGGGCAGGCTTCTAATTGAATACACAATAGACCTACAAATGCGTTCAGTGAAGTTTTAGGACACAAAAGCAATATACAAAAATATGTTGTGTTTCTATACACTAATAAATTATCAGAAAAAGAAATTAAGAAAATCCCACTTAACATCTGCATGAAAAATAAATAAATAAAACACCTAGAAATAAATTTAACCAGAATGTGAAAGGCCTATACACTGAAAACTATTATGTATGAAAGAAATTGACACAAATTCCATGCTTGAAAATTAATATTGAAATGTTCATACTACCCAAAGCAATCTACAGATTCAATGCAATCCTATGGCATTTTTCACAAACAGAACATCCTAAAATGCACAGAACCACAAAAGACCCTAATAAGTCCAAGCAATTGACTTAAGAAGCACAAAGCTGGAGGCATGCTCCAATGTAGTTAGATTTCAGTACAGTATTGGCATAAAAACACACACCTGATAGAATGACTTATAAAAACAAGTGATTAGGATGTGGGAAAAGGGAACCCTTTTTGCATTGACGGCCATGTAAATTGGTGCAATTACTAGTGAAAACAGTAGAAGGTTCATTTAAAAAAAAAGTTTAACCCTTTGTGGTCCAGTTTTATTTTTGGAATTCAAACAGTCTGGTCCAAATTAATTGACGGGATTGAATGTTGAACCAGTTTGCGGTGTCTCAGCCTCGACGTTGTACCCGCTAGCGCCTGGTCTGTCGAGTCAGCCTCCACGTTGGACCGAAAAGGGTTAAATACAACTATTAGAGATGATCCAGCAATTTCACTTTTACAGTTTTCAAAGAAAAAGAAAACAGTTCAAAAAGATATATACAGCCCCATGTTCGCTGCAGCATTATTTACAACAGGCTAGAAGTGGAAACAACCCAAGTGTCCACCATCAGAAACATGGGTAAAGAAAATGTGAGACAGATGCACATACACAGTGGCATATTCAGCCATAAAAAAAAAGGAAATCTTGCCATTTATGACAACATGGATGGACCCTAGAGCATTGTGCTAAGTGAAATGTCAGATGAATACCTTATGATCTCACTTATATGGAATCTGGGGAGAAAAGACATCAGACTACAAAACTATCTGTAATATGTAGGTGGGAAACAGAATGGTACAGGTAGATTCATGTACATTCATGACTGACGTCTGAAATCTGACCCCACACTCCAAAGTCCCAGAGTGAATGTGAAAATGAGGAAACTGGTGGGGAGAGTAACTTGAGGCCAAATGGAGCTTTGGTGATGTTAAAAAGTCTAGCCTCTGAGGACAGAGCCAGCTTCAGGAAGACAGAAAGCTGGCGTAAGGAAGTCTGTTGTGTATTCCAGGACTGGGAAGACCTGTGGTCCCCCAGCAGTTGTGTAACTCTGGGCAGGTTTCTTAACGGCTTTGAGCTTCCTTTTTTTCCGCTCAGATAAAATCGTGCCCACAGTGCCTGAGTCACTCCGGGCTGCGGATGGACTGAGTGTAGGTAGCACAGTGTCCAGGGCCTTGCTCCATGAGCAGGGTTCCATCCCACTCCCCGCTCTGGTCAAACAGCTGGATGTGAGGGGTGCATGGGGTGCCACTGCTACTCCACTGCTCATTTTGGACCTTTTTAATATGTTCTAGTTCCTTTTCCATATACATGCTTATACAGAGAAGGGATTATATATCTATGTGCAGATATGAAGTGCAAATATAACTCAAGGTTGGCCTCAACCTGAGGTTATATCACGTTAACATGTTAATTCTCACTCTGCCTGACATGATGAACAGGAACTTAAATGGTAAGGGCATGGGCCCCTAAATTAGGTTCATATCCTAAAAGGAAAGCAGTAACATTAAGATACCCTGTCTCCCACATTAGCCCAACCATATAGACCTTTGAAACCAAGAATGATGCTACCTTTACGGGAAGGAAACCCAGATTCCTGCTGTGGTGAGGTGAACAGTGTCACACCCACTCAGACTCACCAGGGCTTGCAGGTTAGGACAGTGAATGGAGAGCTGGATGAGCGTGCTGTCGGTTATCTGGAGAGAGACACGCTGGGTTAGTGTGGCTTCTACACCACAACTTAACACCTGACTCTGGCTTCTGAACGTGAGCATCAAGGAGCAAAAGAGAATAAGACTCGGACAGGGCCCCTCTGTCATCAGCAACCCTGTCTGCCCACCGCTGGAGACTCAGCTTCTTCAGTCTCTTGGAGCCTAAGGGGGCTGGGGGGTAGGGTTTGGACAAAGGGGGAGTGGGCAAGGAAGGTCCCCCAGGATTCTATGTAGTCACCTCATCCTGGACATGCAAGCTTATTTATCTCTTTAGTTCTGTGAAAATAAGAATTTTGTTTCTTAATGTTTGGCAAAAGATGGAGCAACTTTGAACTTCTGGGCTGTGGTTGGCTGATGACTGAGGGCAGTCCAAAATTTACACATCCCACTGCCAGGGCCTTCAGAGTTCCCCAGCCCTGATCCTACACTAGACAAAGAGGGTCTGAACTACAGCCCATCAGCGTGCCTAGCTATGCCTGGCTGTTGGTCAGGGACTGAGGGGCAGCCCTGCAGAGCACGGAGGGTCCACTCACCAGGACACATTCTTCCAGATCCATCTTCTCGAGGTCATGGCAATTCTGAAAGAGTCCACAGACATCTCTCACCATGCAGTTGGTGTGAGGGCAGCCCTGGGGGCTTGCCCTGTTCCCAAAGCACCCCGTCAGCCAGCATAAGCAGGTGCCCTTTGAATCACATCCACTTGGGAATGGGAATGGGGCTGCCCTGGTTGCATGTCCTCCCATCCTGGAAGGTAGTTGCCCAGCCTTCACAGATGCCAGAACAGAACAGGTCCTTTGAGGGCCTAAGGTGGGGCGCTGAGCCACAGAGTGGGCAGGAGGGTGGGGCAGGAGGAAGTGTACCAGCAGCCCCAGGAAAGGGTTACTGGCAGCAGGCCAGAGGCCCCCACAGGGGTCTGCATTTGCAGAGGCAGCTCAGCCCAGTGAGAGGCTGCGTGGTCGGGTCTGTGGAAGGAAGGCCATCTCCTCCCAGGGAGACCACATGCGAGAGGTCTAGACCTGCTACAAATCCCTCTAGACCGCCCCAGCTTTCTGACCGGCTGGGGAAAAGGCACGGCACACCCTGAGGACTCTTCGACTTGGTGCCTGTTTACTTTTTCCCACCCTCCAGAACCACTCCAATCACTCTGAGGGGGGGAGGTGAATTAGAGTTTGGTTTGGTTTTTAAAACCTTCGCCTTACCCGAGCTAAGAGTGTAAAGCCTGCATCGGTCAAATGGGAACACCGGGCAGCCTCCAAAATCCTGGGATAAGGAGAAAAAAGCAGCGACTGGTCAGCAACAGAAACTCAGCCTCTATGGGCACACTCGAGTTCCTTCTGCTCCTTGACACTCTTGCTTCTGGTAACAGCCCTAAGGTGGTAATGCAGATACTGTCCCCACTGGAAGGACGAGGAGAACGAAACTTAGGGAGGAATGGGGCCTGCCCTGACTCCCAAAGTCCCATCCGAAATTCGGGACAGGAAGCCAGGAATCTTCCCACACAGTACAGTACACTGTTGCTGCTGCTGTTTTAAAATATTTTCCCAATATTGTTATCTTTAAACACAATTAAAATGAACTTTCATTTAACAAAATCATGATAAATACTGCATTTACTGAAATTCTCAGTTACCGTATAGGAAAACTTAAAATTTATAGCCAGTGAGAGATAGAGTTAATTCTCAATAGCCATGCTTAACAGGATGGATGCATAAATAACATTTTTAAGTTAAATACTCTTATAGCAATAACTTTAACCTCCTTTCTGACCAGATTTAATACCAGATTCCTTTTATGCAGAAATATCAAAATTATCTAGAATCTTCCCTAATACAACAGTAAAAAAAAATAGGCAAAAGATAAAAAAGACAACCTTTATAAGATATGTAACTGATACAAGCAAGAGAAATCAGTTCCACTAGCAAATAAAAAAAATAAAAGCAGCCCGGCCAGCGTGGCTCAGTGGTTGAGCATCAACCTATGAACCACGAGGTCACTGTTCGATTTCCGGTTGAGGCCTATGCCCAAGCTGCAGGCTCAATCCCCAGTGTGGGGCACAAAGGAGGCGGCTGATCAAGGATTCTCTCTCATCATTGTTGTTTCTCTCTCTCCCTCTCCTTTCCTCTCTGAAACCAATAAATTATATTTAAAATAATAATTAAACAAGCATCTTTTTTCTGCCTACTGGATAGGGAGGGGCTAAGATTGCTGGTTTTGAAGGCAAACTCCACAAGTTCAAATTCGAGTTTACTTCTTACTCATCATGTGATCCAGAACAAATTATGTGGTTTTCTTTGAGTCTCAGTTTCTCCTCTGCAAGACATGTGACATAGTAGTACCTACCTCCTAGAGATGTGGTGAGGATTAAAGGAGATAATGCCTAACGCAGAGCATTAATAAATGAGATAATGCCTAATGTAGAGTTCAATGGATATTAACTATGATTAGTATTTTGTTGCCATTATTAAAGACTTAATATTCACTGTATTATGTGGCAAATCAAAAAATAAATCATTTTTTGTTAAAACAAAACTTTCCTTCTGGCTAAGAGATGATAAATAGGGCGATTGGGATTCCCTTGCCCCTCCCCCCTCCTGTCCATTTAGCAGCTGGTTTAGAGGAGAAACTAAACTGGTGACATTTGGAAGCAAGGCTGTCATCCTGCTCACGATCAGATCGCTCTGATATCAATAACAGGATGAGGCAAATCAGGTGGGCCTGTGCGGTCCGTCAAGACATTAAGGTTCCTATTCCCTGGTGGTAGACACTATCCCTACATTCCAAAATGAACTGGGTGCCACACTGTCCCGCCCTGACCCATCCAACAACAACGTAACCACTGCCCCCTCCGCCAGCACCTGTTCCACCAGATGGCAAGCCTTTCCCCTCCAATGGAAACCCTCCTGGTCAGCCCACCACAGTCTGAGCTGCAAAGCGGAAGGCATGCACACTCACTGAAGTCTCGGGCAGTTCAACGCCAGGGCTGTGAGAGAGGTGTCCGTGAGGTTGCTGCAGCCAGAAAGGCAGAGGGCCTGCAGCCGGGGGCAGCCCCTGCAGATCTGTACCACGCCTTCGTCCGTAATGCGCTGGGAACCCAAAACAGGAAGGCAGGTCAGAAGGCACAGGAAACTGAAATGTGGATCTACTGATGGTCCACTGGTCTAGGTTGCCAGTTACCAGCACTGCAGCCTAGTAATTTAAACAAAATAAAGTGATGTACTCGACAGACGGGTATTGATGTTCTTTCTGCACAGCTTTAAAAATATTCCAGCATTACTAATGAGAGCGATATTTTAAAATTCCACTTACCTTCCCAGATTCATTGGATTTTCAGGAAAAATTCATAAACTTATATTAAAAATCAGATTAAACAAAAAGCTCACGAGACTTGGCTAAGTGACATTAATTTTTGGTTGAGTTTCTATAGATTAATGCTTTAGTTATCTACCATAAAAACGCTATGTGTCTATAATGGAAAAGTTAAATAAATCACTAAATTATTGATAAGTCAATATTCAAAATAACATCTTTATTTATACATACTAATTTAGGTGGAGATAAAAAATGCATTTATGCTATACTAGAGGCCCAGTGCAGTGGGAGTGGGGTGTTTGAGGGGAGGGGCTCCCTCAGCCCAGCCTGTGCCCTCTTGCAGTCTCGGACCCCTCACTCCTTACTTCCCGCCTGCTTGCTGCTCCTTAGTGCTGCCGCGGAGGCGGGAGAGGCTCCTGCCATCGCCACTGCGCTTGCCAGCCGTGATCCCGGCTTCTAGCTGGGCAGCGCTCGCCCTGTGGGAACGCACTGACCACCAGGGCCAGCTCCAGTGTTGAGTGTCTGCCCCCTGGTGGTCAGTGCACGTTGTTCAGCTCTTCAGTCAATTTGCATATTAGGGTTTTATTATATACTAGAGGCCCGGTGCACAAAAATTTGTGCACTCATGGGGGAGGGGAGTCCCTCAGCCCAGCCTGTGCCCTCTCGCAGTCTGGGACCCCTCGGGAGATAACGACCTGCTGGCTTAGGCCTGCTCCCGGGTGGCAAGGGCAGGCCCAATCCCCAGGTGCAGCCCCTGGTCGGGCTCAGAACAGGGCCGATTGGGGAGTTGGGGCGCTGCCCCCTATCATGCACAGAGCAGGGCGGATCGGGAGGTTGCGATGCCACCCCCAGTCACGCTCAGGGTAGGACCGATTGGGGGGTTGGGGCACTGCCCCCGTCACACTCAAGGCAAGGTCGATGGGGAGGTTGCGGCGCCACCCCCCGTCATGCACAGAGCGGGGCCAATCGGGGTTGGGGCGCTGCCCCCTGTCATGCACAGAGCAGGGCCCATCAGGGGGTTGGGGCGCTGCCCTCTATCACCCACAGAGCAGGGCCGATCAGGGGGTTGGGGCACCGCCACTCTCACACTCAGGGCAGGGCCGATGGGGAGGTTATGGCTCTACCCTGTCACACACAGAGCAGGGCCCGTGGGGGGGGGGGGAGGTTGGGGCGCCGCACCCTGTCACACACAGAGCAGGGCCGATCAGGGGGTTGGGGCGCCGCACCCTGTCACACACAGAGCCGCAGGCGATCAGGGGGTTGGGGAGCTCCCCCCTATCAGGCACAGAGCAGGGCTGATCAGGGGGTTGGGGGGCCTTCCCCTGTCACGAACAGAGCAGGGTGGATAGGGAGGTTGTGGCCCCGCCCCCTGTCACACACAGAGCCGCAGGGCGATCAGGGGGTTTGGGCGCTGCCCCGTCACGCTGATCCCGGTGCCGGGAGGCCTCGCGGCTCTGCTGATCCCAGTGCTGGGAGGCATATTACCCTTTTACTATATAGGGTAGAGGCCTGGTGCACGGGTGGGTGCCGGCTAGTTTGCCCTGAAGGGTGTCCTGGATCAGGGTGGGGGTCCCCACTGGGATGCCTGGCCAGCCTGGGTGAGGGGATGATGGCTGTTTGCAGCTGGTCACACACCCTTCAGGGTGGGGGTCCCCACTGGGGTGCCTGGCCAGTCTGGGTGAGGGGCTGAGGGCTGTTTTCAGGCTGGGGGTGACTGAAGCTCCCAACTGTTCCTTTTTTTCTTTTTTATTCTGGGCCAGCTTTACCTTTGAGGCTTGGCTCCAGCTCTTAGGCCTCTGCTGCTGAAAGTAGGTTTCTGGCCTTTGCTTACAATGTTGCGATCCTGCTGGCTGAAGCCCAGGGACTAAAGCAGGTTTCTGGGGTTTTGTTTAGCTTCTATATTTGTTACATAGTTGCTTAGAGTTGCAGCTCAGAGGCCTGCAGCGGCAGGCGGGGAACGTTGGAGTCCTCCGTCACTGAAGCAAGCAAGCCTCATGTTAGTTTCAAGCTGCCTGGCTGCCGGCCGCCATCTTGGCTGGCAGTTAATTTGCATATTGCCCTGATTAGCCAATGGGAAGGGTAGCGGTCGTACGCCAATTACCATGTTTCTCTTTTATTAGAAAGGACTAGAGGCCCGGTGCACAAAAATTTGTGCACTCAGGGGGGTCCGTCAGCCACCCGGCCTATGCCCTCTCGCAGTCTGGGACCCCTTGGGGGATATCCACCTGCTGGCTTAGGCCCGCTCCCCCAGGGGATTGGGCCTAAGCTGGCAGTCAGACATCCCTCTGGCAGCCCGGGAGCCCTCGGGGGATGTCTACTTGCCAGCAGGGAGCAGGCCTAAGCTGCAGTTGGACATCCTTAGCACTGCTGAGGAGGCGGGAGAGGCTCCCGCCACCATCACTGTGCTGGCAGCCGTCAGCTTGGCTTGTGGCTGAGCAGAGCTCCCCCTGTGGGAGCACACTGATCACCAGGGGGGAGCTCCTGCATTGAGCGTCTGCCCCCTGGTGGTCAGTGTGTGTCATAGTGACCAGTCATTCCCAGTGGTTCTGCTGTTAGGGTCAATTTGCATATTACCCTTTTATTATATAGGACTAGAGGCCCGGTGCATGAAAATTCATGCACTGTAGGGGGGACCCTCAGCCCGGCCTGCCCCATCACACCTCTGCTGCTGCCACTGCCGGCTGTGCAAGCCTTGGCCGGCTCTGGTTACCTGAGCCTCAGGCATCCCTGGGAGGCTGAAGGGACTGGGGGTCTCCAGAGGCAGGTATGTGACGCGTGCTGAGGCGTCTGCTTTCCGCCATCTTGTGGCTGTCGGTGCCGCCATCTTTGAGGGTGGGGCAGTCAATTAACATATTCCTTCCTTATTGGCTGTGGGAGCTGCCATCTTTGAGGATGGGGCAGCCAATTAGCATATTCCCTCCTTATTGGCTGTGGGCGCTGCCATCTTTGAGGGCAGGGCAGTCAATTAGCATATTCCCTCTATATTGGCTGTGGGTGATGCCATCTTTGAGACAGCGTGAGGCTCAATTAGCATATCCCCTCTTTATTAGATAGAAGGATTTCATATTAGGGTTTTATTATATAGGATTTCAAGTCACAGCCAGTGCTAGCCTACATGCAATTCAAGGTCTGACTTTGAACAGCTGCAGGCCCCTCAGTTAATATATGTCCAGAAGATAGCTTCTCCTTTACCTCCCATTATCAGGGACTCTAGAGATTTATGATTCACGCGCTAAAAATCCCAAATGCAAGGGACTTCTTGCCTGAGAAACCAGTATATGTAGAAAGCATCCTCAGTTTCAGCATTTCCAAGGGCAGGGAGAGGAACCGCAGCTTTTCCCAGGCTCACGCACTGCTGGAAAGGATGCCCTGCCCTGCCACATGCCCTTATTCCTAAAGCATCCTCATGTCTGTTGTTCCTTTTTATTTACTGACACAATGTGAGAAGTGTCATCATCCCCCATTTATAAATAAATAAAAAAAGACACTGAGGCCTTACCATGGACTGATGAGGCCAGTGACAGCCTTCCTAATATCTTAAACAACCGACCCCGAGCTACATCATTTACAGGGGAAGTGTTAGAGGCTGTGCACGGGCCTTTCTGTTGACAGTGGTGTTTCGTCTTGTGACAAATGGACAGATCACAGAAGGACACAGGATAAGAGGTAAGGTGTGGCGATCATCCTGCCTGCCTGGGTGCGTGAGGGGGACCCCTCCCCCCCGCAGTTTCTGAGGGAGGACACAAGCGGGAGGGTGCACAGCGGAAAGGCACGCTACTTACTGGGCAGGACTGGAGGTTGAGGCTCACGAGCTCATGGCAGTAGTTCTGAATGTGTTTTAGAGCTTCGTCTTCTAACTGGGACGGAGAAGACAAGAGGGATGGAACTAGGTGAGAGAACAGTGGGGCACCAAGGAAAATGCAACAGCAAGGCCCTCATCAAGCGCCCACCCTAACTTTAGATATCGGTAGTCAGCGCGGCTGCGTCAGCCCTGGTACCTGCGTGCAGCCCCGCAGGAGCAGGGCCTTCAGGCCTCGGCAGCCGCGCACCAGGGCCTCGATGCCATCCTTCGTGATCTGATCACACCACGAGAGGTTCAGGTACTCCAGGTTCCGGCAGCCCTCGCTGAGAGAACAAGGAACACAACCACGCATGTGCAGTCTAGCCTGCAGAGCATGCATTACCAACACTGAGTTTAGTAAATCACTGGGGAGAGAGGACCCCTGTGACCATTAGAAAGGTGTCAGACACACCAAGGTGTTCAGAGCTTTGGGTGCTTCTCTTGACCACAAACAACAGGTCCTCGTACCTGATGCCCTTTAAGGAGCTGTTGGTGATGGACACACAGGAGGTCAGATCCAGATGTTTCAGCTTGGCGCAGAATCTGCTAAGGCTGTAACACGTGCTGAGAAAGAGCAGAGGCACTAAAGATATTTTCAACCATGTCTCTCTCCTCTCTGTCTCCCCATAGCCAATTAGTCACCTAACTAATTTTCCCTACTTACCTGTCAGTGATTTTTGTGCACCCATTGAGGTTTAAGTGCTCGATGTTTCGGCAGTTCTGTGCAAAGGTCCTAAAGAGAACACATTTTAAATCTCCCTGCAAGTTGCCAGGCAGCCACTAGAGGGCGTGTATAACCATTCACATTTACAACAGTGCTCCTCAAACTTAAAATTTGTATATTATTGGACAAAGAACACTTAACATGAGATATATTCACTAAATAAAATTTTAAGCGTACAATATGTTACTGCTGACTATAAGTACTAGTGCTCCTCAAACTTTAATGTGCACACAGAAGAGCTTGGGGTTCTGTCCCTACTGACCCCAAAGTCATGGTCTGTCACTACTCTACACCAGGGAATGCCCGGCCTGCAGGCTGTATAAGGCCCACAAAGTCATTGGGTCTGGCCCTGCCATGGCATTAGGGGTGAGTTAATTAAATGTGTGACCAAATATAGCAGGCTGACTTTTAAGCTGATAATTCTGTATGACCCCGGAATGATGTTATAAATATCCACATGGCCCTTGGCAGAAAAAAGGTTCCCCACCCTGCTCTCAGCAAATCACCAGGAAAGAATTTAACAGAAGAAAAGCACACAAGATGCTTAGTGTATTTTCGCCGATGGAAATGTCAGCTACAACCTGCTGTGGCTGGCGAACCACTGAGGTTCGACTTACTTCAGGGAGGAATCCCCAACACCAATGCAGCCTCGCAAGCTGAGCTTCCGCAGGAACCCGCCACAGCGCTTGGAGATGTTTTCCACCACTCGACCCTGGAACCAAGAAAGTTGGAGAGAAATTCTGTTTTTCAGGTTGCTTATCTAACTGAACAATAACCTGAAATTTAGCAAGTTCAGAAACTGAATATTAATATTAAAGCTGTTATAAAATAAAATTTTCTCATTTGGTCAGATTTACCACTCTTAAACAGAGGTATACATATTTCCAGATAAATATACCAGAATCTCGAAATTGTAAGAGGCTTTAAAGATTATTTTATAGGCAACAAAACCGAGGCACTGAGAAATTATATGGCTCAAGTGGCCAAGCTGGAGTGACACTTCAGTGACACCTTGCCTCACTCCTGGCTCGTGCTGCTGCCCTTTCTCCATTCTTCTTTATTTATTTTATTTTTAAAATTTTTATTGATTTCAGAGAGAAAAAGAGAGGGAGAGATAGAAACATCAATGATGAGAATCACTGATTGGCTGCCTCCTGCATGTGCCCTATTAGGGATCGAGGCCGCAACCCAGGCACGTGCCCTGACCGGGAATCAAATCGTGACCTCCTAGTTCATAGGTGGATGCTCAACCACTGACCCACACTGGCTGGGCCCTTTCTCCATTCGTGACGGTGAATTTAGAATTCTCAGTGGATCTTTCAGATCAACAACTATTTGTCGAGTGTCCCCTCATATTAAATCAGAGAAGCAGGTGTTAATGAGGCAGGTGTTGAGGCTTTAAGAAGCTAAGTGGTAAAACTCAGATTATAAATATGAAAAAAGTAATCTGTTACCAATACAGAGCAAAGTAAAATACAAGCAGCATTTTGGTCTGGATGCATGGAAATATCTTCTAGGTTCCCCTCTCTATTCTACCTCTTTTTTTTTTCGATCTTTAATTTCTTTATTGATTAAGGTATTACATATGTGACCTCATCCCCCCCCATACACCCTCCCAACTCTTGCCCTTGCCCCCCTGTTGTCTGTGTCCATTGGTTGGGCTTATATGCATGCATACAACTCCTTCGGTTGATCTCTCCCCCTTGCCCCCACCCTCTATTCTACCTCTTGCCACCTTAGTATTAAATCTAAATGCAACACAAGAAACATGCAGGGGAAAAGGAGCAGTTCACTTATCTTCTTAAAAAGTCTTTTGTCTAAAACACAGTTAACTTACCTCTACATCTGTTTGAAAGTTAAAAAGGTCTATTCTTTGCCAGTTGCTTCCATCCAGGGCTAAGATGTTCCAAGCCTGGGAGGTGGGAGTAAAGGAGGAGGGATTGGGGTGAAAAAGATACATTTATTGAGACCATTAAAGAAAGACTTTATGCAACCTTTGTATTTTCAAGCTTGTATTCTTGATATACATTGTTTATAATCAAATATGGAATTATGACAAGAGTGTGTTACATTAAATATAAAAGATGACATTTTAATTTTTAACTATTTACTTGAACTGAAACTCATCCACATTCTAATAAAGCTTGAGAGTTACTGATGAAAAATCTGGTTGATACCTTACCTTGGAAATCTGTGCACATCGGCACAAAGTTACTATATCCAAGAAGGAAAATATTCTAGGAAGAAAGGGAAAAAACACAAAGAATGAAACGGTGTTAACATTTCAGGATATCTGTAACTTGAAAGATACAACCTAATGAGCCATCTGGATAGCTTCATAGTTTGTTTTTTTTCAAGTTTCTTCAATTTGCAACACACACGTATGCTATAATTTTACACACTACTGTGAAATATTAAATGTTTGCATGTTCCCAAGCTGTTTCAGATGCACGACACACAAATCCCCTTAAAACGGAACTCATTACACTTAATTTCCCTGGCTCTAGGCATGGACATGAGACAGACCATAACTTGTTCATTCAAAGTCCAACCTCCCAGGAGCTAAGTCTGGTGAGAGCCGAATCCTTCTAATTCTGTGCCCTGCCTCACAGGCAAACCCCTCTTTTGTGGGAAGATGCCCTAACCAGGCTCGGATGCCGAGCCTCAAACAACAAGGCCAAGAAAAGTTCGATGATAAAACCTATTTGGGCAGAAAAATGGAGCTCAAGGTCTACAAGTGACCAGTTTTTTATGAGCAAAAGCCAAGACGGCACGGAAGATGGGAAAGATGGGGAAAAGAGAAGCAGAGAGAAGCACACAGAAACTTAGCTGACACCGTAAGCCCCTGGAGGAAGCAGGAGCTGTGCGGCAGGGGCCTGGGTTGGGTCCTGACATCCTGGCAGCGGAGGATGAGTTGCTGAGGACAGCACAGTGGCCAGCAGCTGCGTGCGCCTCAGTCGTGGGCAGTGACAGTGAAAACAACAGCGTCTCTAGAACACAGGTGCATGGGATGAGGTGAGGACAGCAATAGGATCTCAGTTCTTATAGTCCCAGAAGGTAAATATGAGAGTCTGTGTGTGGAAGGGGACAAGGGGGAGATGGCAAACAGCCACCTATAAGTTCTTCAAAATTCTTCAGCGAAACAGTCAGTGGTGCGCTGAAAATCTGTGGGCTCGGGGAAGAACAGTAATAAAGCACCAGACAGCTGTGCCCTATGACAATGCACCCACAGCAGCACCACAAGGCTAGTGTTCGCATAAATACCATTCTACAAGATAGCCTCCGGTCATGTTCTGGTGAAAAGCCAAGGACAGACGCATAAGGGCTGCACTGACCTTAAAAGACTCAGTGGAACTTTGTACACAGGGAAGTGCTAGTGGCTGAAAATGAGCACTTAAATATATATTTCGGGTGTCTGCACACCTACATTGCCTCTGTGGGAATACATCTTGCCCACAAAAAAGCCATCCTACCTCAAATGTCCATGTTCTGTGCCATATGACCATTCCACAAGGAGCCACAACTTACTGTCAGCTCCTTGAGAGACCAGGAGAGGCAGAGAAACAAGTACAGTACAGCAGAATCATACTCCTTGCTGGGGTTGGTTTCTAGGTACCAACTGAGGGTGAGAAAGGAGTTAGCTAAGTTTCCCTTGAAAATCCCTTATGAATGTACCACCTTGGAGACCACATACGCTATCACCTCTTGGTAGTATAACAATAACGATAGTTAACATTGACTATGTACTTCCTATGTGCTGGCCGCAGCTGATGTTAGTCATTTAGTTGTCGCGACAATGCTTTGAGTTGCCACTGCTGTCTCCATTCACAGATAAGGACGCTGAGCACAGAGAGGTTCAGTAACCTGCAGGCCACACAGTGAGAGTGGAGCTACGATGGGAACCGAGGCAGTCTGGCTGGAGAGCCCGAGCCCATGACTACTCTGCAAGCTGCCATAATGCTGAACGCAGCTGCTTCCCCTCAGGACTGGGCCAGACGCTATTTCTTCCACTGAACAGCAGACGACGTGGTCTGAGTTTAGTGAGCATGCTATGTGGAAATCACGTCACTTTAAACGCTAGAATCACAGCAACTGAAGCAAGATGCTCACACATTCAGACAACAGAGAGCCAACAGCTGGGACACAAGTCCACGTTTCTCATCTCATGCTTAGTACCCATCTGATGGTTACTGAATGAAGCAGATTTGCTGTAGTATTTACATCATTGTCCCTCTCCCCAACGCCCCCATGACTCTCTGTGGTTGAGTTTGTACACGTTTATCTGCAAGCTAGGACTCCAAACTGGCAAACTGCAGCCTAGGCCAAGTTCCTGAGTCATGTGTCAGTGAATGAAACAAACGCCTGAGTGACAGAGCTGGTACACTGGCAATAGAAAGAGAGACAGAGGAGTTAGATCAGTGGGATACTGAGGTCTGGCTCTTGAAAGCATTTTTTTCCCCCTGGAAATTACTTCCTACCTCAATTGTGGTAACTTCACCCGTAATTAGAAAAGCATGGCAGGTCCTGGCCAAGCTGGTTAGAGTGTCCTGATTCACCAAAGTTGTGGGTTCAACCTCCAGTCAGGGGAATCAGCCAAAGAATGCAAACCGATGTTTCTCTCTCCTTCCTTCCTCCCTCCCTCCCTCCCTCCCTCCCTCCCTCCCTCCCTCCCTCCCTCCCTCCCTCCCTCCCTCCCTCCCTTCCTTCTCTCTCTCTCTCTCTCTCTCTCTCTCTCTCTCTCTCTCTCTCTCTCTCTCTCTCCCCCCGTCCTCCCTCCCTTTCTCTCTAATCAATAAATTTTTTTTAAAGCACTGCAATGGCAACTTGGTTATTAATACATATGTACAGGGGCATATAGAGTGGATATACTTCGGACTTTGTATTCTGTTCCATTGGTCTGTCCACCTTAATAAGAACATTTTCTAATTATGAAGCTTTATAATAAGTCTTGATGTCTGGTAATCTAAGTCCTTCAACCTTGTTCTTATTCATCAAGATTACCTTGGTTAGTCCTGGCTATTTGTGGTTCTTTGAATTTCCACTTATGTTTTAGAATTGGCATATCAATTTCCACAAGAAAAATTGATGACGTTTTTAATGGGATTTCACTGAGTTTCCAGGGGAGAATTGAAATCTTTACAATATTAAGTCTTTCAATCCAGAAACATACCAATAACTACAAGAAAGGAAATCTACAGACCAATCTCTCTTGTGAGCATGATGAAGAAATCCTAAATCAAATCCAGTGATATATAAAGATTTAACATATCATGGTCAAGTCTAACACTGACAACATTTTAAATCAATGTGATTCATATTAATAGAACTAAGGAATAAAACCTTATGCTATCTCAAAAGATGAACTGTGGGACAATGATAACAGAGGTAACATGCACATAATGGCAATACCTGAAGAAATATTTGAGGCAAAACCGAGAAGTTTTTACATTTAATGATGGGCACCAAACCATGCTGTCCCAAACCATAGATGCAGGAAGCTCAGAGAACTCCAATCATGGCAAATACCGGCCTATAATTTAACTTTTTTATAACATCCTCATTCAGTTTGGTATTAGGTAATATTGGCCTCATGAAATTCCCTTTAATCTACCCTAAAAATATTTTAGCTACTTTGCTTCAAATATTATCCCTCCTACATTTTCTCTATATTCCTTGTCTATAATTTCCTGTATACATTCGTTGAATCATCTAATTCCATCTTCTGGGTCTCTTAATCTTTTCTGTATTTCCATATCTTTATTTTTCTATGCTAAATTATGTATACATTTCCCATCTCTATTTTCCAGTTCTCTAATTACCTTTTCAGCTTCATCTAATACCGCAGATGTTTAATCCATTTATGGACCCTTATGGTGGACCATTTCTTTAGGTACCTTGTAATGTTTTATCATGATCTCATTTTCTTTTAAATATTTTTTTTTCAAACTGAATTTCCTAATTTGGAGAATCTTATTATAAATATGTTTTTATTTATTTCAGAGAGAGGAAGGGAGAAGGAGAGAGAGAAATATCAATGATGAGAATCATTGATTGGCTGCCTCCTGCATGCCCCCTACTGGGGATCGAGCCCACAACCTGGGCATGTGCCATGACTGGGAATCGAACCATGACCACCTGATTCATGGGTCGACCCTCAACCACTGAGCCACACCTACCGGGCATGATCTCATTTGCCTCTGATTATTGATGTGTAGAAAGCTCATGCATCTTGGTTTTTTAAATGTCCCTATAAAATTTTTACATTTGATTCTGCCAAGTTGCCCCCAAATTTTCATCTTTCTGGCATAAATTTTACATTAATTTCTAAGCTTGGAATTTCTAAATCATGTATACATGAGGTCAGATTTCTCAAGAAAGACTTTTTCCCCTTCACCCAAAGCCCCAATCAGAAACAAGTCTTTTGTTTGTTTTTCTGGTTTGGTTTGGTTTTAAATTCCCATCTTACATGTCAGGAACCTTTCCAGGGTCTCTGCTTTGTGTAGTGGTCACATATTCGGCTCCTCCCCTTGTCCATACAAGGCCCCATCTCCTTTCTCATGGTAGCAGAGCCACTGATAGTCTGCTAACCACTCCAGTTATGAGTACACAGAGATTATTTCTTTCCTGAACTATATTTACTTTTTGTTTTATCTTATCATAATCATTGTTTTCCTGCTAGCCCAATTACAAGGTTACAGAATCCAGAAGTCAGGTGTTCCTTTTCTTTGATAACAATTAACAGTGTAGTATAGGGTGTCTCAAAAACCATATAGAAACACACTTTCAATAACTATAAAGGCAGTGTTTATTAAGATACATTTCATTTTCAAAATTGAGCATCAGCTGTTAAAGTGTGTATACATTTTTTGGGACACCCTGTACATAGAATGCTCTATAGGGTAGAATACCAACTATCCTTCCCTTCCATTACTGTATCAAAAAAAACAGCAGCAGCAACAAAACACTAGGTGCATGAGCTATTTGATTACACATATGACTTACAGTGCTGCATAATCTGTTCGACCAGAAGTTTTTGCTCTGCTGAATAGAATAAAACCTATATGCCGTATCTTTTATAGGTGAATATATGAAGATATATGAGGGTGGCGTGTGTGTTTTTGTAGATTATAAGGCTAATATCCTGTACACAACTCTTTTTTTACTGAAGAGCAGTAAGATAGAAGGAAGAACATGAGAGTTAAAGTCAATAGGCCTTGAAGCCTCAGGCCCACACAGG